CGCGGAGAGGTGGTCGGCGAAGGCACTTGCAACTGATCTTTGTTTGCGACCTTCTCGTCGCCTTCTTCTGTGATCACATCCGACGCGATCGACGTGGCAGTGCCGACAGATGCGCCGCGAGAGTGACTTCGCGCCCGCAAAGGTGAGCTCGTCAGAGATACAGGGCTTTGTGGCAGGCCCAATGGCCCTTGCTGAGGCGATGGTGGCGGGATCTTGCGCAACTTATCATGTATGCTGTCATTCGGATCATTGGGTGCATGGACATGCGGATGGCCTGCATAGAGCTGCGTTGAGGACATAGATGGATCGTGAGCAGCGGGATCCCAAGTCTTGCTTTGGGGCTGCCATCCTACGCCGACGGTCGCGAGCACGAGTCCGCCCACCATTACGCCGAGAGCGCCTGGATGTATCTGAGCCTCTTCAAGCTGCTTCGAGCGACTCTTGAGAACAAGCGAAGAGCTACGCATGCGGCCGCCTCTGATCTGGCCAAAAGTAGCGAGATTGTCCCGAATACGGTTGATACCCTCGCCATAATCTTCCCGATCTTGAGCGTTCTGCGTCGCTGTCGGCAGAGCATGGGGGTCGGACAGAATGAGACACTTGATGAAGACACCCTCGAGCCAGTCCGCTGGAATGAATCTAATCGCTGCGCCCAACGGAAGACATAGCGCGCCAAGGACTGCTCGAGGAATTAGCCAGCATCGGGAGATGAGGAAGAGTGACATACTGATGGAGATAGCCCAGTCACGTCCACTGATCCGGGTGACAGAGAAGGCCGCGCCACCGACGAAAATGATCAGAATCTGACCGCCGACCATGATGCTGAAGATGAGCAGGAACCATATATTGCGAAACACGCCAGCAAATATGTTCTGGCCGTCGTCTAACCGCCTTGCATTGAGCTGATTGAAGATTTGACAGAAGACGAAGGTATTGAAGACAAGCGAATTAAGCTCAGAGTCTTGCGCATCGCGTGTTGCCATGTCTGTGCCGGGAGCATGATTGCCAAAGATAGCATTGCCTGCAAAATGAAGGACAAGCGTGGTGACAAGCTGATAGATGCTCTGCGCGATGATCAAGCGCCACATGCGCACGTTGATGAGCGGCGCCGTCTTTGGATCCGGCTTGCGGTTGAGTGACTCGGGTGTAGCTGGATCAGTAGCGAGTGCGAGTGCTGCAAAGGTGTCCATGATGAGGTTGACCCAGAGTAGTTGCACGGCCGTCAGAACACTACGCTCCTCTGACGACGCTACGGCACTGATGAAGGTGAGTAAGACGGCCACAATGTTGACCGAGATCTGAAATTGCAGGAATTTGCGAACGGCGTCATTGACACAGCGACCCCACATGATGGCGGTTACGATGCTCGCAAAGTTGTCATCCATCAATATGATATCAGATGCTTCTTTCGCAACTTCTGTGCCAGCGATGCCCATCGAGAACCCAACATTGGCACTCTTGAGTGCAGGACCGTCGTTGAGACCGTCGCCAGTGACGCCTACGACCTCGCCACAGGCTTTGAGGTGCTCAACGAGCCTTTGCTTATCCGTGGGTGACGATCGAGCAAGGACTTGTAACCGAGGCGCGATGTCAAACATATCCTTTTCGCTCAGCTTTCGGAAGGCAGGTCCGTCCATAATGACGCCACCGGGCTGCAGGATGCCGCACTGTTGAGCGATAGCGCGAGCTGTGATAGGGTTGTCGCCAGTGACCATCTTGATCGAGACGCCAGCTTTGATGGCCTGAGCTACTGCGTCCGTAACTCCTTCGCGCAATGGGTCGGCCAAGCCAACGATGCCGACGAAGACGAGATCATTTGCCAGTGATTTGTATTCGACGCTACCATCTTCAGCCGTCGCTAGGCTAGCGGGCGGCCATTGTTCGAAGTCTTTGTAAGCCATTGCGATTGTGCGCAGCGACGAATTGGCGTATGCCATAATAGTGCGGTCCAGATTAGCTTTCTGGGCTCTTGTGAGCGGATTTGTTTGCACGTGATCGCTGCTTTGGTCAGCGACTATCGCAGATGCGCAGCGAGCCGTCACGATCTCGCTAGCGCCTTTGATATAGAATCGATAGCCGCCGGTAGCAAGCGCAACGACCACGCCCATCGCTTTGCGCTCGGATGAGAATGGGTAGAGCTGCATGATTTTGGCCTCTTCTCGGAGCTGTCGGTAGTGCGGCCACTCTTGCTGCATAGCGAAGAGAAGCATTGCGACTTCTGTCTTTGAGCCGACAAACCCTTCTTCGCCGTGCTCATCGCGGCCTTCGAAAGCAGTCGTATTGATCGCCACAGAGGAGTTGATCAGATCCTGAACTGGCCGGGGTAGCTCTCGCTTAAGATCGCTTATGTCAAAAGAGCGATCTGAAGACGGCACAGCTGCCACGGATTCGTCGACAGTACCGTTCGTATTCAGCTCGGTGTCATTTGGTTTCGGTGAGCCAACGCCGTCCTTGAGATCTTCGTTGGCCAGACGATGAGCGAATTTCAGATGCACGCCGAGCGACCCTGCGACTACTGTCATTTTGTTCTGAGTGAGCGTGCCGGTCTTATCGGTGCAAATGACTGTCGCGTTCGCCATAGTTTCGCACGAGCCAAGGACTCGCACGAGAAGATTTTCTTTCGTCATCCTGCGTGTAGCAAACGCAAGCGCGAGGGTCACTGCGAGAGGAAGGCCTTCAGGCACGGCCACGACAACGACAGTGACTGCGATAATGAGAATTTGTATGAAGCTCTGGCCTTTCTGGTCCGGCGTCCTGCTCGTAAGAGTCAGCTTAGCTTGCAAAGAGTGTCTGCGAGCTGACCTGTTGGGATTCGTGGATAGCTGAACGAAGAAACGAATCATAAGGACGCCAAAGAGTAGCAGACCGGCGGCTGAGCCAAGCTTAGCGATGAGCTCGGCCAGTCTGTTCAGCTTGAGTTGCAGGGGCGTATTCTCGCTCTCGCCTTGCAAAGACATCATGATCTTTCCATTGAAGGAATGCTGACCGACGCTGGCGACAAGGTAGCGACCCTGACCCTCAACGACCTTACTGCCACTGAGCAGGAAGCAATCATCTTTCCCTGTCGCGCTGCTACCTTTGCCTCTCCGCCGCTCTACGAGGTTGTTATAGCTGTCCTTTTTGATGGCGTCAGATTCGCCCGTCGCTGAGGACTCGTCACATTTGACGTTGTGACCTTCAAGGAAGATGCCGTCGACAGGTAGGATCTCGCCAGGCTCAAGCAGGAGTATGTCACCAGCGACCACATCGTGCACGTTCACCAATTGCTCGGCGCCGGAACGTATGGCTTTGACATTACGATCCTCCTTCTGAGCATTGAGACGTCTGAATTGTCGCTCCTTCTGATAGTCGTTGACGCTGCCAATGATGACTACGATGAGGATGGCCGCAATAATGGCGACACCTTCGACATAATCCACCTGAGGTGCCGTGCAGACCTGACCCGCAGGGCTGCCGGTCGGACAGGGTACAACCTCTGCAGGCGTACCGAGATCTTGATACAGACCTAGGGCTAACGAGACTACGGCAGCGATGCTCAAGATGATCTGCACGAGACATTAGCGCTGAAAGCATCGTCAGTCCTGGAGGTTGAAATTGCTCACCAAGACTTTGTCTTGCATTGCAAGCCACATGAGCTTCAATAGACTCTTAGACTGTCGCGTTGGTAGCTTATTGGCACCGAAGATGCGCTGACGATCTGCAATGCTTGCGCCTGGCACTCTGCCGCCACCGTCTGCGTCAGCCACAAGTCCGTTCTTCTGGTCCGAATGAAGGGATTGCAACAAGGCATCAGAGCCTCCAAGAGCGGCCAGCTCATCGACGGATTTTGGATCGAAGATATGAGCCAGTTTTGAAGGCGGGATTGTGAAAGGTCCCATTTCTGCCGGCGAGGGATCAGGCAGCTCCGGCACAACGAGGCCTGACTTCTTCTCTGATGGCTCTTCTGTTTCGTCTACGGAAGTCTTGCGAGCGAAGAGACGCCCCACGACAGGCAAGCGAGCCAAGCCATTTGCTTGGACAGCGGACCTTGAGGTAGCACGACGCTCGAGCGCCTTTTCTGTTGTTGCATCTTCGTGCTTTGCTGGCAATTCGCCCTTGATAGAGATAGGCGAGCCAGAAAGATCTGAGGCACGGTCGGGTACAGTCTCGGTAGAGCTGAGGACTGAAGTAATGCTGACGCCACTGGTCTTGCGAATATGTCGAGATTGATTGCCAGCGATCAAGACAGGGCTAGGAGAGAGCGCATCGTCTGCGCTCAGCGACTGTCTGGCCCCGAACGCGCGATGATGCGCTTTAAGGGCTTCTTTCTCTTTCTCTTTGGCGCGCATCTGACCATCCGGATCATCGTTTCGACGTAGCGCGAGCGAGCTCTGAGCGACAAACGGCGTGGTGCTGGACGAAGGCGAAGGCGGCACAGAATGCTCGCCCTGTGTGCTCAGATTGAGACTGCTTCCTAGCAGCGAAGGCATGCCAGCTCCTGCGCTCGAGGGCGCGTCGGAACCGCGTCTAGCGACAAAGACATCCTCTGTGTCGTCTTGTGGGCTATCATCCTCCTCATCCGAATCTGGCTGTGAGATTACCCGATCGGGTGGCGATGACATGTTGGCATCGCCGCTTGATTTTCCTACATCAGGTGAGGGCGTCAAGATCAGGACGGGCGGCGGTGCGAGACTGCCGGAGCGAGAATGGCCCATCAGTGAGCTTGTAGCTGTTGGTGTACGTGTATGTGACGCTGTAGAAGGCGAGGAAGTCATCTCTTGAGAAGTAGGCAAGCTCGTGCCTGTGCTGTGCAAGTCGCAAAGGTCGTTCGACCATGCAAAGTCAGCTCATTTTCGCGCTTCCACACGTCCCAACTGACACAAGTGAAGGCAGAGAAGAGCGTTTCGACATGTTGTAAGCCAGGACAGACTCTCGATGAGCGCTGATGCGGTGCACGTTCAGTCAGGTGTGACAAGAGCTAGTCCTAGTCGAGGATCATTTGGGTGCACGATGAGGTCCGAGCTGTGGCGATCGCGGTTTCTTCGCAAAACACTGGATTGGAGTGTTGCACCGCTTCGAATTTGACAGCAAGACGAGCGAACGTCTGCCTTATATGTGACTGCCAAGGCTCGATGATTTCAACGGCTTGGCGGCGACATCGCAGGAGCGGGGCACCCCGCAGTACAGGTCGACGCGCTACCTGAACACGCACACAGAGGCCGACGAAAATTTGAACGGCCAGACATATCTACTCAGAGGCGCAGTGTGTCGCTAGAGTATCGCCCACATGGCGGCGAGTGCCGTCAACAGTCAATATGACTGCTGAAGCTGACAGATGCCTGCTCTGGCTAGGATCATCAGCAATTTGTAGTGGCGCTACACGACACGCTCGCCGCCTCCCTGGGCTTGGGTCAAGCTATACCTGACACGGCAGTCATCAAGAAGGCGTCCAGCGACTTGCAAGACAAGTTCTACAAGCAAGATGCAGCTGTTCCTGCCCTATTTGAAATTTTACTCGGCAACGCACAAGATCAAGTGCGACAGCTTGCTGCCGTCGAATGTCGCAAGCGAGTCGGCATCAAGAACGGTCAGAAATGGCTCAAGCTACCTGTTGACCAGCGCAAGCGCGTCAAAGAGCAGCTGCTACAGTCGCTTACTGATGAATCAAAGTCAGTTATCTTGTCCCTGACTTTCATGATGTCGACTGACTCAGCGAGCAGCTCTTTGCTTTCGCACGCTCTGGCACGTCTAGCAGGCGCGGTCGCAAAGGTCGAACTGCCGAGCAATGCCTGGCCAGAACTTTTGCCCTGGCTCTGGCGAGCTGCGAGCGCGCCCGTAGCGACGACGCGCGAAAGGAGCTTGTACACATTGTTCAGCATTCTCGAGACGGTCATTGTCGATCATGACGCTCCTGGTGGCCCGAGCTTCTCCCAGCACACACCTCAGCTCTTCCAGCTTCTGTCGGGCTCGCTGGCTGATCCTGAGAGTTTGCAAGTCAGATTAATATCGATGCGATGCCTTGGCCAAATCGCTTCTTACATCGAGCCTGATGAGCAGGATTATATCGCAAGTGCATCTCTGCTGTCTGCTCTGCGCGCAGCTGACGCTTCTCGCCACATAGAAAGCTTTCCAGGACGTCGTACCGGGAGTTGTGCAAGTCATACAACAAGCGCTCGAGGCGGGCAACGAGGAAGGCTGCAAGCAAGGCTTCGAGATCATCGAGACAGTCTCCTCGCTGGAAGTACCGCTCATTCAGCCACATCTTACCGCTCTGTGCAGCTTCTTGATCAGCACTGCGCAGAACGAGCAATACGATGAAGATCTAAGAATGCCTGCCCTTTCCTCATTGCTCTGGGTCGTGAAGTACAGAAAGTCAAAGATTCAATCACTTGGACTTGCGCGGCCGATTCTCGAAGGACTGCTACCCGTTGGTGGGCAAGATGAACCCGAAGACATAGACACGGATTCGCCCGCGCGCATAGCCTTCCGTGTCATCGACGCCCTCGCCAACGTCCTGCCGCCTGCGCACGTTGTTGACCCTCTGATCAATCTGTGTCAGCAATACTCGAGCTCGCCCGATCCCAGGATGCGCAAGTCTGCAGTCATGGCTTTCGGCGTCGTCTTTGAAGGCTGTTCGCTCTACATTGCGCCTCATCTGGAGCAGCTTTGGCCCTTCATCGAGAAGAGCCTGCAAGATCCGGAGAGCATCGTTCGCAAAGCGGCTTGTATCGCGTTAGGCTTCATGTGCGAAATGCTAGGCGAGGACTGTGGCAAGAGGCACGCAACTCTGTTACCTCTGATTTTCGATCTCATCAACGATCCTGCCACGCAAAAGACAGCACTCAATGCGCTCGACTCGCTACTCGAGGTGTTGGGCTCGGCCATTCTGCCGTATCTGCCGACGTTGATGGATCGCTTGCTTGCGCTGCTCAGTCAGGCACCATTAGAGCTCAAGGGGACTATCGTCGGTGCTATCGGATCAGCTGCCCACGCGGCAAAGACCGACTTTGCGCCCTACTTTCGCGCTACCATGGACGGCTTGCAGCCCTTCTTGGTCCTCACAGAAGAGGATGAACACGAGCTACGTGGCATCACTCAGGACACCGTCGGTACTCTCGCCGATGCGGTTGGTCCAGATGCCTTCCGGCCGTACTTTGCTCCTCTCATGAAACTCGCCATGGAAGGTGCTTCACTTGAAAGCCCGTCTCTACGCGAATGCTCGTACATCTTCTTCTCAGTCATCTCACGCGTGTACAAAGCCGAGCTGGCGCCCTATCTCACGGATATCATGGCTCTGATAATCGCAAGCCTCAAGCAGTCCGAGCTTGGCGAGGATGAGCTTGACGAGACAGAAGGCGCGGCCACGAACGGTGTCGGCATAACGCGTCAAGCTCAGGCTCTGCTTGATGCAGCTGAAGCAGACGCGGGTGAAGACGGCTTCGTCGACATCGACGAGGATGGTTCCGATGCGTTCGACAATATGGGCGTCTACACTGCTATCGGCATTGAGAAGGAAGTCGCAGCGGACGCTATCGGCAGCATATTCGAGAACACGCGAGAACACTTTATGCCTTACATCCAGCCTAGTGTTCTCGCTCTCCTGCCGTTGCTCGAGCACGCGTACGAAGGAATTCGCAAGTCTGCCGCTTGCTCGCTCGTGTCATTCATTGCGACTGCATACGAAATGACAAATCCTCCCAAGTGGGAGCCAGGCGTCGGCAGCGTGAGTTCTCTCACTATCTCCTAGTAGCTGAGCTTAGTCCAGCTCGTACAGGCTCCGCTTCATGAACGGGTTCAGCAGCTCTCGAACGCAGTCATCGGTCCTGTATTGGCTATGTGGGCCGAGGAGGAAGAGAGGTATGTGTACATAGCAAGCTCATCCCTTCTGATCCACAAGATGAGATACTACCGTACAACTCAGCTCACTTTGACGCTACGGCGAATGAGCGGAACACGATTTCTGCCTGACTCTTTCGCTACGGGACATTCTGCGCAGTCGCTGACTGCAATCGCGCGCAGGACCAATGTATCATCGCTGTGTGAAGCCCTCTCGGCCATGCTGCTCACAACAGGTCCTCAACCGATTCTACCAGATCGTGCGTATGCCTCACTGGATCAGCAAGCTGAGGCTGATGGACGCACAGCCACTGAGACGATCTGTCAACGGCTCCACGAGATCATCGAGCGCAAAGCATTGTGCCAGACGCTGGATGCCGATCCAGAAGATGACGAAGCTGCCCAAGACGTCTCCGAATGGGACGCAGCCCTTATTCGATCGGCAGAAGAGCTTGTCGGCACGCTGGCCAGCGTACTGGGCAACGACTTTTCCCAGGCCTTTGGCACGTTCTTGCCTGCACTTGTGAAATATTACAATGGCACAACTCAGGCAAGCGAAAGGTCAAGCGTTGTCGGATCTCTTGCAGAAGTATCGAATGGTCTTCAAGCAGGCGTCACGCCCTACACGCAACCATTCTATGATCTCTTCATCGCCGCACTGCTTGACCAGAATCTGGATCTGCGAAGCAACGCTGCATACGCTATCGGATGTTTGGTCTTGCATAGCAGGGCAGATCTCAGCGCAGCGTATTCTATCATATTGCAGCGTCTGCAGCCACTCTTCCAGCTGGACGACATGTCTGCGGATGCCAATCAAGCGAGGGATAACGCTTCTGGCTCGGTCGCCCGGTTGATCCTCAAGAATGCCGCAGCCTTGCCGATGGATCAGGTTCTACCAGTTCTGTTCAGCGCTATGCCGTTACGGGAAGATTTCCGGGAAAATGTCAGTGCTTGCTGACACGCCAGATATACTGCGCTGACAGACAAGTACACAGGAGAAACTCTTCGAGGCCTTCCAGATGCTGGTTCAAACGCAGAACCCTGCGCTGACGCCACATATCAGTCAGCTTCTGCAAATCATCAGTCAGGTTCTGTCAGCACAGGAGACAGCCAGCGAAGACGAGAAGCCTCTGACGCAAGAAGGATACACTCGCGTAGTCGAGATCGTGAGACGCCTGCCTGCACAGCAAGCGCAGGCAGCCGGTCTGGGCGCCCTCCTCGCATAATCCCACTAGATGAAGATGTAGCTAGAAGATGCAGTCACGAAGCAGTAATATCCTCGCGCCAGATGAAAGATGGGATTGCACAAATGATGTGTCAACATGTACAGCGTGGGTGCTAGGTAATTATGGTCTCTGCGGGATACCAGCTGGACGACTCGGTGCGAGACCGGAGCCACTCGCAATGGGCGCTCGTGCGTTTGCTCTGGCTGCCTTGGCCGCTGCCTTTTCGCGAGCGCGATGGACTGCGCACGTGGGAGGTCTACGAAGGTAGGCACGCTCGGCTGGAGTACAGTGGATAGCACAGAGGCAGCACTTGCAGCCAGGCGTAGCGAAATGCGTGCAGTTGAGTCGAATACAATTGAGCGGTCCTTCGGCTTCGTTGACGTACTCTTCGATCCACTGAGGCACTTTGTCAAGCTCTGTCGAGAGCTGAGCTTTCTCATTGTGTCTTGCGAGCACGATGGGGCCGAGGCGATATTGGATTGCACTGACACCTTTGGCCGCTCTGACACCGAACTCGCGAGAGAGGAGCTGACAGTCTGGCTTGGCAAGATGCAAGCCAAGGGCCTGGAAATTGAGATGGCAGCGCTGATCAGCGACGGTTGCGCGAGCTTGCCAAACGTCTATAGGATCAGGACGAACACCTTTGACTCGCTTTATTGCGCTTTCGTGAGTTTTGGCCCAGTCATTGAAGGGTTTGTAACGCTTGCGAAAGACTGTACACCGCATTGGCATGTATGCTATGATCAGGAAAATGAACCTACGGGCAAGAGCTTCCGAGACTTGTTCGATCGTGACTTGAGTCTGACCGCAATGGAAGACGAACACGCGGCACATTGCCTTGAGCTCCGCAGTGACATAGTGGTCAAAGTTCCAGAGATGGTCCCAAGTGATGCCAAAGATGCCGATACGCCAGAGTGCTTGTTGTCTGACCCATGCGTCTGTCCTGATCTCGTTCTGGGTGTATCTGACGCCCTTAGCACGTTGAGCGGCTCGCCAGGCCCAGTAAGCTGCTGCAAAGTTGCTGAACGACTTTTTCTCGTAGCGCGGTCGAACGGCGAGTTCATGGCAGCTTCGACAGAAAGGCACTCTGCGACTGTTGGGCGTGGCGAGACTGATGAGGATAGAGATGGCCTTGGGATCATGTTCATTGCATCGAAAACAGACGTGAAGATACTTGTCTTTAGCCGTTGCACGTGCGATTCGCCCTGATGCGACGAGATCATCATTGATGGGCGTAGAGGTGGCCATACACCAAATATAGTCCGACTCCATGAGATGGCGAAACAGACGATTGACCGAGCTGAGTCCGAACAAGCTGCCAATGTCATCCCTGCCTGACATGATAGCGATCTTGCTGAGAGTCTCGACGGGCAGGGACATGATCGACGAAGCGGGCTCGTCCATCTCGGACTGACACGAATGAAACGAGTCCTCTCTGCTCAGCTTAGCAGGACGCGCTTCGTCGGCTGTACTGGCGGGAATCAGAACATGAGGATTGTTGATGATGACCGGACGAGCAGTGCTCGTGCTTGCGAGGGATGTGATAGTCAGTTGATCCCTCTTGGCGTGTGAGGAGCTCGCATGGTCGTAGAAGGCTGGCTCTCGCAAGAGAACCATAGTGATGCGCCGAATGAGAGCGAGTCCAGAGCTGCGTGTGCTGCGCAGTCTGTCGAGCGGTCTAGCGGGGGCAGTTGATAACAATCTACGACGTCGGACACGCTTTCAATGTCAAATTGACTCACACGCGACCGCGACGTATCGTCCTTATCGACGTCACCGCGTCACCGCTGACAATCACATCTACCCCGCTGACATTCAGCCACCAATCTGCACTGGTTTGGTCGCCACGTCAGGCATGCCGAGCTCGACAGGCATCTATCCAGCGCTCAAGCCGTTCAGAGAAGAACAATTCGCCGTTAGCGACTTGCATACGCTCTACGTGGCACAGTATGGCAACCCGAACGGTCTCGCAGCTGTCCATTTGCACGGAGGACCGGGAGGAGGAACCGATCCTTACGATGCACGACGCTTCGACCCTGAGGTCTATAGGATTGTGCTATTCGATCAGCGAGGCTCCGGCAAATCAACTCCGTCGAGTGAACTACGAGAGAATACGACTTGGGACCTCGTAGAAGATATTGAAAAGGTTCGTCATATTGTCCCTGACACTGTGCATGAGCTCATGAACGTCTCCGGCACGACGGACAGATCAGGAGTCATCTACAAATCGAGAAATGGATCGTCTTTGGGGGCTCATGGGGCAGCACGCTCTCTCTTGCATACGCTCAGAAGCATCCAGAAAGAGTGCTTGCTCTTGTCCTGCGCGGCATCTTCTGCCTACGTAAAGAGGAACTCAAGTTCTTCTACCAGGGCGACGGAACATCATTTCTCTTTCCCGAGTACTGGCAAGAGTATATCTCTGTCATACCCGAGAACGAACGCGAGGACATCATCAAAGCATACCACAGACGACTGACAGGTGATGACAAGTCGGCCCGAGCTGCAGCTGCCAAAGCATGGACAACCTGGGAGATGGCAACTTCGAAATTACATATTGACGAGGCGATGGTCAAAGAGGGCGAAGATCCGGCATTTGCAGATGTATTTGCACGTATCGGTACACCTTACCGCTCTTATGCGTTTGCCCGGCTGATATCGATGAGCACAGAATGCCACTACTTTGTCAATGAGGGCTGGATGAGACAGGGTCAATTGCTAGAGAAGGAAGAAGTCGACAAACTACGCAAGATACCCGCTGTGATCGTGCAAGGACGATACGATTGCGTTTGTCCGATGACGACAGCAGAGGCACTGCACCGAGTGTGGCCAGAGGCAAAGTACATCGTCGTTCCCGATGCGGGACATTCGGCAAAGGAAAAGGGTATCGAGACTGCGCTTATGAACGCTACGGACGACTTTAGACGGCTCAAAGATGTGTGATGAACAAGGAATGCATACTACGACGTTTTGTCCATTGCCGGCATTCGACAAGTCGCGTGTTCTCTTTTTGCTCACGCAGCGAGAATGACGCAAGCCAGAATATGACCCGTACATACAGCCACGAGCATGTCTACGAGTAGGTCCCTCCGGCTATGCATCGCTCAATGGCTGATGCGGACTTGACGTTCCCTAAGCTCGCCGTGGGTAGACGTAGCGTTGGCGTTCTTCCTGAGGTACCCCAACCCTCTCAGTCCTCATGTCATCTCTTGCGACGTCATTTCTCGCTCCTTCGACCCGACCACTCTCCGGCTACACACGACGAGAGTGCTGCTCAAGAAGGGCAAGCTGCCCAAATGGGCTCCCAGAAGTGTCGCCGAACGATCAGAATCTTGGATCCTAGAAGAATCCGTGCTCGATCTTGCTACTCAGTCTCTCGAGTGTACCACTTCCAATCTTGACCACAAAAACTATCTCTCTGTCACCGAACGACAGCGCATACAGCGTGCAGACCTCGCGACGTGAGTCGGTGTCCTGTCATAAGTCAAAGGCGCTGACAGAGCAAGCGCGACAGGCAAGCGAAAGCGATCACACTTGCAACAGTCACTTCTGACTTTGGCTACTTTGGCCTGGGGAGTAGAGTTGAGCACATGGGCATCACCCGGTTCAAGAACACCCTCGACAAGTCTCGCGCAGGCGTCTCGCTCATCCTCAAACACGTTCAATCGCCCTTTCGTCACCAGCTCATGACCTCGGGCCCACTACGACCCTATGACTTTGGAGCAGATGCTCACATACGGTCAAGACTACCCGAGGGATTTGCAGCTTGGGAATCTGTTGCAGCTGGATTCCAAGGACACGGATACGATGATGCGCAACCAGAGCGGTACATACCCGCACCGACCACAGAAGCGGTACAACCGGTCAAGCCGATCATCGATACTCGGTGGATTGTCGAAACTGCAAAATATGCTACCGGTAGACTGTGGGGTCCAGAATCGATATGGACTCAAGCGAGACAACATGCCAGGCGGATGACCAAAGAGTATGTCTGGCCAGGGCAATTCAGCCTCAAATGGCGTTGGAGAGTCCGCGAGGAAGCAGAACGACAACGGCAAATCGCAGCAGCAGCGAGCAAGTCAGATGAGAAGCAATGATGTACATGTTGTAATTGCAGTGCATTTGTCTGTAACATGGCTCTAATCATGACATCCTCGCCGCTTCTGCTAATGTTCTTCGTAAATGATCGTAGTCCTCGTCGGCCGGCGTGACGAGTTGCTTGCCTAGATCGTACACTATCACTTGCCCACCCGCAGTACCCAAGGCGACCTTCTTGCCATCCTTGCGATCCCATGCCAGCTTATTCAGACCGAAAGGCTTAGCATGTTCGACGTGCGTAGAGATCAGAGGCGATTCAACGTCACTGTTTAGATTCCAAAGATCGAAGCTACCGCTCGCATTGACAGTACCGAAAAGCGCAGGATGATGCGGATGCCACCTTGCATCCATGATATAGTCGTCTGATTCCTCGAATGACAGCAATGGGCTGATGGTATCTGGTCCGGCAATGCCTGCAGAGACCCCAGGTCGTGTTGGCTTAGGTGCAGCAGATGACGAGGATGTCTTTGCTCGCCAGAGCTTCGCTGTCCAATCTGCTCCAGAAGACAAGAACAGATCGCCAAAATCGACTGGTCCAGTCGAAGGGTGAAAGTCGATCGAGGTGACCGGTCCCGAGTGACCTCGATAGACTTCGCTCTGTACCAGACCAGCTTTTGCGCCTGCTCTCGCGTATCGATTGGCTGCAAAGATACTGCCTTCTTCGGTGCCCACAAAGAAGAGCGCCGCTTCGTTCGCAGGAAAAGCAAAATCTGTGATCGATACTTCGTTTGTCTTTGCATGGGCAGGATTGACGAGCTCGAGCGTTTCTTGTGGCCGCGCGAGCATGTCGAGGGTCCAGGCACACACAGTGCCGTCTGTCGATGCTGACACGAGATTATTCGCATTCTGTGTCCCGATCATCTGAAGTGAATAGACAGGGTGGGTGTGGCCTGCCGCGGACAGCGGCGACTTGAGGACTGGCAAGTGACGGGCACGCGTGTCCCACACGAGGATCTGACCTGTATAGCTGCCACCTACGACGAGATTCGGGTGGAAAGGTGCGAATCGCACCGAGAGCAGGTCCGACTGCCACGATTACTTAGCTTGGAAGATCATGTCAGACAATGAAAGCCTACATTGGCGTGAAAGACATATTCCGGTCTGGCAACGAGATGCTGATTCCACACGCAAGCCAAGCCTTCGGGCTCGCTTGGCTTGACGGCATCCTTGTTATAAGACGCAACGAGCAATTCTGGGTACCGACGCGACCAATCGATCGACGTCACAGAGCGGTGCGCCGTCCACCGTTCGTCTGCGAAGATGCAGGAAAGCTTAACGCCGCGTGCTTCTGGTCCATCCCTACTATTTCACTCAGCGAGACTTTATTCGTGTGCGGGTAAGACCAACCCGTCTTGAGCTGCGCTACCGCCAAAGCTGTAATCACTCATGTAATCATAAGTGTCGTTCATCGCCCGCTGAACGACTTTGGAAGAACTCTCGAGGAAAGCGCCGAGTTGACCAGACGAGAAGAGCTTCTCGAGATCCTCTTTGGGCAAGCCTATCATCATCTACTGCCTTAGCGCCGCAACAGAGCTCAGGCATTTGACCGACCTTGCAGGCGCTCTTTTCTCCGATCTTGCTCGAGCTGTCTGCGCTCCTCTGCAATCTGGGCATCCAAGCGAGCACGCTCTGCTTCGTACTCCTGTCGTATGCTAGCGCGCACAGCTGCTTCATCTATCGTGCTACTGCCTGCATTTGTGCGCGAGGGCAAGTCCCCTTCCTGCTCGTCATCTGACGTCGAGGTCGCGATGGATGTTTGCACTCCTTTCTCGTATTGCAAGATCCGAGGCTGTCCAGTCTGAGGTCAGCGCGGATGTGCGTAAAGTCGCGTATGCAAACCTTTGGAGGCGGGCGTGCAGGGGAGGGTGCTCGTGCTGGCTCGGTGGGCGCTACTTGCTCCAATGGCTGCACATATCTACGCATCGATTACTTCGGTCAGCTCAGATTGCAGATAAGAAGCGATCAACGACTTTGGCTGTACTGCATTGAGAGCATCAGACGCTGCAGGTGCTTCAGCTGGCGGCGCGGCATGTGCAGGTGCAGGTGCGGGCGCAGGCAGACGTGAAGCAGGCTTTGGAGGTAGCGTGCCACTTCCAGACAGACTAGCCTGAGCTTCTGAACCTGAAGCAGACGAAGGTCGAGAGGCTGCTCCTGCGTCGGCGAGCAATGTGGACACGAGATCATCAAGCTGAGCTCGAGCTGCAACTGATGAGCCTGGCCGGTCTGGAGGTGTCTATCGCATAGTATGAGCAGAAAGGTTGCAAAGAAGAGAGGTGCATACATCGGATGTGCTGGCACTGCGCTCCTGGCTGAGCTGTGATTTGCGGTCCTCCCTTGCTTTGCGTAGCTCGGCGAGTTTGGCACGCTTTGCCTCGATCTCAGCTTCTGCGAGAACCTACGAGTCAGTGAGTGCATGTGACACGTCGGTATGAGCCTACTCCGCCGAGCGTCCATGGTAGGCCTGCCCAAAGAACGGTTGTACGCGTGAAGCGCAACGACGGTCGACGATCTGCCGGTGCCCCAGAGAAATAATTTCTCTGTCGCAGTCAACGGCACTCAGCGCAGTCACTGTGATGGGTGCAGGCCGCAAAGCTAACGGCTCACGATCAAGCTATCGTAGCAATGCAACCAATGCACCCGCAAGCACAAAGACAGCTGCGAAAACAAAAGCGCCCAAACGTAATGCAAAGACTGCAAAACGGCGCAACGAGACCATTTATATAGCTGCACCCGATGCTACTGCCGCACAGAGAGGCCTCGATGACAATGCATCAGATCAAGATGATGCTGGCATGGCGATAGATGAGGATCTGCAGGATCTGGGCGATATGGCAGACGCGTTCCTTACCGGCCTCGACCACAAGAACATTGCAAAGTAAGCTCTTTAAGCCTGGATGCTGCAAGCGCTCATTCAGATCACGGTGTAGATCGAGAGCATCTATTGCACAGGAGCACAAGCACTTCAAGGCTACTGCGCCAAGGCCAGCAAGACCCGTCGACAAGCTGCCAAAAGTTTCTTTGCCGCCTGCTGTTGCTGCCGTCACAGCAAAGCCCGCGATCAGATCAGTCAACGGCAAAGGGAAAGAAAAGGCGAGGGAAGAAGATGTGGAGTCTGACATGTCTGGCGAAGCTCTCGATGCTTTAGACGAGGACGATTTCGCGTTTGGAAGCGGTGACAGTGACGATGAGCTCAGTCTTATGTCAGACATCGATGACGACTCGGACGAGGACATGTCAGATCCAGAATCGCTCGCCAGTGAGGATGAAGACATCTCGCTGGACAGTGAGCTCTCAGGCGATGAGGATAGCGAGGAAGAAATGTCAGAGCACGAATCAGACATTGAGCGTGACTTCGAAGAGCGGTACGCCAAGCGAAGGCCAGATGAGCAACAAGTCAGGAATCAGAGGTTGCCTGTCATATCTGGCAAGCAGATCCAACGGCGAGAAAGATCTACTTCGCCAGATGCTGCAGCAGACAGCAAGAGTCGTGCTACGTTTGAAGCTCAGTCTGACACTTCCGAAGAGGCCCCACCCGAGCCCGTGCCTGTCATGAATCCCTTCGGAGCACGCTTTGGCAGACCAGCAGTACAGGCTGTGCTGGAAATCGACGATCTCAAAGCACGTATCCTTGCAGCAAGAGTGGAGATTGCTCAGCTTGGTCGAGACATCATCTCAGATCCCGAACAGTCACTCAATCTACTCAAACGCCTGCTGTCTTTCGCTGCGCCCAGTTTCAAGGTGCCTGCGACCCAGCAAAGTCTCAAAGTGCCGCCAGCTATCCGCGTCATGGCCATTATGTCCCTCCTTGCCGTCTTCCTCGATATCATCCCTGGCTATCGCATTCGGCCCGTCACAGCAGCAGAAAAGCAGAGCCGAGTTAGTCAGGTCATACAGAGGCAGCGAGAATGGGAAGAGGGCCTCGTGGGCTCTTACAAGAAATACCTGACCATCCTCGAGAAAGAGACCAAAGACCGGATGGTCGTCTCCGCCGTCGCTTTCAAATGCATGTGCGAGCTTGCAAAGACCAAGACTCACTTCAACTTTGCGCCCAACATCATGGATGTCTTGATCAAAAAGCTCGCCAGGCGTGGTTGGGATGAGGTCCGTTGTCTTTCTTCAATACCTCTGCTACGAGCTGAAACCGTAACAGACTTCTGATCAATGCCTCGCAGCGATCGTGACAATATTTGCCAACGACCTCTCGGGGGCAGACTCACTCCACATCGTCAGACTGATCAATCGGATGGCAAGGGCCAAGGAATTTAACATTCATCCTGGCATTTTGACGTGTCTCTTGCACCTACGCCTGCGTGATGACCTAGGCAATCTGCGCGCTAGTGATTCCAGAGTCGACAGACCGATTGCAAATGGTCAAGCGAACGGCGCTAAGGTACACGGGCGCGATGTCGGGAAGAAGAACAGCCTGAAGGAGCAGCATATATCGAAGAAGGTCAGGAAAGCGCGAAAGGATCGTGCAGGTATCGTCAAGGAGATTGCCGAAGCAGAGGAGTCTATCTCGAAAGAGACTAGAGAGAAGAATGTTTGTCACTCAAACTGCTGTGCACCTAACGCGCGCTGATCTAAGCGGCGCAGCAAACTGAGACCCTGAAGATGACCTTTTCGCTCTACTTCCGCATACTAAAGTCATCCACGCCTTCACCGCTATTGCCTGCGGCGCTAGAAGGCCTGACAAGATTTGCGCACCTTGCCAACGTCGACTTTTTCAAGGATCTGCTGGCCGTGCTTCGCGGTCTAGCTGAAGACGATTGGCCCAGCACAAACGATAGCGAATATCAGACAGACGCGCCGATACCTGCGCAATTCAGACGACAATTACTCTGCATCGTGACTGCCTTTGAACTTCTCTCAGGCCAAGGCAGTGCGCTCAATCTAGATCTTTCGGCCTTTGTCACCCGTCTGTACACTCTTCTTCGACAGCTCGCGCTGAGTACGACTCTCGAGGAGCGACCAGAGTTAACAAAGTCAGCCCAGTTACAAGTGCAAGCCAGCGAGCGGATCAAAGCGCCAGCGCCCATGACAACAGCAAGCGAGGCCGATCTCATCTTTCGCGCTCTGAGCGCAGTCTTCCTCTCGAGTCGAACACAAAATTCGCCTACAAGGACGCTTGCGTTTACCAAGCGGCTGCTGCTCTGTACACTACACTGGCCGCCCACCACTGTTCTGCGAACCTGCGGCCTGATCAAGCGATTGCTTGTCAAGGAACCTATTTTGCAGAGCATGCTGCTCACCGAGGACAGACAAGACGACGGGATCTACAAGCCGGAAGTCGATGACCCAGCTTTGTGCAACCCATCGGGAGCTCTGTGGCACGAGCTCGTGATTCTCGAAAGCACTCATTATGACGATCGGGTCAGGAGTGCAGCGAGAGAGCTGGCCACTTGGACGCCAGAGTGATTGCATCTACTCCAGCAGCTCTACAAGCCATGCAGGTGTCCAGCCCATGCGTGGTCGAGCGGTCTTGTCCTCTTTGCCCACGTATAGCCAATGCTGAGCTCGGCAGTAGACGCGGACTTGCTCGCCTTGACGTAGACCGACTTCGTGCTCGCCCTCGCAATCAAGATGAATCACTGAATCTCAAGATCAGCGCGAGGGTCAGAGTTTGAGAATTGACATACCGGCTTTGCCTCTGACAAAATTAGTTTGAACTGCCTCTGGGTCATCGGACCAGCTTTCAGCGAAGCCCGTTTTGAGCTCCAGCAGGCAGGACAACGGTATCAATCCAGTGTTGGAGCTCGAACGTTTGCGGACTAAAACGCTGCCATGTTCGTCCCTTGCGATAATCTCGCAGCGTTCGCCAATGTCGAGCGAAATCTGGCCTGACTTGTTCGCGGTATGCGGGAAGACAACGATCGCGTTCGGTGAAGTTGGTGTATGTTGCGTTGCGGACGATACAGAGCGAGCTGGAGGCGTCCGCGGGGCTCGTACACGAGTGTCGTCGCCATGTGCTGCAACAGGAGAGCGCATTTCGCGTAGGTGCGAGATACTGAAGACCGGGTTGGCGTTCTGCTCCTTAAGACGATCAAAGATTTCTCGAGGGCGCTCATTGTACGACAGACAACGTTTCATTGGTTTCCCGTCTGGTCCATCATGCTGTATGAAGAGCACATATTCTTGCCAGCCACCGCGAAGGTTGTACTTCTTGAGTGCAAGAGGCAAGATTTGAAAGCACGTGTCGTGATGACTAGGCGATTCGCGAGGCTTGCCTGCTTCGCGCGGACGAGAGAGCGTCACGTTACGAGTGAGCTGGGCAACGGGTCGTAGCGTCTGCTCAGATTTGAGGAGTGGTATCTCACGATCTGCTGGCTGATACTCGGTCGGTGACGTTGTGACTCTTATCGACTCTGATGTTGATGCTGATCGGCTCAGTCTCGGCGCAGGCGCAGGTGCGGGAACGGCTTGAGGCGTGCTAGGCTCAGATCTGGCTTGTCGGGCAGTATGCGCGAACTGCTGAGCACTACGCATCGGTCTCACCGCAAAATTACTCTGCCGAAGTATTTCTTGCAGATCCGATGACTTTGCCGCGTCTGACTTTGCAATGTTGCGCAGACCAGCAAAGTCAGTCTCGTAGCGAGCGATTCGCTTGGTGTTGTCGAATGTGAGCGAGTTTGCTTGAGCTGATTTTGGGATATATCGCTGTTCATACCTGCATCTTCACTGCGTCAGATAAGACGCAGGCTGAGGGTCCCAAAACAGACCAGTAGCTGCGCAGTGGTTGTCGCTCAGACATGGAGCGACCGAGTGAGACCGAGCAAGGCGACGAAGGGCTCGAGCTTGATGCACTATTGAGCTGCAGATTTCCACCACCCATTTTGCCGAGACTGTGAGCACGCTTAAGGGCCGGCTTCTCCGTTGAGAATTTGACAATCTGCGCCTCTTGCAGTGCGCAAGTGGTCATGCTGCTGCCGCCACTTAGCAGAGCGGGCGAGACAGGGCTGACGGTCTTGGTGCTGGACACGATTCGCAAGGTACGCGTCAGCTGTGACAACTTCGAGACTGGCTTGTTTGTATCGATCGTGTGGTCGTGTTCCGCTTGTGTCATCTGTCGTGGCGAGGGAAGCCGCATGTCTGGACTCGCGCGGAATTTCTCGACGGCGCGATTTTCTGGCCTGGCTGATTGCTCGTTCTGTCTGAACACTTGAGCACGCGGACTTTGGTCTATCGCTGTCGGAGTCTGAGGCGGAGCTGTATAGTTGATGACTGGCCGAGGGCTGTCGATATGACGCGGTGGTTCTGGCGATGCACCAAGCGCGTTCACTCTGCGCGACGGATCGGCAGGCGAGCTAGGCTCCTCCTTACTGAGCCGCGGCAGATGACTGCACCCTACACCTGCCCGCTTGACGTCGGCAACCGGCGAGATCGCCCTGGTATGCTCAATTGGCAGGGCTAGCCGGACAAGCTCCTTGAGCTCCCGTATCTCCTCTCTCAAGCCATACAGCTCGTTCAGTACTATCTTTCATGGTCAGTGTAGCTCGTAAGCTGACGTCGGTACCTTACCCAGCTGTTGGTCATGTGAGACGAGGTCGGGCGGCGTAGAGGGCGGACTATAACACTCTCTTTGCGATCGAAGCGGCCCAAGCGAGGGACAAGGCGGTGACCAATCGCCTGTTACGACCTCCGAACAGCTTTCGATCTTGACATCGTAGACTGCTCTGAGGATTTTGAGGCGTGTGCCAACGCTCAGGATGCCAAGTTCTTTGAGGTCGTCATGCCCGAGGTGAGCGAGCAACGAGCCATCAATCTGAAGATTGGTACACAAGGCACCGACTGCTGCCAGATCATGGTGCGCAAAGAAGCGTTCTACCTGGCTGACTGTCCAGTGCTCGAGGGCGAGGATTGGCAAGGGACCTCGACTACTGACGGGCGAGTCTTGACGACGCTCAGTCCAAGAGGCCTCCGACTGCGATTCGGCAGGCGTGCGGAACGACCTAGCAGATACTGGCGAGCTCGATTGATCCTCTGACATTTTTGAGCTGATGGCTGAACTGGACGTCAAGTCGCACAGGACGACGCAGCCTGAGTTGAAACGCACCGCACGGACGTGGCTGCACGGTCCCCCGTCTCAGGGAAAGAGAAGGGGTTGCCTACGGTTCGACAACAATGTGATCGAGCAGCGATTGAAGCTGGCCGGGCTCGAGAGCTTGTGAATGCGAGGATTGCTCGAGATCAAAGAGGATCTGCGACAGATCGCGTCCGTTGACGCTTCGAGGGCGATCGGGCGCCGGCGTGTGCGGACCGAGGGACGCCGCATAGCGCGTCAAGTTATAGTGTGGTGGTCCTCCGTGTGGTGTTTGTACGAGTGAGGGCTCCATCTGAGCCTGCGGCTGGATGGTTTGTCCCTCACGATCTCGCCAGTACTCGATATTCGTAGACACATTGACCGCAGAAGCCGCATCGTCCTTCGGTATACAGCTCTCGTGGTCTGCAAAAAGACGGCGCAGCGTCTGAGCTACGACGTTACCGAGCGGACAGTGCATGCCGAAAAGTTCCAATGCTTGTATGACGAGATTGACTTCTGCCGCGACGTCATCCGCCGGCAGTCTTCGCGAAGTCTTGATTGCAAACTCTCTGATGAGCGTCCTGCCGGCTACCGACCAACAGAAGACGACATAGGGCGTAAGCAGGCCCAGCTCGAAGGATGAGTTGCGCAGCGTCTGAATCATTGCCAACATCGCACGCGCTGAGAGCAAGCATCGTCGCATAGCCAGATCATGCTCACGCGCGCTGACAAAGGGCTCGTGTAAGATCATTGTGCAGCAATGGGGCACGGCGTGGGCAGTGACGAGCTCAATGTCGATAGTGGCGGCTGCGCCGCCCAAAGCTTGAGCGAAGTGACGGTACGCAGGTGGGAAACTGAGTCGGAACGCAACGACTTCTGCGTCGAGCTTGTTGAACTCTACGCCGGCTGTGTAATCGTACTTCGGCCTCCCAGGCACAGGCTCGCCATGTCCGAAAGGCGCAGGCAGTCGTTGGACGAAGTTGACCACCCGACCCAACAAGACAAAAGCTTTGATATTGAGCTGACGAGGACCGACGAGTCCGTCGGGATGACTTGTGAAGAAGGTTGACGAGTGGATGGATAGCGCTGCGACTGCTACGTCCTCTCTGGTGCGCTCGAGCGCCTCTGCGTATTGTGCAGGCAAGAGCGTCGTCACATCTGCCTCATCGATTGCGGAGGCCCAGCCAGTATTGGCGCTCGCAAATCTGAAACATGGTCAGCTGATGCACAAGTGAGACTTGCGTACATACCTGTCGCAAAGAAATGACATCCAGAATGTTTCTGCTCGTTCGTGATGGGCATAGCGATCTGTTGTTGGCGCCAAGTAATTCGTCTTTCGCAGGCGATCTCGTATATCTTGGCCACGCGTGAATTCTAGTCTTTGCAGATTGTTGAGACCTAGTGGAGTGCATAGCCGGGTCGCTACACCCGACCAAAGCCACACTTCTACAAACTTTGCTCGAGAGTACCTGCTACCCTTTGAGTATCTGCGGAATGGTAGTGAAGCAGTAGACGCACGTGTAGTAGCAGATGATGCACATGGCTTGTGCTACGTGGAAAAGCTTCGCACCGCGTACGAGCGTGTTGTCCCAAGTCTCTGTAGCCACGCGTGCATGGTAGTCTGCAGGCGATCTATCGTGCTGACGTTGCCAATACGGTTCTCTCGAGAGATTGAACGCGTGTGGGGAGACCAGCATGGATCCAACGCAGCAAACTGCATGTATCAAGCAAGTATGTGGAAAGTCAGGATGAGTCGGCAAGAGGTTAAGCGACGACAGAAATCTGCCTCTATTGATTGTATGTCCGCAGACGTGGGGCTTCGAGAAGAATGCAGTGCAAAGGGATATCACCAATGGCGGGCTGGGTAGCGAGGGTGGCCAAGCGGGATAGAGCATCTCGTTCATAAAAGGTGGCTCCGCGGATATGGGCGCATTGGGCGGAAAGATGTAGTTTTGCGTGACATGTGTCGCGACGTTTGTCATGGGCGGCAGACCGAAAGGAGGAACGCCAGGAGCCTGTGCACGGTACTGGGCCAGCTCGTGTTCTAATGATGCAATCTTTTGCTCTAATGGGTATAGCGCGGAAGTGGTCAATTGCCGGACTGACTCTTGACTCTGAACGCCCAAAGGTGGTCCGGGAGGCATAGGATGAAAGAGTGCAGGCGTGTTTGTCGTTGGCTTGTCATACTCGCACATGACCAGATGGACATCGATGCCTTGCGCGTTGGCCGAGCGCAAGCAAGGGCCACAGGCCGGTCTGACGGTGTCGCATCTGACTTTGCGAGCTCGGCAGCGTTTGCATGCCTCGAACCGCGACAGCGCAGGTTGCCTGCGCTTCCGAGGCTTGTAGTCCGACTCGTCTCCCTCCTGTGCAGAGCCTGCAGAGGTGCTGGGCCCGGCACTCTCTTGAGCAAAGAAGTTGGTCTGCAGGCTTGGGCCTGATCGCTCAGCCGGCGGCGATGAGTCTATCTGTGAAGCTGGCCTGACACTCTGCATCGTCTGACGGTCAGTACACACCGCCAACAGATACAGATGACGACTCGCTGACCATTGTGCCTCTATACTGCGCGGCGGCAAGCTTGTCTCTTGTCTTGTCTCCTGTCACCGACAACGCGCGCTGTCGATCTTTGTATTAGCGCGGCGCTGCTTGAAGCGCGTGGCGGCGTATCAGCATCACAACAACCATCGCTAGCTGGCCGACATGGATCCCACGTCAGAGTACATAGACTACAGGCTGTCGGCTTCGCAGCGAAGAGCGAGCCAGGCCGGTCGTACTCCACCCAGGACGCCTACGACCGCGACTCCATCACCCCGCCTGAGTCGGTCTGGCAAATCAGCAGACACGAGTCCAGGTAGCTCGACAAGGACAGAGCCAGCAAGACAGTCGAGTAGATCGCCGGAGAATCTAAAGCGGCCTCCGCAACCGACTCGAGATCTGTCGAGTTCATCGAGCAGCTCGTCGCCTTCAGTGAATTATGCCTCTGCTGCTGAGCAGAGCGATACCCAATCCTCGCCTGTGTCGGCAGAGACGAGGAACAAGCCGCGTCTCTCGGGAAATGGTGTACGGAGTGAAGCAAACACAAGTACGTCATCTATGACAACATCGCCTTCACAAGCGACCGTCAGAGCAGCAGAACGGCGTATGTCATCTGCCAGTCGGTCTCAACCTAGCGTCTCCGATCACAATGGAGTATCAAGCACGCCAAGTCCGTCGCAGTCGCGTCAGAGGCAAAGAGCTTCCTTGACTTCAGATCCAATGAGCTTGTTTCGTGCGCGCTCACCTAGTACCACCGAACGCGATCAGTCCAGAGAGAGCAGCATCGCTTCTCGGCATGTTCGACCACCCATGCCTGCTCAAAAGACTTCATCGGACAATGTCGCGAGGACTGTTCAGAGGAGAACTTCAGTCGAGACCATGAATATCTCCCTGGCGCCCCAGACTGGGCCCACACCGGCACATACATCTACTGTAGGCTCGGACATGCCCCGGTCACGACAAGTGCCCATCATGACTTCCACTCCTATGCATACCCGTCAGTCTAGTAATGCACATGCTACCTTGCCGCCAGATGAACGGCTGCCTGTCGAGACAACCTCAGACGTCGATCGTCTGTTCGGTACGACCTCAGCATTCGACAAAGTCCTCCAGTCAGACCAAGTCATCCACAGATCCAGTCACGAACAGCTCTCACCAACAGCTGGCGCGCCTGCGAGCCTCAGCGGGCCGGCTCCAATAGAGGACAGCCCAGCTGCTAGCAAACGCACAATGAAGCCCACATCGCTCCTGCTCGCTGCTGCGAGTCGCAAAAAGCAGCAACGAGCAAGCGCGATGAATGGCCCTCCGCCGCTCGTACTAGGCTCGGCCTTTGTCAACATCGCACCGAGAGGATCCAGGTCGGCAGGAGGTCAGCCGGACTTCGAGTCCATGCTGGCTTCTGACAACACCATCAAGCTCAACGAGAGGTCGTCGCTTGAGGGTCGCTTGACCGGCCAAGCATCAGTTGCAGACCTACGATCGGTTTCCAACCCGGAGACTGCTGCTCTCAAGCCTACGATATCGCGCGAGTCAGCTGCCAGATCGCCTTCTGGTCAATCAGCACCTGCTTCGGCTGTGCAACGGGTAACTTCGAATGGCGAGACATTTGTAGACGCAAGTCCATTTCCTGCGACGACCGACGAGCTTCAGACGCCCATCACGCCTAGCGGACGAGCGCCTACAATTCAGTCGCTCTCCTCTAGATCGGTATGTGCCTTCTCTAGACATGAGCTTCCACCTGATGACACGAGAGCAGCAAACATTCTCCAGCACGATGAGGAAGACATCTGGCTTCTTTCGCAAGGCACTCTCGAGCTTCAGCGCACCGACAACAACGCCCGGTCGAGTTCGTTGCTCGCTCATGCATCTGCATTCGCGCTCATGTTTGGAACATGCAGAGTGCAGGCATTAGTTCTGCGGACATGGACATCTACGCGCCCACAAGCAGCGCTGATCTCCCACCTATCGCTCCACCGGTACCTGCAATGCCGGCGCGATATAAGGACGAAGCTTTGCCTCCTCTACCAGCATTGACCGACGCGCCTAACGCGCCGCCTGCTCTGCCTTCCTCTGCAGCTGCGGGTTCAGCATCGACGCCTGCGCTTGTCTCACTGCCCATCGCTGCCGCTATGCAGAGGACTCTGTCGAGTTCCAGTGCAGCATCGGAGATTGTCGGACCTGCGCCTGCATACAAAGGTAGTCCAAAGTCTTCCGATGTCGCTCGTTTGCGATCTACCTCGAATCACGGCAAGACAGTGATACCGCCGCTGCCACAACGACTGTCATCTGCCGAAACTTCGCCACAGATGCCTTCGAAAGAACTGCGGCGTCGCTCACTCGGCCTGCCTTCTGAGTCATCTTCGCCTGCGCAAACCACGATTCCCACGGAATCTCTCGCACTAGGCTCCGCATTCGTGCAGCAGCAGCTTACCTCGCGTCGGCATCGCCGGCATAGCTCCAATGCTTCTCTCACTGCGCAAGACCTTGATAGGCTCCCCAATTCTTCTACATCGTCCAACAGATCGACCATTATCTCCAGCTTAGCACGAGGAACAGCATCGCCTACTTTGCCTCCTCGCTCCGCATCACTGACCGGATCTACTTCACTGACAAGCTCAACACCCACGAAGAGCAATCGCCGTTCCCTCAATAGCATCATTGACGGCGAGTTACTGCCGCCTCTGGGCTTCGAAGACGCGCATGAAACACCCATGCCTACAGCTCAGTCGACAACTGCAGGCAGTATCAATGTTCCCAAGGGGCTCGCTCTCAACGTTGATACCTCGGGCGAATTGCCACCGGTGTCGGAGAGCTCGAGATTGTCTGCTTTGCTCGCTGCAGCATCGGCCGAGGCGCGGCAGACCAGATTGAGCGGTGGCTCGGCCACTCTGCCCTCGCCAATACTTCCGCGCGAGCTGTCATCGGTGCCAGATTGGGCAGAGGGACATGCGCCAGAAGAGCTGGCGCTCAAATTCTGGAATAACGAAGAGGGATTCCTCAGACCACAAGAGCGAGCAGAATGGCTCGGTTCATTGTCAGTCGCATGCTATTCATGCTATCTGCTCTAACCGATTTGACACAGACCCTCACTGAATCAGCGCACTTTGCTGGCCTACATCGGTCTCTTCGACTTTGCCGGCCTACGCATTGACGCTGCCTTCAGACTTCTCTGTGATCGCCTGTATCTCAAAGGCGAGACGCAGCAAATTGATCGCATCCTGGCAGCTTTCAGTGCTCGATATCACGAGCAGAATTTGTCAGGTCTGTTGCATAGCGTCGACTTGATACATGCTGTCGTCTATTCTATCTTGCTGCTCAACACTGACCTTCATGTGGTCGAGTCGACTACACGCATGTCACGGAACCAGTTCGTGCGCAATACAATGTCGGCTATCTACGAGCAGCCAGAAGCGCAAAGGACCGTGGATGCCATGGGCGATGCTCGCAAGAATGCCATCGATAAATGGACAGCTTCGCTCGCGCAAACCGATGGCACAATGCATCGCAGCTCATCAGCCTCGAGCGCTCTCAGCGGAGGTCAGGATAGTGTGCTCGATGCCGATCCAGCAGATCAAAGCATGTCCTCTGCAAAGTCAAACTTACAACCTGCTGCACTGCGTCGAGGCTCTACTGACGATGCAAGCAACAGACAAGAGGTTGAGCCTTTCACCAAAGCCTGGGACGTTCACATGGAGTCACTGCTGCGTGACTTGTTCCAATCGATCCGCAGCAAGCCCGTGTATCAGAACAGCGCGCATGCAGACGATGCGAGCAGCATGTCTTCGAGGCCCGGTTCCACACTCAGCCCAACTCCGACACATACAACTTGGTCAGGAGTGACTCGTGTGCCGAGCAAAAGCAGCCACGCAGCATCTATCTCTGGCTCGGAACGTAATGTGCGATCGAACTACAAGCGAACGAGCATGCGTGGACTGCTACTAGCCGAGCATGGCAAGCATAACAGCAGCTCAGCGGGCAGCGCCATGGGCTCAGCAAGCGATCGTGACTCTATCATGTCTGGCAATGCCTCGATGATCAACGCCATGGGGCAGCATCAGATGCCTAATCTTGGCTTTGCCAGCAGTCTGTCCAACACGATCATCCGCGAGCAGCAAGAAGATGAAGCAGACACGACTGTCAAAGATGACACCGAGGTCACCGAGGAGGAGCTGGCTTTGATGGGCGCACCATGGGCAAAGGAAGGCTTGCTGCAGCGCAAGCATTATTGGGAGGGTCCTCAGAAGCGCGCAAAAGACAAAGCATGGGAACAAGTCTTTATGGTCTTGTCCCGCGGTGACCTGCGTGCATTCAAGTTCGGACAGAGCATGAAAGGTATGCAAGGATCATATGGGCTCGGCGGCGGCAATTGGCTTGTACGTATCCTGCTTGTTTGCGAATACTTCCTGCTGATGACAGTGGCAGTCCAATGCGCAAGCTGTGGGCGATGTCGATCTAGCACATTCGCTGACGAGTCCGCTGCCTGTGCCCGGCTACTCGCGAACTCGTCCATTCGTGTTCGCGCTTACTCTGCCTAATGGCAATTCATACTTCTTCCAGGCAGGTACCGCGGATCTTGTCGCGGAATGGGTATCGGCCTGCAATTACTGGGCAGCTCGTGTCAGCAAACTACCTCTTGTCGGCGGCGTATCGAGCATGGACTACGGCTGGAATCATGCCAACGATGCCGACCACCCAGACGGAAGCTCCGTCGCTCGGGATCGATCGACGAGTATACAGGATGATAGAATGAGCGTTCGGAGCGGACGCTCCAATCGGTCACGACAAGTGTCGTCCGGCGTATCCAACACGACCATTCATGACCGGCTCGCTCTTGCGGAATGGAAGCCTTATGCTGCTCCGTTGGGCAAAACACATCACGACGAGATGACGCAGCGCGAGCTGCTAAAACAGCATGTCGTCCTGCTCCAAGAGGATCTGCAGCAACATAACGTACTGCGCGGTCCGATGCAGCGACTCTACTCCGCCAAATCCGCCAATGCTGGTCGCGCCATGTACAACTGGGAACGTAAATCACAATATCTCTTGTCTGAGATCGTCAAATACACGACGTATATCTCGTGCATAGAAGACGCCTTACGACTTCGCAACGTTCGCCGAGACGAGAAGCTTCATGCGGAATTGCTTAAGAACGCCGACGATCTCGATGAAGATACTTCATTCAGCATGGCGAGCAAGACGCCAAAGAGCTCCAATTCAGCGACCTTCAAGGACGTCTGATGCATTCCTGCGTATGATGTCATATGTTGTTTGTGCTCTATTCATGCCTCTTGCCTCTCTTGCATGACTGGGTGTGCAGCAAATCGGCACTAGCTCGCATGGCTACCTCGTATGCTCCTGTAAAATCAGGTCATGGCGACGAGTGCCAGTGTGGTCAGGCGGAGCCAAGGTCAAAGCCGCGGAACAAAAAGGAAGTTGAATTGCAATGCACCAATCAGCTGGCCCAGGCTGCCCAGTTGCTGAACTGCTCGTCAGCTCGGCTCCATCGACTGGATGCTGCATGTGATAGTGTGCTGTGCAAGCTAGAAGACGCTCAAGTGATGATGCACGCGCAGAGAGAGAGAGAGATTTGCTCATGACTCAAAATCGCGACGGATGAGACCAGACAGTGAAGAAAGTAATAAAGGTGCATTGGAAAAGGATAGCTGCAAGGGCTGTCGGCTGGCTGTAGCAAGCCCGATATATACAGGTGCCAATTGGCGGGGAGCTGCACAGCAGGCCGACAGCGCGATGCAGCCAGCAGGATGAGTGGGATTCTCGTTGAGAGCTGAGCAGGAGGAAGAGGCCAGCGCTCAGCAGCGACCCTACTGGCAGGCTGAAAACGCTCTCCTGATTGCTGCTGGCAACGAGCGAGGAGGAGAGCGTGGTGAAGCAGGCGAACTTGAAGTCGACTCCAGCTGGGCTGGAACAGTTCGCGTTGACAGACCAGCTGCTCAGACCGATGAACACACAGGCCTACCACTCTCACTACTACCCCGGCATCGGCCTAGCGCTGTTTGACTTATCGTGCCGTTTGCCAGACCAGCTGCGCAGCTTCGTGGACACCAGGCCCTCCGTTCTCCCCTAGGACCTGGGCGACGGGCCGGCACCGGCTCATTTGTCGAGTCGAGTCGAGCCGAGTCGGGTCGGGTTGACAGACCAGATGCCTAGTCTGACGACCCACAGGCCTTCCAAGCTTCTCACTACTACCTCGGCGTCAGCCCAGCACTGAATGACTTGTCGTATCGAATCGAGTCGAATCAAGCCGAGTTGAGTGTGGAAAGATGAGGAGCGCGCGTTTTATGCGTGCCCAGTGTACAGATATTGTCACATTATTATTGCTCGCGAGAAATCTGCACCGCGTTGATGAACGTCACGTGATCTATGTGAGGACACTCTGAATGCTGCCGAAATTGGATGCATCCTTTGTACTCTCATCACTGCTGATGAGCCATGCAAATATGTTCGATCTCGAAAGCTGATGCTGAGCGGTCCGCAGACGTGCAGTGAGACTCACATAGACGTGAACCGCATTCCGCCGGCACGAGCTGTGTGCAATCGTTTCTCAGGCATCTGAAGTTGTTATTAGCGCTATGAGACGCTTCGAGAAGCCATGCTGGCAAGTCGTCGAGCTGTTCGTCCAGAACGACGTAGCGCTCGCCAGCCTTTGTGCTCTCTCGGAGCTTGTACAGGGCCAGATCGGCAAGGTCGTATCTGATGTGACATTGATCCCATCTGGAGGCCGGGGCGATTCTTGCTTGAATGCGTTTCATGACGTGGTGACCGATCGAATAGCCCATCCTCGTGAGAGGAAGGTCGGGCATGAGGTCTTTCAGGAGCATGCGACGCCATGTATCGAGCATGTCTCGCGAAACACCCTTTGCTTCGAGCAACGATGACGCTCGTCTTTGCTTCACAGTGCTTGATGAAGAGGCGATATTCGAGGCTGCAGCAGCAAGTATCTGACGCTGGGAGTTGGCCATCTTCATGCTTGCTCACAAGTAGAGTCTCTCATATGGAGCGTGTTGAGGCTCTCGCTTGGTAGTGATGCATAGAAACAACGATCGCTGGGACACCTGAGTCTGCTCTTGGCGCTGGTGTGGCTGATCGAACTTGACCCTCGACTGCCGTGCTCCTTTGCTTGGTCTGTGGAGACTGGTGCTGAAGCTGCCGCGCGCTGTCTACTGCTTCACTCGATTCAGTACGAGGTGGGCGGCGTCGCAGAAGCGTGTACAGGCTGCTGCATCGTCAAACAAACCCCAAGATGATCTGCGACTGGTGACAAGTCGACAATCTCTCCACGGCTCACGACGTGCACAGTGCACGACTAGTCGCACGACTCGCGACAGATTGACAGCCTCGAGCCGATTCTTACCCTTCTGCCTGCGCTATGGCGACCAAGCGCAAGTCAGAGGATGCTTCAGCATCCTTCCTGCCGAGCAGCTATGCATCACAACACGCCAGGAGCTTGCAAGACGATGCGGATGGTTTCACGAAAGCTACGAGCAAGAAAGAAAAGAAACGACTCAAGATTTTGAGGAAAGCAGAGGTGTTGGATTCATGCACTGCCAGTGATAGCCGTACTGATGCTGCTGCCGATGTGCAGTTGGAAGTGCCGGAGTTCCACTTCAATACCCGAGGCTTCGCGAACAACCGACACGTTGCGCTTGTTCATGTTCGTGACGCTCTGCTCAGTATATTGTCAGATGAGCCTGCGCCCAATTGGCTCGTCATCAAGCATAAGAGTCACATCCAACGCGTCGTCGTTCTTTTCATTCCCGGCATCACGGGCGATACACTAGGTGTCGCTGATCTCGACGCGCACACGACGATACCCCAGTCTCTGACAGAATCCTCGAGGAGTCAAGCCGACAGGAAGACAAAGCTACCTGTCTTTGGTCGGATATTCGGTGCATACTGTCCTACGAAAGCGCCGGGCGACAAGTACAAGATCCACTCGGCACAGATGACATTTCTTAGCTCGCTCGCCGTTCCGCCAGCAGAGAAGAAGCGCAGGGAAGCTGCTCGTGTACGCGGTCAGTGCTGAAAAACCTTCATTGATGTACTCTGCTGATATGCTGTCGATGACAGAAGCTCGTGAGACGTCGAGTACAGCGCGAGAAACGGCAGCGAATTACCTGCTGACGCGCGATCAGATGCTCACGGCCGCTTTCCCCATGCCATCATATCGCTTTAGCACGCCGAACGAACCTCTGGACAGTAGATCTCCACCTGAGCCAGGTCAGATCGATACCGTCCTCGAGGAGACCTCCAAAGTGGCAGGCAGGCCGGGTTGGTACGAGACCCCACAAGCCATGCTCTCGCGAGACGAGGCCAAATCGATGAAGGTGCTCGGCATCGACTGTGAGATGGTCAAGACGGCGGAAGATTCCGAACTTGCGAGAGTGGCCATCATGGATCAGCAAGGCCAAGTCGTCTACGATACTTTTGTCAAGCCCGACCGACCCATAATAGACTATGCTACGCAGTATTCTGGTATCACGCCCGAGAACCTTGCCAGTGTAACGACGACCCTGGCAGATGTACAAAGTCACCTCAAGACTCTCATAGACTATCGCACTATCCTCGTCGGACACTCGCTCGAATGCGATCTTCGAGCGCTCAAATTGGCACATCCCTGGGTCATCGACACGACTGTACTCTATCCTCATCCGCGTGGTCCGCCCTTCAAGTCGAGTCTGAAGTGGCTCGCAAAGCAGTGGCTCAAACGAGAGATCCAGATCATCAGCTCGCACAGACAGCCCATCTACGATGACAGAGGCGAACCGATTGCTCATGCGCCCGGCCATGATCCTAGAGAAGATGCAGGAGCGGCAATAGAGCTTCTCAATAAGAAGATTGACAAGGGACCGACATTTGGCGTCTTCACGAACGACACAGAAACCATCTTTGAACGTCTCTCGCGAGGACCGACGCCCAAGACGTCGGCAATCATCGACTACGGTTCGCCAGCAGTCTGGATCGCTCGCGGGTGCAGTACAGTGACAGCGTGCACATCAGACGATGAGATCTGCTCGGGTATGATCTCCGCTGCTCAGACGCAGGATTTTGTCTACGGCCGCATGCTCGAACTCTCCCATGCCCGAGGCTGTACGTTGCCGTCCCTTTCATGTGCGCAAAATCTGAGCCCTATTTCCCTCAGGGACTACGGCACGTGCAGCACAGGCAGGAACCGCAGAAGACGAAGCGACTATGCCCGCAGAACCAAGCGAGCCCGTCAAGGCGATAGACGCAGATCCGGTTTATGCACAGATGAACGAGAGGATCAAGACACTCTGGAATGGCTTACCCCGATCCACTGCCTTGATCATTCTCACTGGTCATTCCGACCCAGGACCGGCCATCGCGCTCAACAAACGCAGGGCGACTTATGACTCGCTGTGCAGAATGCTCAAGCCAAGCGAAGTGCCTAGAGAGCATGTATGGATGACACAAGATGATCGCGATCTCGAGCAAGAAGTAGTAAAGGCTAAGTTGGGCATGTCGTTCTTTAGCATCCGAGGCGAGCCGTTGTTGTAATCAAAATCGCATGTACATCGCGTGCCGGACGTCTACGCCGCGCGCAAGCCAAGTCGCGCTGTTCCGCTTGCATTGGCCGGTGCGCGCGGATGCGCAGAATCAGATCAAGGCTGCTCATTGGCCTGACGATATGTAGTCTGCTACTGCTAGCCGATAACATCTCCTTGCGCATCAAGCGACGGCAATCGCTGAGCGCCGACGACAGTATTGCACTGACCGAAGCCCAAATTGACGATGCAGCGGCTCGAGCAATCGAGCAGCCGGCAAAGGGTAGCTTTTCCACCGAAGAAGATGCAGCAGACCGGATGAATGCAAGTCGGTGGGATGCAAAGACACTCGCCGGGCACAGAATACGACCCGTCTTTCCTCGAACATGGACACACGAACTGCCCACATTACATACTTCACTCACCACCCTCCTACCTATCTTGCCTCAGATAGCGAGGGGACATTCTAATTCTGCACCCGATGGATCAATGTCGACACTCGTCATGACACTCGCCACGCCTGGCATCAAGTCTCATCTCTTCAATTGGCTTTGCTTTCTGCATCATAGATTGCCATCAAACCTATATCCACCCGGCAGCTACCTCGTCATCACGTCGTCCAGAGATCTCGCCGTGTATCTCTCGGACAGAGGTGTCATCACCCTGTTGCTCCGTCCGTCAGAAGCAGAGATGGATAGTCGCGCATTCTTGGATCTATGGACCACTTTGCGTAAGCTGGAGCTCTTGATCTCAGACGACCCGGAGAACGTCGCGCTCAACAGTAGCGTGGCGCTGAAGTGGGGCAATCTGGACTATCAGTCGCTGATGCTGGAGCGCACGATCATGACGACAGCAATTGTCAGCAGTCTGGTCGATGCCAACGGTCCCTCTGTCGATCGTTCATCAAGAAAGCCAATGAAAGCCAATGAGCGCCCCGTAGGCGGCGTACTGATCGCAGACAACGATGCAGTATGGTAGGTTTCGTCACGCACCCCAGCAAAACGACGCTTACTCAGTGCTCCTTCCTTCGTTAGGCTGTCATCACCGATACCGCTCCTAGCACACCCATATCGTCCGCAAGGCAGCCTACCGTCCTTCCTGTATTCAAGCGACATCCACCCGACTGCCATGACTGAGTATGGCAAATTCGAGCTGCCATGCGCTGGCTTCTTCTACTCGCGCGTGTCTGATCCTATCAAGCCAACTTATGACAGGAAGTGTCAATTTAGCCCTTCGGAAGGTGCTGCCCTTGCATGGCGGTACACCACGCTCTGTCACATTGCTTCGACCCTCGAATGGCGTGGCAGAGCTGAGGAAGAGGCCCGCGATGAGCTCGAGAACGAGGGTCTGCCTGAATCTGATATGCCTCGTTTGCTCAAGAAGCACAACAAGCTACAGCGTGCTCCTGGCTTTCAAGATTCGAGCCTTGGACCAGCGATCTGGCTTGCAGAAGAGGGTCTCCTACCACACCTTTCGCATGAACGTTTCATGGACGCATTGACTTCTGGCGACCCGGACGATCTGCTCGCGCTGATGTCCGAGATGGGTCTAGGGCCCGACGACCCACCTTGCGACATCAAAGCGCGTCGAGCATACAAGCGCTGTCCCAATCCTGATCATCCAGCTCACTCGCCTTTTGCCGCGTTCGAGAGACGCGCTCGCTGGCGTGATACACCTTTGCTCAGTGGTCACAAGCGACGTAGTGTGCAGCATTACACTAGGCCTCCTCCGAATATACAGATCAGAACTGAGCCATTGCCCTATGCTCTGTTTCCTCCCGGCCGAGGGTTCTTTGATGAAAAAGAGCGCGAGAACGGGGCGGAAGCCGTCGTTGTGCATGCTAATTACGCCATTGGCAAGTACAAGGAGAAAATAATGAAGAGAGAAGGCATATGGGCACTCGTCGAACGGCCCGACCTTGATCAGCCGTATTGTAGTATGGACATTATCGAGAAGGCGCCCAGACCAAAGCGCGGCTAGGACTCGCTCGAAATTGATCAAAATGACATGTGACTGTCGCACGTACCTCCTGACTCGCTACCCCGCCAATCGTGAGCTGGGCAGCGAGTCACGTCTGGAGCCTTTCAATTGCGCACAGGCCTATTGTCGGCAAACGCGCGCTCGCTTCTCACGGGACTCGTCGCCAGTCTCGCTTCCTGCGCAATGTCCGAACCATACAGGTTGGACAGCAACTCATCGCCTCTCCCTACTCGACTCCATCAATGGCACCTCCACCCAGTCGCTCTTTGTTTTTATCTAAGTTGCACGCGTAAGCAGCAGGCTCAGATTTGTCCGGCCACACTGCTGACATGCTGTGCAGACTGCTTGATGCATCTACGGAAGCAGACGATGTACATTGGTACGGTGACGACGGTGTCTTTCGAGTAACGAGCAACTCTGCGAGAGCTTGCGAAGCGCTCGCCACTGCATGGGCTTTCAGCTCTCTTTCGAGCTTTGTCAGACAGGTAGGTCGGTCGATCTTCATATTCTTCAGCCTTTGACACACTTCGTAGCTCAATTATTACGGCACGACCCGGGTATCGGATCGCCGTCATGCAAGTCAGCGGACCAAGAATGCGCCTCACGAAGGCTATGTTGTCTTCAGGTAGCTCATGATCTCGCCATCAAGCGAGCAGCGCTGACTCGCAACGACAGACATCCCAGCGGATATTTCTTGCCAAACCGTCCAGATCTCGTCACTAACATCTCCCGACGCACGCGAAAGAAGCGCGCACGCGGCAGTGCACCCGCGACTAGGCGAACGACAGCTGCTGCTGCACGTACTCGCTCGGCAACAGCAATCGCAGACTTTGCGCAGAAGATGGCAGTCTCTGTTAACGCTCGCGATCTCGCCATCCATGATCGTAGCTCGATCTCTGTCTCGACGAGTAGCAGCAGTCCATCTCTCGGCAGCGGCCCGTCAACATTCTATCTGCCTTCCGTCTCATCCGGCCCGAACAGCTACTACTCGTCTGTCGGTAGCTCGCCTATCTCGCCCGCTGTGCCCGACTTCTCGATGCCGACTTTCTCGCTCTTTGACGCTCAGGAAACGTCCTTTGCCTCGCAAGCCGATCATGCCCACGTCCTCTTCTCGCCTGTCGAAAGTGATGTCAGATTTTCGCCCTCGCAGCTGCAGCTATCGAGCTACAACAGTGCCGACTGTATGACGAACTTCAACGAAGAGGCGAACTATCCTTCGAGCTTCGATGTGGCGTACAGCTCACCCGTATTCCAAGATCATACGAGCATGATGTGGCCATCGCCTTCGCATTAGAGTTGCAAACGACTGGCATACATGATGGCACAATACATAAGGCGCTACGGAGGCGCAAGTAATGCAAATGGCGAGGGTGTCTATAGACTTTGCTCTGAATAAAGCGACCATGACGATTTTCACTGAGCTTTCTGTACGCGCGATACTCGCAACGGAAGCTGTGTGCCCGCCTTTGCTTCGCCGCGCACGAGCGGTTTGCTGACCAAGAAACTGCGTGCGTATATCTCTGTGCCGCCTTCGTCACGCTCTGCGAAAGAGCAGTGCTGTATTGCGACGGAGATGATTGCTTTGAGCTCGAGCACTGCGAATCTCCAACCTATACATGCTCTCGAGCCGCTCAAGAAACTGTGCCTTCGTGTGAGCGATGCCACCAATGATAAAGGAGAGCCGTACGAGAGTTGGTGAGCCCAAAGGAAGCCTTTCGTGCCATCTGCGACCGATTCAGGTAGATTGAACCACCTATCGGGATTGAATTTCGAGGCGTCCGGTCCCCAGATGGTCTCGTTGCGGTTGATCGTATAAATTGACATGAAGATGGATTGACCGGGCATGACATGAATAGTATCTGTCATCTCGCCATTGGGCAATCTGTAAGGTGTCGAAACCGGAATGTGGTCTTCCTTTGCTACGCCTCGAATCGTACCAGAGACGGGCGAGTCGAACCGCATGATTTCTTTGCAGATCGCATCGAGATAGGGCAGCTTTTCGAGCGTTTCTGGCTCGATCTCGGCTAGACCTTGACGCTCTGCTTCTGCTTGAGCTTCGACGATCTCTGCACGCAGGCGTGTCTGAATCTCTGGGTTCTGCGCAAGACGGAGTAGTGTCCAAGTGGCAGCCGTAGAAGTTGTCTCCTGACCGGCAAGCAAGAACGTGGTCATCTGGGACATGACTTCGTCGTCATCCATTCTGTCGCGGGCTTTGAGACTGGAATCGAGATTGGACCGCACGAGAAGGCTCATAAGGTCCCTGGCTCCCTTGACAGACGAATCACTCTTCTCCATGCGCTCCTGCTCCACTTTTTTCTTTTCGTCAAAGATCTTACGAGACTCTCGCGCTCTGATGCGCATAGACTCTCGCATGACTTCGACTCGTTTGTTCGGTATGAGCGCCAAGAACGGTAGCGCGCGAACGACGAACATCATCGCAAAAGAAAGCACAGAGGGTTCGCCGAGGGACTTTGTCATGCTCTGGAATGACTTGGCAAGCGCGTTGTCGTCATTCTCCAATGAGCCAAACTCGTAACCCAAGCCTGCTTTGCCGATGACGTCCAGTGTGCACCGGTTGAGACCGAGCGAAACGTCAAAGATAGCATAGCCTTTTGGTTCAGCTGATTCGGCTTCTGTGGCGACCGCGTCAAGCCACTGAGAGAGCATAATTCGGGCCTTTGCCTGGAAGACAGGCGTGAGCTCTCTGACGTGCGGCCAAGTGAAGGCAGGCGTCATGATCTTTCGCTGACGTTTGTGATCGTCGCCCTCGGCAAAGAGCAAGCCTTTGCCGAGAATCTTTGCCAGCTCGCCTCGCAGCGCATTAGGCTTGGGGTACGAATATGGGTTGCTGAGGAGGATATGGTTGACTGCTTTGACATCGCTGAGCAGCAATCGCGAGACGCCGAACATGAAATGGTAGCGAGCGTAGCCGCCATACTTGTCGAGCCATTCTTTCTGGAGAATGCCAGGTTCGGCAGCTACGATCTCGGGCAGATTGCCGAGGATGATCGACTTGCGCGGCGGTCCGGGTAGGTGACGGATCGAGGAGAGGTAGTAAGGCGTTATGTAGAGCTTGTAGAAAGCATAAGAAGCAAGCAAGATCGATGCGTATCTGCACACATCACAAGTCAGACCATGCCACGTTTATCTATTGACCCGCGTGCATGCCAAATTGGGCGAATCGGCTGTCAGGCATGGTGAGCTCCATTACAGCTACTGATCGAGTAGCTTGGCGATGATGTGCGGAGGCGAGTGACAGTCGCCAGAGGAGCTCGCGCCCAGGGAAAGCCTGTTGTAAAGACGGCGACTTTCGAGCTCAAGCCGATCAGAGGAAGACGCGTCATGCAGAGGCGGAGCGGCTCAGTTCGGCGCATAGGAATCCCGAGATAGCGCCATTTGTCAAGCCTATGACATGACGTGACACTGGCTTGACACGACAGAGAGGTGAATTGCGCAGCCCAGTACAACCAGAAGCACGAACGCTCAGAGCAAAGCCTCCTTGTCCTCCGCGCCGTCCTTACGCCTTGGCTTTTGCAGCACATCAATGCGCTCTGTTGATCCTGTGTCAGCTTTGAGCAGTACGCACAGAAGCTGCATGACTGACGGGCATTGAGGAAGACGTTGGCGTAGGTCTTGCCGTCGTCCGTCTTGACGGCCGTGGGCAGGTAATCAGCTTCAACATTGACGAGTGTGCCCGGTTCGAGGTTCTGCATGTACTCTGACTCGGCAATCTTGTAGCTGATCACGTCATGCCATGATGTGACGTTCTCAGCCGGCGCACCATCCTCGCCTGGACGAGTCACTGTTGTGAGCGACGTGCGCTCATGCAAATCGAGACGTACGACGAGGGCCACGACGAGATGTAGCGATGACGAACCGGGTGAAGGGCTGTCCGCGCTTGTCTGTGCCGGTCACCGGAGGCGTGCCGAGTCTACCAATGAGCGTCAATTTGGCGACATGAGACGCCGAAGTCGCGCTGAATGCCTGAAAGCACGATCAGGGCGTCAGCTCTGGCACGACCACGCGCAAGATGTCCAGTCGTAGCAGTCATGGGCTATGGAGGGCGTCGACCGCCGTGCGAAGCTGTCATTGAGGGCCGGAAGGACGAAAGCGGGACGGGAAGCGCGAAGCTCTTCGTGAGCGACATGCCAGCTATGTCTGTCGACGAGAGCTGAGCTTGTGTGTGTCACTTACTCTTCGCTGTTGGGACGCTACCCGTGAGAGTCTGCTGATGGCCATTTCGCGCAAAGTCTGAGCGTCTGTCTCTTCGTAGAGTGCAAGAGCGCAGAGGACGCGCCCGACTACCAGGGGCTCACAGCCGAATTCAAGTAGTCAGCTTGATGATTTCGTCTGCGCTCGCCCTCACTCCATTCGAGTTGCCCGCGGGCATCTGCTGTCAGCACGACTTGATCTTTCTCGCAATCTAGCGCGCAGAGTCGAATGCATTACTTTGAGACCAGCATACGGACGGTAAGGTAGTTCGATAGTATGGCAGCTTCCCTGAAGCAGATCGAGCACTGACTGCCACCAAAAGCAAGGGCGAGGATGTTGAGAGAAGGCCAACTTGGCGCACAGCTGAGGAAGGTTGCAGCATTGAGGTGAAGCAAGCTTTCGCGGTGTGGTCCAAAGCGGAGATTGATCTGCTTCACTGCGGGCAAAGCGAAATGAGTCAGAGTGAAGCAAGCCAGTTGATGCGTGTGCCACAAGGTGAATGTCTCAAGCCTGGGGAGTGGATAAGTCTGCTTGTTCGTCATCATCGATGCGGCGAGCGCAGCCGCGTCGAGCTCGATCTCTTTGATATTGAGTCCTTGTATAGGCATTCCGACGAACAAGCCTGTTCTCCTGCCGTGAGCCAAAACAGACGACAGACGGCAACTCACCTCTCATGATGACGACATCGAGGTTCGACAGGTTGGAAAGAGCGAGACTCAATCTTGCAGCGGCGAATCTGAGCCATTCTGAAATCTCGTGCAAGCGGGATGCCCAATCTTTTTGATGGATTTCGACAAATCGCAAGTTTGCGCAATGTTCGAGCCAAACAGCAAGCGATACGATATGATCAGACTCGACAGCATAAGTCACTTTGATCGCCACAAGACGCAACGTCCATCTCGGCTGTCGAAAATCGAAAGTGTGACGAGCGAGCGACCAAGCGCTGAGATCCAACTCGATGACACGCAGCTGTGCGAACGTGGCCAATGCAGCGCAGAAGTATTCGCAATCATCTTTGGCGGTCATCATCCACACGCCCGCAGTGAGTCGTCGGGCGACTGTAAGGATTGCCGGATTGCGCGTGAATCCTTTGTATAATTCAGCAGGTCGCAGTGACGAGCATGTCTGACCCTGAAGCCGGATGTGCTACTGTGCTTGTCAGCTATGGTGCTGGCTGAGAGATGAACTTGCTGTGAAGAGCGCTCGGAGGAGCGATGTTCGAGTCGATTTGCACACGAGGCTCATTGAAAGTCGTGACTGCTTGTCGCTGTAGTACATTATGCGATTGCGTATCTCCTCGGGAAGTGTCTCGAACCAGATCGCTTGAGCAGACATGTCGACACGAGCTTGACGATCCGGCCAGTCGCCGATTGGCCGCGACGCGTCTGACAACAGCGAGAGCGACAGCCGGGCGACGACGATGAGAGATTGAGCCATTCCACAGCCCGGCAAGATGGGCAAGTGGGACTCCGGAGAGGACGATGACGACTTTGGTAGCGATCTCGTCCTGCCTTCCGGTCGCTCGACACTCTCACTACAGTCCTCGACCTTTTCGCAAGCAACCCACTCGACCTCGGCCACATCCGTCACATCTGGCGACGACAGAGACGCTACGATCAAGCTCGGATCGGGAGTCAAGATCTCTTCGTTCAGTGAGCACGGTTCTGCTCGTCCAGGCGACGTCCACTTGGGATCATCTGCCGACGACGACTGGGACAATGACTTTGCAGAGCCTGCTCAGCCTATGCGAGCGCCCGTCCTCATGGCTCCCCCTTCTGAGCCCCGATCGCTCAGACATAAGTCCTCAAAGCATGCCTTGGCTCAGGGAGCCGAGCCCATCAGGTTGAGGACGCGTTCGTCCACTGCTCAACTACGTGCACGCGCGATATCACAAGCCGATGTGCCGCCCGTACCCACCCTGCAGCACGACCGGAAGGGCTCGTCGAAGCAAGCGTCCCAAGCAGAAGTTGACTTCATTTTACCTTCAACGCTGGAACGCATCTCTTTATCGCCCAGATTGTCAATGCGCGGCAGCTCGCCTCGTTCGAGCAAGGTCGAGCGAACGCGTCAGCAGTCCTCAAAAAGTGCGCAGAGCCATCAAACAGATGACAGCGAGGCGTCCTTCTTCGATGACCTCGAGCTGCCGGATTATCTGGGCGGAGCACACACACCGCCCACATCTGAACATCCCTCGTCTGCTCCTCAATCGGCAAAGAAACCTCATTATGGCGATCTGCAGCGTGTACTCGATGACCGGATAAAGTCACGAGCGAGATTTGAAGAAGATGCAGAGCAACATGCTAGTCCGAGACATCAGACGTTGCGCAAGATATCAAAGACGTACGCGGACGTACCAGATCTGCCCATAGAGGACGATTTCGATCTAGACGAGGACAAGCTCGTCCTGACTCGAAAGATGTCTCGTATGCGCTTAAGCGATGCCACGACGCCTCGTCGACCGGCCGTAAAGCCAGACTTATTTATCCCTCCTGCGCCCATTGAGACGCGTCTGCCTTCCAGTCGGTCATCGAAGAATCTGCTCACATCGACAGCCTCATCCGCGAGACTGGCGAGCAAGGCAAAGGAGCAAGCCATCCCAGCAGTTGAAGGTGAAGTTGCTCCAGCTCGCACATTACGACATAAGAAGTCACTCGGTGCCCTTCCTACATCAGGCGGCGCTGTGAAGCAACTCCGCTCGAAGCGATCAATGCCCGCTTTGCCTTCGTTCGATCCGGCAGCATTTGCTGCGATGCCGCCTGTGCCTGCAGTGCCCAAAGCGACGATCAGCACGACTCGAGCTAAGGCTCCGCCGAACTCAGAAGCGCTGCGTCGACCGAAGCGGACGCGTCAATATGGCGATGGCACGGAGCTCGATGGTCTAGCGGATCTCGATATAGACGCCGACCAGGAACGCAAGTTGCTTGTTCGACCTAGCTCAAGCAAACGTTTGGCCGAGCTTGGCGCGAAAGCCAGGCAAGGCAGTCCTGGCAGAGCGGAAGCGAAAAGTGAGAAGCGACCAAGGAAAAGTAGAGGGAAGGAACCTCATCTCATTCGCAATCTCACGGCTGCCGGTCTTTCGAAAGGTTCGCATCCGACTGATCGAGCCGAGCTCGCTCGAGCTTACCTCGTGTCCGGTGAACAGTGCAAGGACAGATGACTTGGAATCCGATCGAAATGCGTTGGGATGGTAATGAAGGCGTCTTGCGCGACTTTGATCACATCGGCACTGCGTCTGCTCGGCCAGCGCTCATCGCGCCTGGTGCTTCGATCTCCCGAACAGGCAAAGGCAGCGTACGCGTTGTCGGCAATATGGTCTTCGATCCGCTATCGATGAGCTGGCATAGCTCTGCACCGGAAGAAGAGGAAGACATTGACTGGGGCGCCGATTTGGCAGACGATGAGGCAGGCTTCAAGTCGTCCGCAAAGCTGTCCCAATGGAGCACCACTTCCGCAGGCTCGTCTTCACTCTCGACGTCTGTGCTCAAAGCGCATTCTGGCGATGATCTCGCCAAAGCTTCGCTGGCCGCTGACAAGCGACACAGAGACGAGATGCGACCGTGGCAGTTCCAACATGCTGGTAGCACTAGAGAGGATCGCTCAGTTCTGTGGCATATTCGAAAGGTACATCTCAAACCTTGCGCACAGATTGGGAGAGCTGACTGGTGGGACCCAGATTGTCATGGACATCTGAGCATGCGTGTAGACTGTACAACAGGATGTGTCAATGTATCCGCACTAGCTCAGCAGGTCGAGCTCTTCATTTGCGATGAGCTCGTACAGCCAGTGAAAGAGGGCCGCGCCAGGCAATCCAACGACGTTGCTGTAGTCACCCGAAATGGACCTGACGAGCACGCTCGCTTTGCCTTGTATGGCATATCCGCCAGCGCGATCGAGCCCTTCCTCAGAGTTGACATATGCTTGTAGTACTTCTGTCGGGTTCTCGGCAAATTCGACGGTCGTTGTTTCTAGCAATGTTTTGATGACATAGCCTGGTGATGTAAGACACGGTATCACTGCGGAGATGTCAGACTTGCTCTTGGGGTTCGACTCATGCATGAGCTTACCGAGCACGATGCCTGTTGCGACTTGGTGAGTGCGCCCGTTGAGCTCGAGGAGCATTCGCATGTTTTCGGCCTTTGTGCCTGGCTTCTCTAGTATCGCATGATCGAGTAGCACGACCGTGTCGGCTGAGAGATCGGTTCAGCTACGCTGTGAGCTGCGCACCGCACCTACCGCCAATCACAAGGTCGGGTGCGTCTTCAGGCGATTGCTCCTGCCAAGCGCGTCAATGCGAATGGCAATGCTTGAGCGAGGGGCTTACGACTAGCCGCAAGTAGACCTCGAGTGCCTTCTCGGATGCGGTCGCAACGGCATAAGCACCGAGACCGAGCTCATCATCAGCGAATGAATCGTGAGGCAAGTTCTCGCTGAATGTCGAAGGAATAATCTCTGGCGCGAGCCCGATCTGCCTGAGGATCTCTGACCGCCTCGGGGACGCCGATGCAAGGATGACTCGCTTGTCTGACAGCGTGCACCTCAGCAGACGCCCGCGCGTGAGAACGAGCAGGCTTGCCTGCGAGGAATGTATGAACGGGCGTGTCGAGCGCGCCAGGTGCGATGCAAGTCTACGCAACCCGATGGGTCAGCTGTGTGACACTCAAGTGACTCGACGGACCCTTTGGGGCAGCAACTTGGCAGTAGACATGCTGACGATGAGTGAGCGACTTTGAGCAGCACGGTGCTCTCTTTGCCACGCGCCGAACTGCGTCATCGACACCTTCACGAGCACAGACAGTCTACCGACCATGGCCAACGACACAGAGGGCAAGACGATCACCTGCCGAGCAGCCATAGGCATGTCACTGCCTCGTCTCAGCCTCGCACGTGCTCATGCTGGGGCACAGCTTGGGAAGCCAAGAAGCCTCTTTCTGTCGAGGAGGTCGAAGTCGGTCCACCGCAGAAGGACGAAGTGCGCATCAAGATACTCTACACTGGACTGTGTCACACTGCATGTCTACCTTGCGCACTGCTTGGGCGTGTCTGACGCTGCATGGGCAGGACGCATACACCATCTCGGGCGATGATCCTGAAGGACAATTCCCATCCATCTGCGGCCACGAAGGAGGTCAGTCTGTTGCTCGCTAGCATGCTGATTTCACTGAATAGTGACACGCTTCAGGTGGCATCGTCGAGAGCGTAGGCGAAGGCGTCACTGATGTCAAAGTAGGCGATCACGTTATTCCGGTCGGTCATTTGCCCTCACGAGCACGCTTTTGACTCACTGTACGAACGTCGAACAGCTCTATACAGCCGAATGCGGCGAGTGCAAGTTCTGCAAATCGGGCAAGACCAATCTCTGCGGCAAAGTGCGAACGACCCAGGTCGGTTGGAAAGCTAGCATCAGCGTCTTATGCTCATGTCGTGCTTGTTCTGCACAGGGCAAAGGTGTCATGCCGGACGGCACTTCGCGCTTCAAGTGCAAAGGAAAGGAGATTTTCCACTTCATGGGCTGCTCCACTTTCTCAGAATATACCGTCGTCAGCAAATACTCCGTCGTCGCCATTGACAAGCAAGCCAACTTACAGAAAGCTTGCCTGCTCGGCTGCGGCATCACGACTGGCTTCGGCGCTGCCACAAAGACTGCCAATGTGCAAAAAGGCGACAATGTGGCCGTCTTTGGAGCGGGCTGTGTTGGCCTGGCAGTCATGCAAGGCTGTCAAGATCGTGGTGCTGCTCGCATCATTGCAGTAGACACCAACTCTGGCAAGAAAGAATGGGCAACTAAATTCGGCGCAACAGAATTTGTCAACCCGGACGACCACAAAGATCCTGGTATTGCGCCTTACCTGGTCGAGATCACAGATGGCGGTCTGGATCATACGTTCGACTGCACAGGCAATGTGACCGTCATGAGATCTGCTCTGGAAGCTTGTCATAAAGGCTGGGGTGTCTCAACGATCATCGGCGTGGCAGCGGCAGGCAAAGAGATCTCAACGCGACCCTTTCAGCTCGTCACAGGAAGGAGATGGCAAGGAAGTGCATTTGGCGGTGTGAAGGGACGGTCAGAGATGGGCGGACTGATCAAGAACTGGTTGTCTGGCTCTGGAGCGCTCAAAGTAGACGACTATGTCACTCATACTGTCGACAGCCTCGACGACCTCAACAAGGGCTTTGACTATATGAAGTCGGGCGAGTGTATCCGCTGCGTTGCGACGATATCTAAAGAATGAACCCCATTGCATATTGAAACATTCTTATAGCCCTTTTGGGTATCTTTGTACGCTAGGCTAGGCTTCTGTCTCGAGGGAACGTGTGAGACTACGGAAGATATCGAGTCGTCCGATCGAGTATGAGAGGTAGTCGAAATCAGCAGCGGCAGCTTGCTGTGCTGGTGAAGGATCCTCGACAGCAGCGCCAGAGACAGAGTCGACGATATCGCCACTCTTTGATCGTTCGAGATGGGGTCGATCCGTTTCCTCTGGTCGAGCATGAGCTTTGTAGCCAGTCGTCGTCCATTCGTCAATCTTTGCAACGATTTCGTCTCTTGCTTGTATGATGCCCCAGACACACCACATGGCATGAGAGGAAGGTGCCCATACGGTCACTTCTTCTTCCAGTCGGAGCACACGAGCATCTTCTCGCTTGAGCGATCGGGCAGCAGTAGCAGGATCATCGAGATCGTCGGTGACCACATCCGTACCACCATCGCTTCCGATGTAAGCACGGTAGAACCGGCGACGCTCTTCTGGTGAAGGGTAAGGTGCATGGGTGAGCGTATGCGACAGCGTGTTGTGCTGATAATCGGTTTGGAATTCGACAAAGTGATTGGCGATATCGAATCCCCGTGGATTGAGGCTCGCATATTCAAAGTCACTGCTCGTCAAGATCAGAACAGCCCACACAAGACAGGACAGAGACAAACATGACGGTCAGAGCCTGATGGGAAACGCGGAGACCCCCTGCAGCGACAAGCTTCTCGGGATCAAGAGCGCCATCCTTGGGCGCGAGAATGAGCAGATTGCCGCATTGTGTGTCATTGTGAGCAAAGACGCGTTTGCTTTTGCCGTTCTTCATCTCCCAATCTCGCAGCCAGGCTCTGTAAGCTTTGACTTGCTGTTCGAACAGGGGCAAATTGAAGCTTCGTCTAAAGGCGAGCATGTGAGCTGGCGACTGCAGAGGGTTGAGATGAGAACCATCAGGCAGCGGATGGACCGTCTTGTCGTCCTTGGCGACCATCGTGTCGAGCTGATCAAAGTCTTTGAAAACCCGTTTGGCTTCGCGGGTCCATCGCGTGATGTTTTCCCACACGGCGAGATTGAGCTTCGCTCGTCTGCCGCTGCTGGACGAGCTGCCTCTGCGCGATCCGACCTTGGATCGCTTCTTGTTGACAGCATTGGACTCGCTCGTACCAGTCTGTGCCGCAAGCGCTGGCGAAGGGGGCACAGATCGCGAGCCGAAAGAAGAAGCTGAGTAGGACGAGCCGAAGCTGAATTCGGATGACTGGGAATTCAGAGATATGCCGGAAGCATTGCTTGCGCGGTCGTAGATAGGCGGTCTGATAGGCTCTGTCTGAGATGACGTGTCTACGCTGTTAGATCTCGAAGGACCGTTTGAGGCAGGCTCGGGCAGGCGCATCTTATTGACATCGACAGTGTGGAGTTCCTTCATTCTCCTTCCGATCCATCTCGACATTTTGTGGTCCCTCATCTCGAGACGATCCAGTGGCCTGGACTCGAAATACTCTTCTACTCTGCCATTCTCGAACGTGCCGAAGATGCGTGGTCCGATTCCGTAGACGGCCGAGAGCGTGTGGAGGATGTGTAGCTCGGTCTGTCGAGAGATGAGCGCGCCCGAGGAGGGTCCATAGATACGCAAGAGGATGGTAGGCGGTGGCTGAGGCGCGAGTGGGTAGGAGATGAAGAAGACGGCATTGGTGAGTGAGCCGGAGACTTTGTGGATGGACAGATCCTCTGCGCCCAAGTCTTTGGGCAAGCCATCCCAGCCTCCGATGCCGAGATCGTCTCTGAGCAAGCCGAGCAGCTGTGTAGCAAATCCGGGCGTCTTGTAAAGTCTGTCATAGTCCGCTATGAGCATTGACAGTGATAGGCAAAGAGATGAAAGAGACTGACTTGGTCGTGAGGACTTGGCTGCTTCTCGGAACGCCATAAGTGTGCACGCTCTCGTGTTCGAACGTGCCTTGGCCTTCTTCATCATCTTCCTCCTCGTCCATCTCTCGCCCACTGCTGCTATCCTCTTCGTCGTGCAAAGACAAAGTCGACAATTTGCGGTCGCCGGCCTCGTCGAGGCTGAAGAGCTCGACATCGTCCACCAATCGTTCGTCAGGCTGAGGGTAGACAAGCGGCGAGCGCGCATAGCCTGCCGAGCGAGTACTGTCACGTCCACAGGTGAGCAAGGGGAGCATACCGACCAATAAAAAAAGGGTGGGGCGTACCTCGCTCCTCGTGAATGCGATCTGCTGCTTGTTGCGAGCAAGGGTGACGCGGTGGGACGAGTCAGAGGCGACACGGGTCCTCCTGACGGTGCGCTCATCCTCGCAGCCGAGCGAGGAGCGTGACCTTATCAGAATTTTGGTGTCAATCACGCGCAACGCGGTCAAAGCTTGTCGAGTGTTTGGCGCCTGCTCGAGCGCTGGCGGAGGATGAGCAACTTCTTCACCGCAAGAAAGCTGCAGGCACCCGTTGCTGCCTTCACGATGGTGTTTGTCCTCCTGGCATTCGTGCGCACGAGCATCACTAGCGCACGACAAAACGCTCGGGCAGAGTCCATCAAACGTCAGCCTGGCATCGATGCACAGACTCGTCGATTGGGTCTCGATTGAAACAACAACATGACTGCGCGGGCACGTCATCGTCCGGTGCTGCTACTGACAACACGCAGACTCGATCCGTCTTGCGTGCTGTCCAATTGTCGCTTTTGCGAGAGCAAAGCGGCTGCTCTCTCTTCGCCCGGTCGGGTGAGTTCTTCCCCACCTGCGCTCTGCTGCAATGACGATCTTCCCTCGTCGCCCAGTGCAGTCCGCTGTGCAGAGAGTCGAGGTGCCTGCGGAGGCCTGCCGCCAGACGAATGATCATCCTCTCGCTCGCGTTTGGCAGGACGATGTTCCTGTGATAGAGGGTGAGGGCTTCTCGGCGGCGAGACCAGTGGTGGTGGGACAGGCGTAGAAGAGGCATTCTTCGGTCCCTCGCCGGCCCGTGTTGACATTTCCTGGTTCGACGCTCCGGGAGTACCGGCCGAGTGCGGTGTGCGTGAGGAAGAAGCAGGATTGTAAGGCGTGAATGCAGTCGATGCCGGCGTTCGAGCATGGCCATACGGTGTATCGGTTGCAGCAGCCGGCGTGCTCGCCTCGGAAACGGCACAGAGCTGTGTACCTAATGGCCTGATGCCTATTGTCTTCGGCATCAGACTATCGACTTTTCGAAGCTGTAACGCCGGTCCACGGTTGAGCTATGCTTGCAGGCTCAATGTGTCATGGACGCACCGCAAGAGCTATCTTCTTCTGCATCGGTAGCGTCGAGGAGCAGTAGTTCTTATACAGCAGACTGACCGCATCTGCCCGCCAGGATTTCGTAAGTGAAACGATCATCTGTTACACGATGAGCAACGTGCCTATGACAGTCGTACGGTTCACAGTCGGGAATATCCTCCACCAAGTCTTGTGCTCACCGCGCGAATCAATCCAATCGGCAGTGAGCTTGTCCAATAGCTGCGGTAGCTGTATCCTCGTCGTTGCCAGTGCAGCGACGATCACAGCGCAGGCGATCGTATCTGGATCGTGCAGGACGCACGCAGCCGTGTACAGACTGCTTCGTCTTGTCAGGACCCGATGAGAGCTCGAGTGGAAGGCTGACGTACAAGTCGAGACAGATGGTCTTGCAGCGTTGAGCGAGCTCTAGCATTGTGACCCTGGCCCGCAGATCGAGCTCTTGATTTTCATAGGGTACGACGAGGTTGCCGAGCAAAGAGAGACCGGCAGCAACGAGATCGTTAGGCGGATGGACGTCGAAATCATATGCAAAGGTCGTCATGAGCTCTTGCTCCATCGCTTTCACTATTGTCAGTAGTTTCTCATACTCCTGCATCCACAGATTAGCAGAGATTGAAAAGGGCTGAAGGTGAGCGGTACGTGCGATGGGTAGCAGAGGTAGCTCTCTGTTGGTCACTGGATCTCTCTGCACTTTCTCGGGCCTGAACGTGCCCTTTTGTCTGAGCTCCCAATGGTGGAGTGTCACCGTGAGCCGCTCGGTGATCGTGTCTGGCAGTCTCTGGTGCTCTTGCTTGATCGTACCTGCAGGCTCCCGTTCATCTGTATCCGAATTCTTGATGGCCAGCGACATCAATGCACCCATCAAAGCCTGTGACTTGATTCAAGCTGCAGAAATGCAGTGCTGAAGCATATTCAACGCACGAGTGATTGTGAAGTGTGTACGCTGCGGAGCATGAAGTATCGATGCAGATACGTCGCCGCGTAGCACAGAGGCGCCATTTGACTGCAGGATAGGGATCCTGTTGAGACACAGAGTGGTGCTCGGCGAGACAGGAACGCACATCTTTCGATACCAGAGACAGAGTATCTCTGACATGTCCCGTATGAGTTCTTGTCGTCTCAGCAGCTCTTGCTCCCAAGGTATTCCATGTCGCGTCATGCTCGGCGTACGGCGAAGAGCAGCCGGATCGACGAGCCAGGATATGCTGAACGTTCTCGTGCTCACAATAGCATCATCTCTCGGTCGACCGTGATGGGCTTCCTCTTTCCTCTTGGCTTCCTCCCCACTTCGTCTGATCTGCTCAATCTGTCGTGCCGTGGTTTCGTTGAATTCGAGCGTTTGACGCAGTGCAGCTTGAGATGCCTGCGGCGGGCCAGTGATGTAAGGCGCATAACGTCGGTTGCTCGCATTATTGTTGTTGCTGCTGCCGCTGTTCTGCCTGTCGTCGGACGCATCACGCGAGACAGTGACCGCTTTGGATGGTCTTGCTTGTGAAGAGGATGTGGAAGCGATCGGGCCGCCTGCCGACATGGTTTGACGCTGCCGAGCGCCGTCAGTCGGTGAGCGCCAAAGCCAAAGACGAGGCGACGACGAAAGCGCGAACCTCTCTCGTCGACGTGAGCAGCGAGGCAGTAGGCAGAGACTGGAGTGGGGCATCATGTGAGAGGGTTCGACGATCAGCCGAGGCTCAGCTGAGTAGCTTCCTCTTCACGCAGGGCGCCGCCTCGCAAGAACGCACTGGCGACAGAGTCAGGTTCAGCAACGCCGGCCCTGCCAGTCAGCCCAAACCCTCCCCAATCGTGCCGGCCATCAGGCTGACATGACCTGAGCATAGTCACTCGCCGAGCAGTTGAGCTACGCAGACGATCCCAGACCGTTCAAGAACCCACACTACAAGCCAAGCGCGCAGAGGAGGAACAAGTCGCTCAAGCAGATGCTCGCTGCCGAACGGGACAGATACACTCTCAAAGGCCAGAAGAAGGTACTGCCTGCTTCTACATCGATGGTAGTCAAGCTGGGCGGCAAGAAAGGATCGAGTCAGCCTGATACTGCTCGTAATTCTCCAGACGAAGAAGCGGCGCGACTCGTCAGGACGGAGGAATACATATCCTGTCCGCTGCTTTGCTTTTCAGCATGTTGGTGTATGCTCATCTTATGCAACACATGGGCAGACATGAACGTAGAGGCTCCACCGTCTGTCCTGCCAGCGAAAAAATATTGCGATCTGACGGGTCTCGTCGCGCCGTACGTCGACCCGAGGAGTACTCTTCGCTACCACAATGCAGAGTGCTACGAAGTACTCAAGACCTTTGTGAGCATGTTCAACCTCATCAAGCCATCGCTCGCTGAGGCAGGAACTGCCACAGCCACAAAGCACAGACCAGTCTTACTTGGCAGTCCGGGGCAACAGCAGCATCATCAAATGAGCAAAACGAAAATGTATACATCAACAAGTGCTTGTTGTACAACAAGAATTAAACACAGAGGCCGAATCATCAGATCTCGAGATCGCTCTGAGATCCATCGGATTGATCATCTTGACCGTATACTGCAAATGCGCGTGCTTGGCCGGGTGTAGAAGGCTCAGAGGTAGCTTCTTGCGTGAGCACCTTGCCCCTCAATTCGTGTGCTTTGACTTTACGTAGCGTTGTCAGCTTCGGATCGACCGGATCGCGGATGTCGTCCCTGTCGCCTCGTCGGCCAGACTGTGAAGTAGATTTGACGGTGTCTGCTGAGTGGGCGCCTGGCGTGATAGGAGCCGGAGACGTCTTGGCACTGCTCGAAGAGGACGAAATATCATCGATATCGTAATCGCTCCCGCCTCCCTCTTCGTCTTCGGATTCATCGCCATTCTTCGGCTTCTGTGTATCTGACTTTTCAGCATATTGTGATCCCTGTTCGGCAGTCTGTTTGCTCTCTGCGGGCGTTGTCGGCTTCCGTCTGGATTCCTCAACAACGACAAAGCTCTTTTGACGCTGTCGTTCGTTCCACTTGAGCGTGCGACCGATAGCATGGAACCAGTCTGTCGATTGCTTGTCCGCACAAACGGTCGGAAAGGGATACTGCGATGCCGTCACTTTGATATGATCGCCTTGTCTCAATTCGACCCTCCCCCGACCATCGAAAGACGCCCAAGCAGTGCTGCGAGAATTGTAAGGCACGCAGATCCGTAGTTCCATCGAGTCGGGTAGCAGCATAGGTCGGAAGGAGAGCGTGTGAGGACAGATGGGCGAAATCAGGATCGCTGGGATCTCAGGATGGACGAGTGAGCCTCCCGCAGAAAGCTATCGAGATAACCCCTTGTCAGCACCATTAGCATTGAGGCAGAGGCGCGCTGACCGAATAAGCTGTAGAGCCGGTGGGGGTGGAGACACACAAGCCATCCGCCTGCACAGTCGTCATATGATGCTCATCGCCTGTAGCACGATAACAAGCTTAGCAGACTGAAAGCTGATAGCATGATCGATGACCCACCAAACAGTTCAAGCAAGCTGACGTAAGGACTCGGTCCACGATCGACGACGAGATCGTTGAGAACTTCGAAGGTCTCTGCAGGTCTGGCCGAGAAGCACATGATCTCCCTATCCTTTGCCTTTTCGCTTTCTTCCTTGTCTTGTCGAGGTCCTGCACTCTCCAGAGCCGACCATCCTCCTTCCTTAGATAGGGTAGCAGAAATAGCGCCTGTCTCGCCTGATCGTATAGCTCGACGACGTTGTTTGGGATCTTTGGGCGGATCGACTGCTCGGTAGACGGTGCATGTGAATCGCATGCGAAGATTGACCCTGACGCCGTTGTTGATTGCATTGGTCATGACCTTCTCGTGGTCTGAAAAGTCGAAATTGGTCAAGAAACCCAGCGAGCCAAGCGCAAAAGGAATCACAGGCGGGACAATGCGTTGGAAGAGCCACGAGGCAAACAGTACTGTTCCGTCTCCTCCGAGCTAGTTGCAGCGTCAGCAGCGCAGCAAACGGCCGGACGAGAAGCTCACAGTAATGACAAAATCAAAGAGATGGGGCGATTTATTGCACATGTCGCTCGTCCAGTATCTCAATTGGCCATTGTTTTCTGCTTCTGTCGTGTCTGTTTTGGCAGCGGCTGACTTGCTGCTCGTCATCCGTAGACCGTTGGCAGCGGATGATCGTCTGGCGTGCTGCTTCTCATTGAAGCCAGCCAGTGTAGGCAAGGACGAAACGGAAGAGCTCATCGAGGATGTCCTCGATATCCTCCTAGTCTGCACCGCCCTGAAGAATTCGGGATGATCTGCCTCGATGCCAGCAGCATCAAATCGACTCGATTTGCGTAACTGGGCATCGACGTAGACTGTTGCGCCTCTTTCGTCGCCTTCTTTAGTGGAACCCATGAGATAGATAGCCAGCTCTCTGGTGAGTTTGATGAGATGATTGTCTCTTGCTTTCGTGATGATCATGATGGATTGGATGTTGGGTTTGACAGAGGCGCGGCCGAGCTGTCTGCTGATCTCCCTCACGCTGACTGCCGTTTCTGCCAACTGACGAGTGAGCGACTGTCCGTCTTCCTCCTCTTCATCGTCGTCGTCATCATCATCATCTTGCGCATCTTGTTCGGATGAACCGGTGTCGATGAGATCGGCTTTATCGAGTCGATGGTTGATAGTCTCAATGGTCTCTCTGGCATCGCGTATCCTGCTGGATGCTCTCGGTCGACCGTTGACCTGACCATCCGATATGACTCGTGGTGCATCAGGATCGAGTGCGATGGGTGACGTCTCGGGGGAGCCGATACGAGTAGCCAGGGCAGCAGGGTGAATCTGTCGTCCTGAGGTGTCCACATGACTTGTGGTGACTGCTGCATCTGTAGGACCTCCTCGATCTACACTAGCAGATCCCAGCGAGCCTTGGGACGATTGTGCACGCTTGAGGAGCTTTCTTCGCCGCTTGCGCTCTTCACATTCGGCTTTGGAGAGCGTTGCCAGACTCTGATCGAGGTGATTGTGTACGAAACAAGGACTCGTCACGCCATTGCCCATCGGCAAAGGCGTTGAGGTACCATTGACGAGCCTAGTGGGAGGCACGGGAGCACGAGAGGAAGAGGCAGCAGGCTGACTAGCCGAACGTTGTCTCGCGCTCGACATCGTCTCGTCATCCTCTCCTTGAACTTGAGCAGCATAACAAGCTGGATCGAACCTCAACTGTCTGGTCGAATCAGCAGAAGAAGCGGGTGCAGGGGTCGAGCTAGGTTCGATAGGACCGGAAGTGGGCACGGTGTCGCTCTGTTGTGTGTAAGGCCGACTTGGCTTCAATCGCTCCAGAGACTCGCCCCGCTTGCCTTCGAACGATCCGCTCTGCATCTTTCGATGGCGAACGCCCAGAAGGAGCGTCGCTCTGGATCGTCAGTATCTCCTGGCAAGCGATCAGATTGAGTCGGACGGGCCCTGCTTTGCTCGCTTCCGTGATTCCTACAGAGTCAGATCCAGTAAAGGTCAGAAAGCTCACCTCAAGCGAGTTCGCCTGTCTGGCGTGGCATCTGAGCAAGATGTCGGGGCGGCAGTCGAGGGTGATGGTGCAGCCGATCGTCAGTCCGCCGTCTGTCAGTTGCACTGAAGCTGCTGACCTCGAGAGACAGAATGTGATCTTCAAATATCTGCAGGCAGGCACACGAGTACAGTTATGGCTCTACGACATCCTAGACTTTAGACTGGAGGGCAAGATCATCGTCAGTCGAGGGCTGCTCTGCTGCTGTGTCAGACAGCTGATCACTCCGGTTTTCCTGACAGGGGTTCGACGAGTTCATGAATGTCGTGTTGGACGACGCAGAGGAGATCTACATCAAGCGAAAAGATGACAGGCCAGAGCGCAAATCACTGGGCAAGTACCCGCTGACTCAGTGCTCATTCGGCTGTTGACGTGCGAACACACTTGCAGGTCGATTACTACTAAAGGGCGAGAACATCACGCTAATACAAGCGACGACGAAATGAAAGCTCAATCTGGGACTCCCCTCTTCGCATTCGTCGCTAGCTCGAGCCTCTGTACATCTGCATGCCCTTTGTATTGCCCGCTCTTGGCCTCGTGTCGGGTCTCTGCTGACCTCCGCAGTGACGCGAGGAGGAACACAGCGCGCGTGTCGCGTACCTCTGTCGAGTCGCCAAATGCTTTTTCGCTCGCCCTGCCCAGGCTTGTCACGCCCACTATGCACAGAGAAGCTACTCAGCACTTTGATCTTCTCCCTCTGGACCGTGCTCTGCATTGCCGGACCGGGACATGTCAAACAGGACGAAACGCCAGTGATGTGGCGCTACGTCTGGCTCGAGCAAGTTCAGCAATGCGCAGGCACAGCTCAGATCATCAACTACGATGACAGGTCAAAGGTTTCTGTGCCATTCACGGAGCTTGTGCACAGTTTTGGTGGATCTGCACAGCTCGCTGCAAATTTGCTCACTTCGATGGTAGCAAGTCGAGCTGCTCCATGAAGCCCGAGCCAGTGCTGAACGGACCCATCAGGTCTCCAAATTGCCGCAGAACGCTCGGATCGTCATTCTGGATACAAGAGAGACCGAGGAAGATTATGAGTATGACTACAGCCTTCGTATCGATGCCAATGTCCTCCAAGGTAAGCTCATTTGTCTGTGTGCGATGATCTGCCTCAACAGTGACGCAGAGTCCGATTCCACGGAGCCAACAGATGAAGATCAGACGAAGATATCTCCCTGCTGCTCGGCAGAGCTCAAGATGAAGCTCACGCTGCAGGTTTTGTGGGCCGAACTGGAGACGACTTCTGCCCAATATGAGGTTGCATGCGGACCGTATGTCTCAATCGGCCTCAATGATATACACTGACGATCAGACATCAGATATGTCGATCTTTGCATTTCGCGCTATCCGACCTATGTCGAATGGACCTGCCAGGCCGCAGTGCTTCACGAGGCAACAAACGAGCATAAGCCACCCGAAGAGTAGAACAAAATCCGTCTGAGTAAGCTTCAGGAGGACGAGACGATCGCAACGAGCTTGACTGCGCACAACGCTGAGGATAACAGCGAGCAAGTCGCAATTGCATGCAGATTGTGCACGATGAATGACCGCTACAGGTCTGCGAGGCACACTGCATGCTCTTGATTGAGCGAGGCTTGCTGCCAGCCGGCGGTCCATTCAGCGCTAGCCCGGTGTGAGAGGCGTCGAGATGCGTGGTCAGCCTTGCCTGAAAGCGCCTTGCCGTTTTGCCTTGGATTCGAAGAACAGGTCCGTCCTAGCTGTGCCCAGATTGATGATCTTTGGACAGCCATCTCTATCGTGCTCGAGCCGGGTGCATTCGAAGCAGTAGTAAGCATCCGAGATACCGTTGCTGCCGCAGATGATGCATCGACTGCCGGACGTGCCAAAGTTGCATTCGTCGCATATCCTCACAATCGTTGCCGGTCGTACGTAGGAGTCGCAGATCGGGCTGCAAGCTTGTGAGCAAGGCTCTCCTGACGACGGGGATCAGAGAAACAGGCTCACCATTTGCCGTCACACTTTTCGCATAGTCTGCCGATAGCTGCGTGCCACGAGTCAGCCCAGCAGTCGGTGGAGGTGAAGAATGACGTACCAATGCCTGGTAGCTTGCGACATTGTATGAGATCGGGATGATGCTTCGACATTGGGCTGCTCGCTTTGAGACGACTCTAACGTCGCGCTCTTTGTGCGACAAGCTGCTTACTCAGCGCTTGAGGCTTCCTTCGATCGCAGGGCTCGTGCATTCATCAGATGTGCTCAGGCCGATGTCTCGTCAAGCTCGTTCTTCGCTCAGCCTCGCTCGTCTAGCGAGATGCAGTCATCATCATCAGTCTGGGATGACTTCACCATTGACACCATTGCCAAAGTCGTCAGATTGACACTCCTCTCGCCCCTCTTTGCACTCGGCGCACCCGTCATCTTCGTCGCTCAGGTTAGCTCACACTGTCTGGTTCCATCGTCAGCCTCTCAACCATCGCTCGACTAGGGTTTAGACATCGATTCGGGCTTGGGACAATGGGTCGTCGTTTACGCGCTCGGCGTGCTTGCGCTTCATATCTTCATCCAGCTCGACCGAATTTGGGCCAATAAAGCCTGGAAGACCGGCGTCAGAGGTCTCATGGGCGAGCGCAAGATCGACTGGGGTGCCCAGATCGTCCTCATCACGGGGGGTATGCTCAATCGCATCAAGAACTGTCATAGAATTGACAGTGAGAACAGGCGCGTCGGGTATTGGCAAGCTACTTGCAGAGACGCTAGCTCTGCGGCATGTTCGTGTGATCGTACTCGACAAGCAAGAGTACAAGTCGGAAGGGGACTATTCTGTCGCTAGCTTCCCTTGCGACGTTTCGGACTTCAAAGCTGTTGCGCGCATTGCAGAAGAGATCAAGCAAAAGGTGCCCAGAGATTACTCGTGCAGTCGAGCGGAGCTTATGGCGATTGAGCAGCATGGATCGCCGACTGTGCTCGTCAATTGCGCAGGCATTGTGCGAGGCAAGACAATACTCGCTGCATCAGAAAGCGACATTGCTTCGTCAGTCCCTTTCTCTCTGCGCCTATCCAAGCTCAAGGTGGAGCAGAACCATCGGCGTCAATCTGACCGCTCACTTTTGGACTGTCAAGGCCTTCTTGCCTGCCATGATCGAAGCAAAAGCTGGCCACATCGTTCGTTCGATACATTTGTATCATAGTCATGTGCTGATTGTGCCAAAGGTCACTATTGGTTCTGCCTTGGGCTACATGGGTGTTGCACAGCTCTCGGATTACTGCGCCACCAAGAGCGCTCTCATGGGCTTCCACGAAGCCCTTCGAGATGAGCTTGATACTCGGTACGTACCTTGCGCATATGTCGACTTTGACCCTCACACTTCAAACAGATACGGCGCGCCACTCGTGCGGACGACTTTCGTTGCTCCTGGCCAAACACGTACTGCTCTTTTCGGCTCGCTTTCAGGTCATACCGGTCTGCCGTATCTTGGCAACTTCATGTTCCCTTGGGTCGGACCGCACGATGTCGCGAAAGCCATCATCGAGGCAATCAATGCCGATGAAAGTCGATACATCTGCATACCATTCTTCTCATCCGTCTCTTGGATCCTCCGGGGAATGCCGAGCTTCATGCAAAGCCTTGCCAGATGGGTACGTCCCACCTCCAGTTGTCATCGATGGGTCATTGATGTCAAACCTTAGATGAGCCAATCTGCTCCTGCCATGCAACACTTTGCACCCGCAAGTATAGTATCGGCAGAGGCGAAAAAGTCAAAGTGAAGTGCCAATGCATGGATGCTCCTTCACAATAATCGAGTGATGAAAGCAACGCCTTTTGTCCTTCCCTCGCGGAAGAGCAACTTCGAGCCTTCTTTGACGTATTCTGGCATGCGAATGAATTCGAAGATGACGCTCGCTCGATCTCCTGTTCGCAGAACCTTGCGATCGTCGAGGATATCGACAATGCGAACCTGCTCGATGATCAATTCCGGCCACTTTTGAGACAATGAGGTCAACGTACTGTCTGTCTCACCGTGCCGCAATGGATCATAGCTTGGTAATTGACTTTGATCGTCGTCTGATGGTACAAGATGAGGCAGACTGCCTCGAAGCGGAAGGAAGATCGTGGTGGCACGTCCGTCTTTGCAACCAAGACCATGCCTTTCCTGATCATATTCCTCCGTATCCTCTTTAGCGCAAAGGAGACACTCTGACCGGCTTCGGCAGCATTGACGTTGACCCTTTTGCGCTGTATGCTCTTGATTGTCGTCGCAAGGAACTGACCGAGAGAATCGGGTCCGAGCTGTACCTTTTGTTAGCCCTGCGTTGACATTTATAAAGTGAGTGGCTTGCCATGACGTTATCGCCAACTTTGACTGTGCCCGAAGCGACGACACCGGAAACGACTGATCCTACGAAAGGAACTGCAAAGCAAGGTCAGTCTTGGCTTTCTGGCAAGCAGAAGCAAGGTACCTGAGAAGACGTCGGATCTGTTAGCAGCTCATCAAGATCAGTGAGTCGCAAATGTCTGCTGATATCGTGCTTACATAGAGAACTCCAATGGCTCGTTGGAAGCGTACTTGTCTTGATCGGATGCGTTGAGCAAGTTGAAGAACGTTTTGAGATGTGGTAGACCCTGTACATGCTCATGAATGAGCTGACTGTTGTCTTTGAGCGAGCAAGCGACGTGCCTCTCCAGTGACGTTAGACACCATGAAGATGGGACAAGCTCTGCGCGACAGGGTCAGATGAGCAAAGAGCGGTAAGATCAGATATCGTACTTTTCTTTGACGAAGCCGGCGGCTAGGCTGGCCGACATCCCGTCATCGTGCACAAAGACCGGTGTTCGCCGACATCCAGGACTGCGCAAGATCTTGCAAAGTTGTTTGAGTGTCGTCTCGAGGACGTTCCGGGGTGTCATGTCGATTTTGGTGACGACGCAGATGACGGGGATCGAGAGTGCGAGAGCGACAGACAGATGTTCTTTGCTCATTCCTATCAGACCGGCATTTGCGCCTACGATGAGAACGACAAAGCTCGGAGCGCAACCTGTCAGGCCGAAGATGGTCGTTTTGAGATATCTCTCGTGGCCAGCCAGATCCGTGAACGATACGATCTGCAACCCACGAGCATCAGATCCTGTCATATGCAACAAGCAGTGCACCTCACTTTCGCAGCTTTCTTGCACACTTCGTCCCAAGTCATGTTATTCCGTTTGAGGGCGATAGTTTGGAAATCGCCCTCTCGTGTCATCGTGTTGATGCCCATCTCGCGCAATGCAGCCAGTGTGGACGACGGCAGGACTTGCTGACCACCTGCATCAAAGCCCATAATCTCCATACCGACGCTGCTCGTGCGACCTGTCTCGATCTCGTGCTTATGTCTGAACAAAGATATTCGGGCTCGCCCTCGTCCGTCATCGTTGATGCCTTTGGTGAGCACGCCGAGCAGTGTTGACTTGCCTGCATCGACATTACCGCATTGTGCAACACGTAGCTCCGTCAGATCCTCTGCGCTGTCCGGTATCCGCCTGACGAGGATCCTGAGATCGTTCGTTTGCCACCGCACTCTCGTTTGGTCGTCATTGACAGTGAGATCAGCTGCAGTTGTCTTTGGCTTCTCTCTGGGTAGTATGAGCGGGCTGTAGACGAGCGATGCTTGTGCTCTGATCTCGTTCGCTACAGCTTGTAATATCGCCAGGATGTGCTCAGTCTCGGGTAAGGTCAACGGTTGTGCCGACTCTGCAGGAACATCGTAGCCCGAATCAAGCAGTGCAGCGGGATCCTTCTCATCGATGTTGTGAGTGCCTATACAGAGTACCACATCTTGTCTCGTCACGTCAAGTCGTCGGGCGAGCAGTGAAGCGAGCACATGGCCAAAAGCAGTCTCGGATGTCGATGCAGACGCAAAGTGGTCTCGGATCGTCTTGCGCTCGAGCTCATCCTCGATCTCGGCAAGCTTTGGCGCTAGTTGCGGCGCTGTTAGGCTGGTACTGGCTGTCGATGATAGTGACGAGCTGCCGAGCTTGTGCGCTAATCTCTCGGTTGCGGGTGCAGCGTGGTGCTCCAAGCCTAGCCTCGCTTGGGCTTTGGCAGCGTCTGCTTGGAAAGCAGCAAACGATGAGGCCATCGTCAGTCTACAAGCTGTTCACGTCGTCGTCGTGCTGATGATCGAGTCACGGCGCGAAGCGTGGAGTGCCCCGTGCTCATCCCCATCATGGTCAATCAGGCGCAACCAGTCTCAGGAAGAATGACATGGCCAGACCTGCATCTCACGTCGGCCTTGTATGATCACAGTGCAGAGGGTCAGATGCAGTCATGCGTTCTGGTACAATCACACATTGCACACTTTGACTACGAGTATGCATGTGCGTACCTCTAGTGCGTACCTTGGGTCAGCATGTCGGCTCGTCAGACTGCAAGATATACCGTAGGCAGATCATGATGTTGTCTGGATTGTCGAGATCGAGAAAAGGTACCATTGCATTCGCGAGATCAGGTCGATCCTTTGCGATTGCGTGCAGCTTGCCTAGGCGCTCGTGTGTCAGGAAGGTCTGCAAAGCATTGATCGATCTGAGATGATTCGTGATAGCGCCAAACAGTGCCAGTGCATCGACGTTTGAAGGAACTCTTGACTGCTCGAACGATGGCGTGTGGGGTATACCCAGTGCGCTGTAGATTTCGATTGCAGGATCGATGCGTTCGATAACGTTTGACTCGGACGGCTGTGCTGCCACATTGCGGCAAACAGATACTGCTGACATGTGCGAGGTTCTCGGGCGCTTGGTCGGCCTGGCAATGTATCGTTCAGACTCGTCGCTGCTGATCGAGCCTGCCGCTTGCACCGCTCCGGACTGCAAAGACTCGTGATGGTGACCCGACGCCGCATCCTCCTCCTGCTGATCGGCGACCTCTTCAGCTACGTCATGCGCCTGATGGCGTTGATCTGTCGCCCTCGCGTCGAGTCGAGCTTGCACTTGCATGAAGCGATCTAGCTCTGTCCAGATATGTCTGAAAGTAGAGTTCAGTCCGTTCTCTTCGACCGCATGCGCATGTTTTCTGAGCACGGCTACTTGCTTCATAGCTTGCTGGTAGTGTTCTCTCGATGGTGCGCCTCTGTCGACGTCGTAGGGGCAGTAGTGACGAACGGCCTGTACGAAATGCCAGACGGGTTTGAGGTGGCTATTGAGCTTTTTGCGGAGCTTGTCGGCTTTCCATTCAAAGTGCGCATACTGGGGCTTGCTCGACAGTCTCTGTTCGGCCGTCGTCACTAGGTTTCTGCTGAGGATCGTCGTGCCGGTCTCTTCGGTGAGCTCGGTGACGACGATCAGCAGCAAGCGTAGCTGTTCGTCTGTCCAGCAGGCCGCTCGACGAGCCATCTAGTCTAGCGTGTCGGTTCACTCATAGCTGACGTTCGATGGGCATCTGAGCGAGGAGGAGCGAGACAGACGAGCGAGCGAGCGATCGAGCAAGCAGGCGGCGGCGCGCTAGAAAACACGGCTTACCGAATCAGCCAGCCAAGTCAGACGACCGACAGACTCAGCATGGCTCGCAACCGACAAGAGTCCACGCCGAGCATGGCATCGCTCTCTTCCTCCATGGCGTCCCTCCTGTCGACGCAGGACTCGCCATCAGACAGCTCCAATCAGGGCAGCAACAGTATGGCGTCATCGTCAGCAACCCTCCCATCCGCCTTCAACAGATCCTCCCGACGGAAGCGACGGCTCGCACGTGGCCTCTCAACAGGTAGAGACACGATAGACGAGGAGGAGGAAGGCATGGGATTGGCATTCTCGACCCAATGTGCCACTGTAGAGAATCCCGACCCGGCACACAAAGACCAGTGGAACTCGAGCAGCGTGCCGATCTACCAATCGAGTACCTTCAAAGGCGTCGGCGGCACGTACGACTACTCACGCAGTGGCAATCCTACCAGAGGCTTTTTGCGTGAGCGAGAGCCTTTTGCCTCACGATTGCGGCAGATTGACGCTTTGAGACTGACTTGCAGAGCATCATGTGGCCAAGATCTCTGGCGCTCGACACGCTTTCGCTGTAGCATCCGGCATGGGCGCACTGGACGTCATCTTCAGGTTGCTCACGCCGGGTGACGAGATCATCGCTGGCAACGATCTCTATGGCGGCTCAAATCGCCTATTGACTTATCTCAAGACACACGGCGGTATCACTGTGCACCACATCGATACTACTCGACCCGAACTGTTGCTGCCCGTGCTGACTGCGCACGAGCCGACAGCGCAGACGAGCAAAGTCAAGCTGGTCTTGATCGAATCGCCTACCAATCCTCTCTTGCAAGTTGCAGATATTGCCAAATTGTCGGACATGATCCACCAGCACGCGCCTGAAGCAATGGTCGTTGTCGATAACACCATGATGAGCCCTTACCTGCAACGTCCGCTAGAACACGGCGCAGATATCGTCTATGACAGCGCGACAAAGTATCTATCGGGACATCACGATCTCATGGCAGGCGTCATTGTCTGTGACAGGGACGACATCGCCACTCGCATCGCCTTTATGATCAACTCTATCGGCAACGGTCTAGCACCTTTCGATTCCTTTTTGCTCTTGCGAGGCATCAAGACACTTGCTCTCCGACTTGATAGACAGCAAGCGACAGCCCAGATCGTAGCCGAGTATCTCGATGCTGCTGGCTTCAAAGTACACTACCCTGGTCTTTCCAATCATCCAGGTCGAGAGATCCACGAGAGGCTCGCCAAAGGCGCAGGAGCTGTCTTGTCCTTCGAGACAGGCGACAAGGCGCTCAGCGAGCGAATCGTGGGAGCAGCTCGGTTGTGGGGCATTAGTGTCTCTTTCGGCTGTGTCAATTCGCTCATCAGTATGCCTTGCCTCATGTCTCATGCTTCTATCGATCCAAAGGTCCGTGCGGAGAGGAACTTGCCCGAAGATCTCATTCGCCTCTGTGTGGGCATCGAGGACACGGACGATCTCATCGACGATCTCGAAGCTGCTCTCCTCGAATCGGGCGCCATCAGACTCCAAGACAATTCGGATGGTACGACCGATATCGTTCGCAACATGATCACTCCTCCTGCAACACCGTCGAGCAGGGCGAAAGCGATTGGACAAGCGAGCACACAGACCATCGTCGTTTCTGCACCGGGCAAAGTCATTCTCTTTGGCGAGCATGCCGTCGTTCACGGTATCACTGCCATTGCTGGCTCCGTCGATCTGCGTTGCTTCTGTATGGCTCAGCCACGCTACGATGGCAAGATTGGTATAACCATGCCGGATGTAGGATTAGACCAAGCATGGGATCTCTCATCCCTGCCTCCAGTAGATCCTTCGCTTGAAGGCGTACCGGAAGACTCAGTCGATGCTTCCCTGCTAGATTTGATAAGGCAGCATATCGGTCACGACTTAGCGCCAGTCGCACAGAGAGCCGCCGAAGCCTTCTTGTACCTCTTCCTGCGTCTCAGTCGTTCGGCAACGCGCATTGCTCAGCATCTCACTGTACGGTCCACTCTCCCGATCGGAGCAGGCTTGGGCTCATCTGCCGCCTTCTCCGTCTGCATAAGCTCAGCGCTTCTCTATACCCATGGCTACTTGCCCCTACCCTCTTCCGAAGGGAAAGACGGTTCGCACGCTGCTGAGATAAATGAATGGGCCTTCCTGGGCGAGAAGATCCTACATGGCAATCCATCCGGAGTGGACAACAGTGTTGCGACTTACGGCGGCGCAGTAGCATACACCAAAGCGACGGCATCGACGAGTGCGCAGATGGACCCCTTGCGCGGCTTCAAGTCTATACGCTTCCTTTTGACCGACACGCGCGTCAGTAGGGACACAAAGACGCTCGTTGCTGGCGTTACAGCTCGCAAGACCCAGCATCCCTTCATCATCGATCCCGTTTTGCGTGCGATTCAGGATATTTCAGCAGAGGCCAAGAGGTGTTTGACAGATTCGGACATGTCGCGCGAGGATCAAATCAGCACGTTGGAGGTCCGTAGAACGCATCTCCAGCGTATACTGGGCTGATGGAGCGATTTGGGACAGCACTTGATCGATGCGAACCATCTGCATCTCAACTTTTTGGGCGTTGGTCATAGCGCGCTAGAGATCATTGTCGCAAAGACAAGGTCTTACCAGCTCCACAGCAAGCTCACCGGCGCTGGTGGAGGAGGCTGCGCAGTGACCCTGATCCCAGATGGTGCGCCTCTTGCGATAACGATCTGACTATGCTCACACGAACTCGCAGGATATGACGAAGCAAAGCTCAAGCTTCTCAAATCGGAGCTCGGCGAGGCCGGCTTCGAGTGCTTCGAGACGACTGTGGGAGGCTCGGGCATCTCACTGCTCATTCCTCAGTCTGGCTCAACTCTAGTCTCAGCTGAAGGCGGAGCTGAGCAACAGTTCATGCCCAACCGGAGCTGGCTCGAGACGACTCCGGTGGTCGATGATTCATGGCATGTGATAGCATAGATTGCGCTGTTGTAGCGAGAGAATGACAGTGGCAGATAAATACAATGATTGATGCGTTCATTGACCTTCTGCTTCTTTCCTCTTCTTCTCGACTGCTGCTTTCTTCTCCTTTGCAGCTTCTGCCTGCTTCTTCTTCTCTTCTTCTTCCGCTGCATCCCCAGTAGATTAAGTCTATGCCGGAGAATGTCACAAAGCGGCAGCTCACCTTTCTTGCGCTCTTCCTCTTCCTTCTCTTTCTGTCGAGGCACGTTTGTGAACTGAACATAAGCATCGCCGCTCTTTGTCTTCTCCGCGTTGATGTCACCGCCAATCTTTTTCGTCACGGCTCGACCAGATGCCGCGTCCTCGCTGTTTGCAAGCTCTGGATACTCCCTCTGACGAATCTCTGCAAGGCGTTGCGAAGTAAGCGAGCCCGGGCCGCCTTTGTCAGGACCAAAATAATTCGCTCCGCCCAGACTGACGAGGATAGCCGAGCCGACGATCGCTGTCAGCCCGAATCGATAAGTCGCATACCATTTGGGCGTCCAGCCCCAGGTAGATGTTCGCCAATCTGCCCACCAAACTCCCACAAATGCGGCCCATTGAATGGCCAGAGCAATCTGGTGAGTGGGTACGAGAAGGGTCGACCAGGCTACCGCTACGGGCACGATACCGATGACGTATCTTGTGTTGCCTTTGCGTCCGTTAAAGGCCGAGAACTCCATGCCCCAGTGCAGCGCGCCTGATGAGCCCGGCGCATGAGTACAGATGCTGATTCGCTTAGTCAGACCTACCTAAGAAAGACAGAATGATTGCGCCGTATGAGACTTGGATGTGCTCGACATGGTGCAGCAGAGCGAGAGCAGTCTCTTCATTCATGGGCGATTGGCCTCTACCGAGCATCTCTGCAGCTTGGGCTTGACCCGCTACACGCGCCAGATAGACCGTGGTGAGCGATGTGGCTACGTACGGGATGAGGCCAGCAGCGCCCCACACTATCGCTTCGCGAGGGACATTCTCCATGATGTTCTCCACGGATTTCTGTCTGATCGGTGAACATGCGTACTGCGCCAGCACGTTCTACGTACCAGCGATGATTCTGCTTCAGAGAGATCGCCGCCTTGAAGCTGAGAGGTTGTAGCATTGGCACCCGAGATGGCTTGCGTGACATCTTTGACTGCCTTTGAGGCTTCTTGCTGCGAGCGTGCAGCAGATGAGCACTGCTTCAGTCTTCTCAGTCTCGGCCCTTACCTTGGCATTCTGACCGGTTTCTTTGAAGGAAGAGGACGCCGGTTGACCGGCAACTGAGCTGCTCGCGTGACGTCTGTGTGCTTCTATGCTCCTGAGCGGCGATGGACCGGAGTGCTTCATGTTTCCTGCAAGTGGTATCGCATGCTCGAGATATCCTCTCGGTTGCTCTCTACGAGTGCGTGCATCTACGACCGACTGTGCGCGTGGGGCAAGCATCCTTATCAGCTCCGTTCCGGCATGCACGCTCCGGGCCACGCTGCGGCAATGCCTTGCGTGATATGAGACTCACATGGCGGCTGTAGTGTGCGAGAGGCGAGGCCGTAGCTAGCTTACTGACGGAGCTCAGTCGAGATAGCGAATGAGCTCTGTAGGCTGTCCGGGGCAGATTCCTGAGCACAGTCATCTCCGCCAAGCGTCGCCCGAGTCAGTATTCGCTGGCTAGTGCTCCGACGAGAATGTGCAGCCGTCCGTCAAAGGTGCTCTGTGAATGCGCAATACAGCTGCGAGCCCGTCGACGCCGTGCGAGAGGTGTGGATCGTCGTCATAGTGACACGTGGCACACGCGCGTTGTACGTCGCGACCGTCGACAGTCGACGTCCCAAAAGATGCGCTGAGCTGTAGCTAGCTCGTGTGCAGGTACGCTTCAGCTGAGTCGAATCAGAGTGCAGCCATGGCCTCAGCAAGGAATGGTCAAGGCTACATTCAGGCGTATCCGGACCCTCGAGGACGAGGCAAGATCAGCATCGAATCGCTCCTCTTGACGCAAGCTGGAGGCACTGGGTACGTCCGCGTGATGATCTAGCTTTTAGTCATTGATCGAGCATGTTCGGACTCAGCAGCACGCAGCAGCGACTGACATCGGACTGGATCATACCACTCGCCGTGCTCGGCGGCTTGTCAGCCTTGTCGCTTTACGTCGTACGAGATTACTTGCTACGACATGGCGTTTCCCCCGTACTGGTCGTCTCGATCTTGCTCGTCTGGTCAGGCGTCGTCACCTTGCTCTCTGAGATGGCAACACCCTCTCTGACCAAAAGTCCAAAACCGACTAGCTCTGCTCGCCTGAGCAAAGACAAGCGCAGCAAAGCTGGTGCAACGCGGATGCCCGGCACAATTCTGCTGCTCATGGTGTGCACTACATTTGAGTCTGTTGGACTCGTTGGCGCGTTGTACCAGCTTGGCGTTCCAAGGTATGCAGACGTACACGCTACATAGTATGCTTACTGAAGTCTTGCTAACCAGAGTCACAATGCTCGTCACGATGGCACATGCATGGGCACCCAGCTTATACGCAAGAAGCGAGTCGAACGACGAAGCCGAGACGAGCAACCGGCGTCTGGCACGCTTGCTGCTAAGTGCGCTTCTCCTCATCGCAACAGTCATAGATTACAGCGCAAGCGCGCGCAACTCATCTGTCTATGGCGTCTTCTACGGTTACGGCTTCATCACACTCCATCTGGTTGCTATCGGCCAACGACGCGACAGTGTCAAGGCTGCAAGTGAGCTTCAAGGCAGCGATATGGCAGAAGCACGTCGAGCTCGTGCACTAGCCACTTGTCTGGTCGGCTTGCTCGCTCTTCCCATCGCAGTCACGACTTACATCATCAGCTCGCAAGGTCGACTTGCCTCGCCTGACATGCCGACAATTGGGACCTGCCTCGCTCTCACAGCTCCACTAGCGCTGACGACAGCTGCTCTTGCGCCTTTGCTTCACGATGCCATATCTGCTCATTTGCCGACACAGCCCCAATTTCGGACGGCCTGGCCTCTCGCAGTCGGCTCGACTCTCGCCGTGGGATGGCTAGGCTTTCGTTCCAGCGACATCGTGCCGGTACCCGACTCGCTCGTCGCTGTCTCCGCGTGGTACGTGCTAGGCATGCTTGTCAGCCTCGATCCGCAGAGCATGGCCGTCTTGACTTCCAACGGCGCTGCGAGCTTTGCATCAGCAAAAGACAAGCAGGATGACGCTGCCGCCGCTGCTACGAGCGTCGAGACTCTCGTAACGTTCTGGAGGCGGCTACGCGCGACAGTCAAGACCATCCTCGCAAATCCTGACTCGCGGAAGATTTACTTCTTCCTTTGTCTGAATCTGGCGTACATGGCCGTTCAGATGCTCTGGGGAATCTGGACAAACTCTCTTGGTCTCATCTCGGATTCGATCCACATGTTCTTTGACTGTGCTGCACTTGCGATGGGCTTGTTCGCCTCCGTTATGGCAACTTGGGAGCCGAATTCGACATTCACCTACGGTTATGGGCGCGTAGAGACGCTTTCTGGCTTTGCGAATGGCATCTTCCTCTTGCTCATTTCGATATTCATCATCTTCGAAGCGATTCAACGATTGATCGACCCGCCGGAGATGAATACGCATCAGTTACTGGCAGTAAGCTTCATTGGGCTACTTGTCAATCTCGTCGGCATGTTTGCGACAGGACATCATCACGGCGGAGTGCGTCAAGGCTTCATAGCTGTCTCACATGACTGACATGGGCCATCATACAGCATGGTCACTCGCACGGTGGCGGTCATTCGCATGCTCCCACGCCCGTCAAGCCTGTTCACGACCATTCGCATGACGTGAGCTTACTCAACCTGCCGATGACATCCTGCTTACCAAAGGAACAGCATGCGCATGGACACGATGATGATGGTGCGCGCTGCAAGCCTAGATAGCAGCACAACAGCTCATGCATCGTCCTTTGCAGATCACGATGACGATCATGACGACCATGCTCAAGCGCATGGCCATAGCCATAACATGCATGGCGTCTTCCTCGTGCGCTCCTTTCGTCCTCATCGAGCTTCAGCTGATCCGCGGACTGTAGCATGTCATGGCAGATACCCTTGGCAGCGTTGGTGTGATCATCTCGACTCTGCTCATCAATCGCTATCAGTGGACTGGCTTCGATCCGATAGCTTCCATCTTCATTGCCGTGCTCATCTTCGCCAGCGTTGTGCCACTCGTCACGGACAGCGCGAGGGTCCTCTGTCTCGATATGGGCGACGATCGAGAAGCAGAAGTCCGAAAAGCGCTAGCAGAAGTCAGTATATCCCATGGCTTCTGATTCATCACGTCGCTAAGATCACTTGTCACGCCACAGTTACATTCTGTGGAGGGCCTTCGCGGCTTCGCTTCGCCACGCTTCTGGCCAAAGGATAGCTCTACCATCGTCGGATCTATTCACGTCCAGCTCGCTCTGTCTTCGTCCGCCTTTGACCCGACAAAGTCGTCCTCAGGCGTACCAGGCACGCAGCACTACGCGAATCCCGAGCGGGTGATACAGCGTGTCGAGCGTGTTCTCAAACGAGGCATCAGCGGCCTTGCAAGCCTGACTGTTCAGGTTGAGCCCTCAACAGGCTTGCGGCAATGTCATTGTTTGACCGGAGACGGCACCTAGATGTCATTGCATTGCTCGCAGGGCTGTAGATTTCGCGCGGCCACGCCCGTTCCGAGTCGCGACGCGCATTTGCTGAAGAGAGCAATTCATCTTACAGCCCTGCTCCTGCGCAGAGGGCGCAAAGCATTCAGTAGTACCCTCGCGGCGTGGCATAGATGTCTGCCGCGCCGCCAGCAAGGCAGCCGTCGCCCTTTTCGCAGCCGCCGACTTCTGAGCGAGCACCTACATCTGCGCGTCTACCGCCGCTGGGCACTAATGGCACGAGCGCCAGCGTTCAGCGAGCTAAGAGGCGAAATCAGGCTGCTCCGCCTGCGCTTGTGGTCAATGTTGCAAAGGCGCTCAAGCGAGACTATTACGAGAATGCTGATCCATCGACAAAGCCCTTCATTCGAGCATTCCTCATGGGATACGCGTTCAGTGTTGGCCCGGCGCTAATCAAGGCGGTTTTCGCGCTGGCCTTGCCTCGGAATAAGGAACTCGTAGCAAGTCAGCGCGTGATCAGATTCATCAAGGCGGCGCTCAAGTCTATCGCTCGCGGAATCGACCCGAGAGGTCTCGCCTTCGTTTTTGGCATTAGCTTCGGGGGCGCAAAGTGGCTCGAGAAGCACATCAAGCCGCTCGTAGAATCGACCTACTATGCTGTGCATGGCGGCCAACGACGCAAGTTGAACGGCCGAACAGGCACGGAGCCTCTGCCTAGCCCCGGACTCAAACTCGCGCTGTCCGAACTGGATTCAGGTGATCCTGCTAGCAGCTCAACTCCCGCTGCAGCTGTGGCGATGATGCGCGATGAGGAGAACATGGGGCTCTTGACCACCTTGACCGCCTCGGTCTTGTCATCAGCATTCGCGCTCACCTTGCTGCAATCTTCGCCCTCGTACAGTGCGAATCCAAGGGCAACTTTGATGCCCCTTCCCGTGCATGATGGCGATGAGCAAGCGCTATCCGAGAGCACCCTAGCAGCGACGGCGCGCAAGCTGCCCCGCAGGGAATCGCCTACATTAGATCTGACGCTCTTTATGCTCGTCCGTGGCGTGGACACACTTGTACGAGGTCGGCGAGGGCTTTCATGCAGACAAGTGCAGACATCTGATTGATTCGACGCTTGCAGGCATCTACGTCGCTCACCCTCGCTGGCATCGCATCTTTGGAGGCATGGCAGCCCAAGCAGATACGATTGTCTTCTGGCTCAGCTGCTGGCGGATCATGTTGTGCGTCGCTGACGCAGACTTGTGTGTCTCTACTGATGCCTCTTGCAGCTGCTGGTTCTATCTTCCACACCGACTGCCGCCGTCATACGTCAGATGGATCACAAATCTCAGCCGGATGGACGTTAGGCTGCTTCGTCTCTTGCGCGATTGTCGAAATGGCGATTGGCAATATGGCAAAGTGCCGAAGACTGAAGCTCTGCGCGCAACCGGTCCAAAGATTGCAATCGCGATGGGATTCCCACCCGAAGCCGCTATGCCTGATCTCGTCGGTTCAGCCGTAACACGCGTAGCATGTGCTTATGCTCCTTTTAGATTCCTACGCTGCCTTGCACACTCGTTCATGGCAAAGTTGGCAATACAGAAAGCTGCGAAGTGAATGCGATCAAGAGATGGGGTGTAGGGTGGCTGCAGTGTATGGGCATCTATTTGCCCGTGCACGCTCTTCCTCGCCTGCTCTTCGGCAAACGCGCTTTCGCTGCAAACCCGGTACGCACGCTATTGCAAGTCTTCCTAGCAGCCGGTCAATCTTCTGCGTTCCTGGCGACATTCATTGCTAGCGTCTATGCCTTGTGAGATCACGTCCTCGCCGACTATCAGGCAAGACTGAAAGATCTCGCAGTGTGTGTCTCGGCAGAACGAGACTCTTGCCAAAGCTTTTCCCCTCAGTCTCTCAGAACTTCTGGGACGGGGGCTTTGCGCCTGCACTCGGCTGTTTCATGTGCGGCTTCAGCGTACTCATCGAAAAGTAGATCTCGCAAAAAGCTGAGGAGGTGCCATGCTGACAGCTAGTTGACTGCAGCAAACGACGCCGAGGCGAAATGGCGCTATATGTCGCGCCACGAGCGGTCTACGCCGTCATGGATGAAGTTCTGCCGGAATGGCTCTTCAGTGGCAAGACGGGGCAGCTCGTCAGCAAATACAGCGAACGCAGCATCTTTGCACTGTCCACTGGCGTCGTCACTGCAGCAGTAAGTCGGGTTCAATTCCGCATACTCGCGCTGATGATGGCGCAGGCTGTTCATCGACCTGCACTGCTACGCGGGCTTATGCGGGGCGTGCTCAGATATCTCGTTGGCGATTGGGACGGCGATGCTCGACAGGCGCCAGAGACGCCAAGACGAGCAGACGGCAAGCGTATCGAGCGTGCTGACCTAGCACTCCGTTTGCAAGACGCAAAGCATTTACAGTCCTAGCAACTTCAATGCACTAAAGTTATACAGCAAAACGTGATGGCCACTCAGTCATCGCCGATTGAGTGGTAGCCGCCTGCAGGCTTGGCTGGCGAACCTTGCGCTGCTTGCGGTTTTGATGCGGATTGACCTGCTGATCTGGCAGCCGCTTGGGGCTCTTCGTCTTCTGGCGCTTCACTGAAGGACTGATACGGTGCGCTAGCTTGTGCCTGCGCATTATAACCGCCAGGCATTGACCATACTGGCGCAGCATGCATGATCAGCTTGCGATGTGCGCACATAGTGCGCTCTACCGACCTTGTTGATTTCCGAACGAGCTTGGTAAAGCAGGCTCGTTCCTTTGCTTGAGATTTGCGAGCACGGCGAGGAAGGTGACTGGCTTCAATACGAAGTTGATCACAACGAGGAACAACGCAAAGCTAGACGAATAGCTCGCGTAATTCTGCCTAGATGCATCAGCTGGGGTCCGAACACCTATATGTCGGGCTGACGGTGAGCCATATGATGTCAAGGACGAAGCTGAGCAAGTGCAGGATGGCAAATGTTCGCAGAGACTCTGGATCTTTATCTACGACGAGAAGACCGTAGAGCGCTATGGGGAGATTGTAAGAAGGTGAGGAGCCTGCTGCCGTCACTGCTGAGAGTGTCGAATGCGCCAGTAACAGCCGGTTCACATCGAGCGAGCTAGGCAGCGCCATGGTCGCTGCAGCGTTGGAGCGCTGCTAAGACACGCGCAATGATAGCCCGGGCCGTCGAGCCGGAGGGTCATAAATACGCGCACTTTCTCGCGCGGAATTATTTCCACACTCAACTCGACTCGACCCGACATGATTCGATACGACAAGTCATTCAGTGCTGGGCTGACGCCGAGGTAGTAGTGAGAGTGGTAGGCCTGTGTGTTCGTCGGTCTGAGCAGCTGGTCTGTCAACGCGAACTGTTCCAGCCCAGCTGGAGTCGACTTCAAGTTCGCCTGCTTCAACACGCTCTCCTCCTCACTCGTTGCCAGCAGCAATCAGGAGAGCGTTTTCAGCCTGCCAGTAGGGTCGCTGCTGAGCGCTGGCCTCTTCCTCTTCCTCCTGCTCAGCTCTCAACGAGAATCCCACTCATCCTGCTGGCTGCATCGCGCTGTCGGCCTGCTGTGCAGCTCCCCGCCAATTGGCACCTGTATATATCGGGCTTGCTACAGCCAGCCGACAGCCCTTGCAGCTATCCTCCTCCAATGCACCTTTATTACTTTCCTCACTGTCTGGTCTCATCCGTCGCGATTTCGAGTCATGAGCAAATCTCTCTCTCTCCCTGCGCGGGCATCATCACTTGAGCGTCTTCTAGCTTGTACAGCACACTATCACATGCAGCACGGATCGAGGTAAGCGCTTCTCGCTGCTCTCAATGCACCCGACGCGTCGCGCACAGACCATTGACGCTGCCGAGCTCGCAATGATGCTGCATAGCAACATCAGCTTCCTGCGCCCTCTCTCAGACACTCGGTAACCAACATGTCCTCGACAGAACTGCCTTGGAACCCATATACGGGCTATATTCCCTCAGAATCAATTGCAATCGTCGCCGTGACGGTCATCTCGCTCTCGCTTGGCACACATGTCTATCAACTCGGACGATCGGGCTACTGGCCTTCCCTTGCGCTCGTCTTGGCAGCATGTGGAGAGCTTCTCGGACACATCGGCAGGTTACTTTCAAGTCGTGATGTCTACTCGAGAAGCGCGTTCTTGCTACAAGCAACTGTCCTCATTCTGTCGCCATGCTTTCTCAGTGCAATCTGCTACACCACACTTGGCGAGCTTACCACTTTACTAGGCGGTCGATTCTCGCCTCGCTTTTATGTCGTCGTCTTCGTCACGGCAGATGTGATCTGCCTTGCTGTGCAGGCTGCAGGTGGATCTATCGGCTCGTTAGCCGTAGTGCACTACGAAGATCCCAAGGTGGGCACAAAGCTGATGCTAGGTATGGACGTAATCTCACGCTCATCCATCTGTCTCATTGATGATATACACTCCACAGCTGGCATTGCAGCTCAGCTCGCCACAACTGTCATCTTCCTCATCTTGGCAGCAGACTTTGCAATCACGCGACGTCACGCTCTTACCACTAGTTCGCGTGATGTCAAGCTCGTTGCGTCAACGACACTTATCGTAACGCTTTTTATCGTCATCCGGGGCATCTACCGAACTTGCGAATTAGCAGAGGGTAAGACAGCTTACTCTCGCGCAGACTATCGAGCTGATGTCAGCATTATAGGCTGGGTCGGCTACCTCATCGTGCACCAGCCATACTTCCTCGTGTTCGACGCACTTCTTATGATCAGCTGCCTCGTCCTATTCAATATCATCCACCCTTCGAGGATGCTTCGACGTGAAGGAGGTGCAGCCGATACAAGCTCGCTTGACGATGACGAGAGCAGGGACAAGTCATACGACGCCATGATCGCAGACGATGACAAACGCATACCGAAGTATGAAGTCGAGCAAGCTCGTGTCTAGGTCCGTGCATGTCGTAATTTTGGTTACAGTACCAAAAGCATGTGCATTGTAAGCATTGGACGTGCACACAACAACAATCGGCAATGACATACTGTCCGCGGGCATGGAAGCCGTGCATCTCATATCGGCATCGGAGAACGCTCGTATGAGATCCCGGTGAGCGCATCATTGACGTCGATGGGTGCGTGAAGGCTAGATCTGGCCCGACTATCGAATGCATCAAGAGTCGCCATCCGTTCGATCGCTTGCAAGCATAGCAATAGACGGCCGGGATCCTTGATATCGACAAGAGGTACGATCGCCTTTGCCAAATCAGACCGCCTGAGCGCGATGGAATAGAGTTCTTCGAATTTGCCGTTGGAGAGATACGACTTGATCTGGGGGTGCATCTGCATCTGAGCCATGATATACCCGAATTGTTCAAGCGCGCCAACGTTGGGTTGCACTTTTGATATCGGTCTCTGCCCATTGGGCGGCGAAGGTGTGGCCGACAGGACGACTTTCGCCCTCTTGCGTTCGCGAGTGCGTTCGCGAAGATCAGATCGAGCGTCAGGATCTGGCTTGAGTGTCCGTTTGACTGATGGTTTCACCTGTGATTTGGCATCCTGCTTTGCAACAGGGTTCGGCGCTGACTTAGATTTTGAAGTCAGTCTAGGAGGTGGTCTTGGGCCATTTCGGGGCACAGCTTCGATGACAGCCTTGACAGGTGTACTCTGGTTAGATGTCCGCGTGAGCCGTCTGACGGGTGTGTCGGCCCCTGACTCTGAGGAGCTCTCTTCGGTATTTGCGGCATCAGTGAGCGACTTGTCTTCGTCCAAGGCTTTGTACAGTCTATTTTGTAGCTTGTAGAAGCGATCCATGTCGTGCCAAATGTGTAGCCAATATGGATCGAGGCCCTTTCGGGTCACTTTGACAAGATGTTTCTTGTCCAGGCCTGCTTTCTCACAAGCTGCCTCGAAAGCAGATTCAGAGACGCTAGTGCCTCTCTTTCGATCATAGTCGCAGAGCCTCTCGAGCTCCTTGACGCCATTGTAGACAGTCTTGCCGTTCATGATGCGTGAACGGATCATGGGCCCGAAGAAATGAAAGCCGGCGAATTGTGGCCGTTGACGGAGCTTCTCCTCGACGACATTGCTGATGTCTATGCCGATGTAAGGCTCCTTCTCGGCTCTGCAGACTGTGTAGGTCGTCCTGAGCGCGAGCCGCAGGCGCTCCTCCGTCCACTGTCGTGCCATTGTGACCCGACGTCCCAGTCTCAGACAGCTATGACTGCATATCTTCGCTCGCTGATGTTGCGTGGTACGCTGTGCCGGGACAGTCGGTCTCGATGGCTTTGGGATTGACGCTCTGCCAGTTCGTTGATGCCCTTCGGCACCGTCACGCCGTTTCGAACGTTTTGATCGAGGCGCGTCCTTTGATCTTGACGAGATCTGAGATCTGATTGTGAGCGACCGACAAGCTACTTCTCATCCATGGCCTTGAGACACACACTTGTAGTACTCTTGCTCCAGAGAGAACTTCGAATGAATGATTCATCAAGGCATACATTGCACTTTACTCGCAACAACACCTTTGCTTTGCTTCAATGGCGATCGTCACAGTTCGGCCAGCAACGCTATCGTCTCGAGAAGCACAATGATCCTCATCGGATCCTGGATATCCACGAGTGGTAGGAAGAGTCTCGCCAGGCCATAGGGATCTCTTGTTGCAATGCTGTAGAATTGGAGGAATCGCTCTTTGTGTAGATAGTCTCTAACAATGTCATGTTTGCCAATTTCCCGCATAACGAAGCCGAATTGATGTAGCGCCGGCAGATCATGCTGCACTCGACATCGCGGTACAGGCGAGAGCTTGAACTTGTCCTCGAGCTCGATGGATGGGCTTGTCGATAGACTTGGGCTTGCGGCAGGCAGTGGCGAGTCTGACGGCTCACTGTTCGATGTGGGTAGATCCGAGCCGATCGTCGAGCTCAGCACTCTCGATGAGTGTGACTCAGCTGACGATGATTCATCGTCGCTGCCGCTTTCGTCCATGCTGACTGTGTCGCTAACGTCCGCGCCGCCGTGATCGATGGTCCTGCGCGCAAAGAGCTCTGCTTGGAGCTCGAAGAGTGCGACCATGTGCGGCCAACGATGTCGCCACTGAGACGTCAAACCCGTCCGCTGGATCATCGAGTGGGATCGATGAGAGGATCTCAGCTTGATGGCAGTGCATGCGAGTTCAAATGCCTCATCATTCATCGTGGTGCCCGTTGTAATATCGTAGTCTCTGACGTGATACGATTGCAGTGATTTGACGGCATGGTAGACATAACCGCACTCTCTTTGTAACCGAGCACGTACACTTTGCGATGACATGTTGGGCGGATCGGCAAACGCAGGCAACTTGAGTAGTTCAACAGTCACGTCCTCGATCAGTCTGCTCGAGATCAACGGACAACCGCAAGATCGCATTCTCGTGGTCGTCATCTCTAGCAGGGCTATGATGTGCTCCTCTGACCACTTGTCGACAGCCATTGAGCCCAGCCAGAGCTGACCAGAGGCAGGATGAAGAGTCAAAGTCGTCTTTCGAATGCTCTTTGATCAGTTGCGGGGCCCTGATGATCGTTCGGTATGACGCTGATTGAGCAGCAGAGAATGTATACTGCGCCGGCTTGCCACATCTATGGAGAGGGAGTGAACATACTCAAACGGCGTGAGGCTGTTCGTCCGGCGACGCAACGCGTGTCGACCGATGTAGCTAGTAGACCAGACAGACTGCCCACACGACCTGCGCAAGCGGCTCAGACACCATGACGACTGAGCGGAACAGTCTCAAGGCCAAGATCGCTGCGTTCGAGCAGCTCTCTTCGGGCCAAGCAAGCGCCACAACACGCCCGAAAACCGAGCTCAAGATCAATGCCGTCAAGCCCACCGTACCTGCTGCTTCCTCGGTCGCAAGCCCAGAAAACCTCATTACCTTCTCACCTATCGCTCAGCCGGCCACAGCACCATCGTTTGCAGCTCGTGCTGCGCCGCCTCTGCCCTCGAGAAGCAATACATCCTCAAGTACGGGCTCGCGACGTGAAGCTCCCGCATTGCCCGTTCGACCTGGTCAGACTATGGCAAGTCTGGTCGCTACGCAAGCTCGCGACTTGGACCTTGCGCTCAACGATCCACTCATCTCGCCTGTTGCTGTAAGACAGAACGGGTTGCATGCGAACGCGCCTTTGGTCGATGTAGAGCCAGACACGATACCGCGGTATACCAAGCTGTTCGACGACCAGTGTCGCATACTGCAGGCCACAGAGATACCTCGCCCCATCGTCCGGGTGCTGTGGGAACGATCTAAGCTGACGCCGGGTTCACTGGATGCAATATGGTTCGTCACATCTGAACAAAGTCAAATCGAAGCTCATTGTCCGCTTGGCACAGGCTCGCTTGTCAGCAGCGATCTGATGAAGATGCCCTAGATCGTGCATCGTTCTGCAAAGGACTATCATTGATCGATACCGAGCTGGCAACGCAAAGCATAAAAGCAGGCTGATTGTCGCGATATGCTCTCGATAACCTCATGCACCTCACATCAAGCTGCGAGCGGCATCGCTATGCAGGGTGTAAACATATCGGTGCGATGCTGCCCTCGTCGAGCCGTCGTCCGCTCGGGCTACCACCGCGGGCACATGCAAGCCGACCTGCGAAGCCCTCCTGCCAAAGAGTGACAGTCAGAGTCAGGGTTCAGTACGAAGCGCATAGAAAGCCGAGCTCAGTGTATCCCGAATTGCACACTTGGTTCTCGACGCCATCCATTGAGAATGCGGAAAACAGCTGTGACCCGATACCAGAGAGAGAGAGAGTAGGTTAAACAAAATGAAAACAGAATACATCCCCGACCAACAGGCCCTTTACAAAGGCTCGAAAAGAGACCTCTAGCGCCCTTTGCGAAATCGTCAAGCAGATGAACATGTGACTCGACCAGCTGTTCGCATGCAATCAATGTGGCATGCGACCGCGGGAGTTTCTCTCTCGTCGTGAAGCGTAAACAAAAAAGGGGCGAGATCGTATCGATTTTCGAGGCGTTGTTCTATCGCCAAGCTGACCAGAAACGAAGTGAAATAGGTAAGGCGCTGCTCAAGAGCAGTACGGCACACCGTTCTTGTAAGTGGCTGGCTGGCCGCTCGGGCAAGCTGTTAAGAAGGTAGAGTTCAGTAGATGGCTTCAGACCAAATCGACTGTACGTACTTGCTGAGCATTGGCCGGCCTTGCAAGAGTATGTGCACGGGACGCCCATGTAGCACTTCTGGCAAGTGGTCGTGGAGCATTTGCCTGGCTGTGTGCTGCTGACCTGGCACTTGTAGCCGTAGCTTGTACCGAGACGAACAGCCGATGGGTTATCACAAGCTATACGCAAGCCATCAGAGACTGTCGTCGATGAGAACAAAGACTGAGCACGTACTGTATGAGCAAGTAGGTGCGCCAGAGGCGTTCTTCGAGCAAGTCGACATACCGCCTTCGATATACTTGCAGGAGTGCTTGGTGCAGTTCTGCGATTTGAGGACACATTGGTGGTTGACAGAGGCATAGCCGTGATCGCATAGTGCGATACACTTGCGCTTGTGGCATTTGGCATAGGCATTGGGTGCGTTGGTTGAGCACTGGGAGTCACGGTGGCAACCTCCTGTGTGATGAGGCTTTCTGTGGTGGTGGGGACGACGGTGGTGGTGATGGTGGTGACGGGCACGCTTTTCGAGACCGGCAGATTCCTCAAAGGCAGAGAGCTCTGCACGCTCAACGAATTGAGCAGCGATGCCAGTGTCTGTATAAGCACATGATCAGTCACCAGCGCCATTCACACATCTTCAGAGCTATGCTTACCGGCAACTGGAGAAGCGGATGCGAGTGCAGAGCCAGCGAGGGCGAGGGCGGCGAGGCCGAAGAAAGTTGCCTTGAACATGATCTGAAAGTGATAGTGGTGTCGTGTGGACGTATGTGGTGAGTCTAGCAAGTGCAGTGACGAATCTAAGTCGTACGCTCGAAGTCGGCCGATAGTCTGGGTTGAAGAAGAGCGAACAGGCCGAGCTCCTACTTGTACTTCCCGATACGCAGATTTGTTGTGAGCTCGCGCTGCAAAACAAACATTGGCGCCACTCTCTACGCGGCGAAACGGCGAGGTGTATGATTGAGGAGCTAGCCTGATCGTGAGGTTAATGGGTCGTTGGTTTGCAGTGATCGTTCAGCCTGTTTTGCCTAGATCGGTATTCGTCGCGTCGAAATCCTGATTTCGCGAGACGCGCCAACTCAGCGCGTGATTACGTCAAAAGACTGAGAAAAGTGTCAGGCAGCCAGGTCGTGGTAAGACAGCATGCATATACTGCCCCCTCGATAGATTATACGATTTGCCAAGGGAAAGTTGTACGCCGCGCTGGTAGCTCCGAACGCGCTCGGAGCTGACCGCGATAGTTCTCCCTCGGTCTGCGCGAAAAGCCACCCTTGGACGGGCCAGAGCTCTCGGATACCCGTCGGAGTATGCCGCAAAGACGACCCTGGTGAGCCCACGCGGCGATAATTGCGAGATCGGGAGCTTGCCGAACAGCTGCGCGAGAGCCGCATGATACGCTAGTGTTGTTTTTGGCTGTCGGACCGCTGAAGAAGTTGAGACCAACGCGATGGTACCACCGATAAGCTTGTTCTGTCGATGCAACGACAGCTCGTGACGCGCGACGGTATTAGTTGGTCTCACTGTGCGATCTGGCCGACAGCTCGAGGTCGAAGAAATGATCATGTCGATATGCCTGATAGGCCGGGCGGTCAAGACTGGCGAGCGTGACTTGCTTGTCAGTGTTGATATCCTTGATGAGAGCCTCTGGCAGCGATGACGGATCTCAGCATCGAACAAAGAACGACGGACACAAGACAGACTCGCCTAATCCTGCATAATCATATTCTGGCCGAATGAAAGCGAGTACGATGACTTTGAGATGGGAGCCATAAAAGTCACGTTCAAAGTCGTGCAAGATATGCACCTCCTGTCCAATTGTGAAGACCGGCATCAGCCGGCGCTTGCTGGTAGATAGGCTGACGAACAGCTGTGCGCTTCTGATTCTTGTAAAATGGGTTCCAGCCTACACTCATGACCATGGGCAAGACGGTTTCTGAGCGGAGGGAGGACGTCTCTGAGCCCGACAATGTCACTTGAGCCCAGCCATAGTGTACGCCGGTCTGTAGCTCTGCCACTTGCACGATCGCATCATCCGGCAGATTTGCTGCCTCACGATGCTACAGATCAGCTCGCGCATGCACAGTAGCCTCGAAGCGAACCCGTAGGACATCCTAGCTCCTTGCTACCTCGTCCAAAGCCTTTTTGTACGCTGCCTTGCAGATAGATCGGGTACGGCTGTTCTGGGCCGGTATCTGCGCCTGTGATTGCTTCTCGCTTGGCGTGAGGATCGTGCGCTACTGCTTCTGGGCGGTCTGCCATCCTAGTCGAGGAGTGTGAGCTGACCGGCGGCGGCAAATTCGGTCGAGGTCGACGACGTCGACGATGACGCGATGACGCGCGCACCTTGACCGAACGACGATTGGGTACCCTCATCAGCCTCGAACGTCTCAAGCCAGCCGCTGACGAAGCGGCATAGGCTCGTTGAGCGTCATGAAGGTCTTCGAGACGATGTTCGAGTTCCCTTTCCCCTTCAAGGAGACGGCGCTCGGGGTCTTCATGAAGTATCCCAACCCTCACGCAGAGCATGTCATCTCTGTCGATGTCATCGATCGCTCCATCCTTCCAGACGGAACAATACGGACTGAACGTATACTGGGCGTCAAGCAGAGTGCGCCCCGATGGGTCATGAAGGTCCGTCGGCCCCTTTGCGGTGAGCCCGCGCGAGCTCATCGAGCTGACTTGTGGACAGATCATAGGAGGGCAGGACGAGACGTACGTGAGAGAAGTGACGTTTGTCACACCTGGGCAAGCCGTTCGGCCCCCAAGCGTTCTCATGTCATCCATCAATTTATCGCTGGCGGGCGTCATCACTTGCCGGGAAAGGATAGCCTATACGCCTCACTCGGCTGCGAGCACACGCTTCAGACAGATAGCGCAGATGCAAGCACAGGGCAGTCTAGATGTCGACCGAGGGACTTGGGCATCCATTGGCAAACGGATAGAAACGTGGAGTAGAGATAGGCGCGTATCTTTCTGCTCAGCAAGCCTTTGCACTCGCTAAGTTGTCGCTTTGTGACGCAGATTTGCACTGAATGCGCATGCTGGCCGGGAAGGACTAGGTAGTGTGCTAGATTCACTCTGTGGCGCAGGCGACACCCTCAAGGCCGCCGACTTTGCTCGACCCCATCTATGATCGTCAGTCAGAGCCATCCCGATGGAGCCTCTGGCAAAGTAGACGAGCTCAGTATGACACCCATGATCGTCACGATGTGCAGACTAGACCCTATGCATGCTGTAGATTCGTTCCATGCCATGTAACTTCGTGGGCCATTTGAAGAAATCAGGCGCGCGCCCGGACTGGCCCAGTCTCGAGGTTCGATCACTGAGCTGATGCGGCGAGTGAGACCGCTTGCAAGACGACAGCACACTCGTTGAGCACTATCGCCGTCGTACTCAAGCCCAGGCAGTCCTTGGCCTGCCTCGGTTGACATTTCGCTTGATCATGTCGCAAACGACAGCATTGACGACGCCTTCGGGCAAACCTATCGGTCCTCTGCCGCGCAAGATAGCCCTCATGGGCTCACGTAGCGTCGGCAAGCTCGCTGAGTTCTCTAGCGGATCCATCCCGCTGAAGAAGCGATTCTTGTGCAGGGAAATCCTCCTTGGTCGTTCAATATGTGGACAACCACTTTGTAGAGAGCTACTACCCGACGATCGAGAACCACTTTAGCAAGATTATCAGGTACAAGGGCAAAGAGTTCGCTCTCGACATACACGATACTGCCGGGCAGGTCAGTCGAAGTGGCTTGTGCGCTCATCATCTGCTCAACAGTCAGTCGGAGGGCAGGATGAATTCTCTCTGATGCATACGAAGCACACCGTTGGCCCTCTTGGCTGGGTACTCGTCTATTCTATCGCTTCGAGAGCGAGCTTCAACATGCTCAGGGTCATAAGGGACAAGATTCTCGATGCACGCGGCGAGGAAACTATCCCTCTCGTTATCGTGGGCAACAAGCTTGATCTCGAGACACAAAGGCTCGTCTCATTTTCTTGTCAGTTGCTCTCAGCTCACAGAGCTCAGCTCGTGCAGACAAGTACCCAAGGAAGAAGCGCGTAAGCTCGCGCAAGAGTGGAATTGCGTCTTCATCGAGACCTCGGCCAAAGACAACGACAATGTCGCCAAAGTCTTTGAGGACATCCTCATTGAGATTGAGAAGAAGATCAATCCTGCTCCAGAAGCAAAGTCGTCTTGTGCAATCATGTAACTTTCCTCTGTCTGTCTTTCTTGATCTCGAGATCTGATTCATCCTGTATCGCGCTACCGTATCCGATCGTCTTGTATCATCGTCGCAATCTGCGTCGCACTGCATATCTGTCTTGCTTCTTGTGCTCGACGAAACCGGGCGTTGAGCGTGACGGACGCGTTTGGCGCGCGAGCAGCGCGGTGACTTCGCCGAGTTTGGCCGATTATAAAAGCTGTCGAGTTGTCGAACTCTCGTCTACGATCCCAGACATACTTTCCGACGTAAGATAGGGCATGATGTCGGGACTCACTACTACGGATGACGCAAGAGCACCTTCCCCGCCCTGTGTCGAGCAGCTGCATCATCCAGAACACGCAGCACACGTCGAGGTTTGTGCATCATCTACTCTCTGCCTCATCCGTGCTCACCTTCCGAATCTTCCTCCCAGGTCCCTCACGGAGCATCGAATCTACCTCAAGGCATGTCAACGATGAACGGCAAGGCTTTCCTGGGCAAGAAGATGGCTGCCAGTGGGTCAGTCGCAGCTCTATCTGCTCGTGTCCCTGAGCTGATTGGCCATCGGACTCTCAGCCAATCATTCTGTTCGCCGACGGACACTCTCGTCTCACCCTGTACTGCCAAGCTCAATATCACAAAGAAGAAGCACTTCCAAAAGTAAAGCTCATCGTCATCGCCAGCTGCCCTGATCTCATTTCGTTGTGTTCTGCAGAGGCAAGCCATTGACACTCGCTGCGTCATTCATGTCCAATCGCGAGACGTCCCAAGAGCAAGGCAACGTCAAGGACAGTTCAGTCTTTGGCGGAGGCGACGAGAACCGTCCGCCTCAATAGATGGCACTCGCTCGGCCCATTATACCCACGCGCATCTCAGACAGGACCTGTTGTCGCCCCGTTTCGGTCCAAGGCTTGCATTCGATCTTTCATCGAGGTGGCTCTGGTAGCTCACCAGGGTCTGCTTGTGCTGCTCGAAGTCGTGCTCGTGTCGGTGTCTGTGGAAGACCAATAGGCGTCCAGGACTTCCTCTGGTGTGGTACGCAGGCCGAAAGCTCCAATCGAGAATTCGGATGCGACAGATCTACGCACGGCAGGTGAGGGCATCGTAAGCCTGCTCATTCTCTGACTGCCCTTCCACTTGCTGAAATAGAACAGGGCATCTGGATCTGTGGCCGTCGTCTTGATCGACGCAACGCTCTGTCGTTGCGACCCTTCTTTTCCGTCAACGTGTGTGGTCGAATTGCGAATCGTAGGCTGGTCTTCCTCACTGATAGCGGGGAGAACTCCTTGACCCCTTGACTGCGGTGAGGCTCCCATCGCTCTCATCATGTCTGCACTTGACCAAGCCGGATCTTGACTTGCTTTCTCGTGGTCGTACTTGTCCTCATTTGCAAATGCCACAGAATTCCAAGGTAAGTCCATCTCGTTCTTGAAGTCGTGCGGTATGTCTTGGATAGCAGTCAGATAGCCAGTAATGAAGAGGATCGTGAGCGCATTAAAGACTGCAGTGAGGATGCCAAGGATCTGCAAGAAGTACCATGCTTCGAAGTATCTCGGAATGATGAACAGCACGGCGACGAGGGTATTGACGAGATAGACAAATTGAGCAATACCCTTGCTTGCTATGAACAAAGGTTTCTGTCCAATCAAACATCAGATCTTGGCCGCTCTGGGATCAGAATGCTCACCTTTGAATAGACGCCAAAGTACGCAAGCGCAGACATCGGCAAGTGCACGATAGCGAAGAGGAGTTGGCCAGACTCGTAAGCATTGATCACTAGGCTGACAAAGTCGCTAGGCTTGTCGATGAGGATCCCAGCTTCGCTCAACTCTGCGGCCCAAGCAAACAAAAAGGCAAGAATCATGAAGAAGTCTTGCCAGACGATTGCGTCCAGCGTCATCCGGATTTTGATTGCTCGATTCGCTCTGTGCGGTCTTCCGATGCTCGTGTAAGCTGCTGAGTAATCCGGCATGAGCTTGATGCTGAGTGCGATGGCGAACAGGAGCGCAATGCTGTGCGAGAGCATCAAGTCGCGATTGATATCGTTGAGGGCGAAGCCGAGACCCTTGAGAACATTGGCTCCGCCGCAATGCGTTTGCACCAATCGAGCAAATGCACGGGCATCCGAATCGGTTTCGACAGATGTGGCAAACGAAGCGAGCAGTACGAAGCCTTGCATGAGAAAAGCGCTGGTCAAGTGAGGTACCGAACGGAAGTATAAGCCGACGAGTGTGTAGAGAAAGTTCCAAAGCTGATATGCGAGAAAGAATTGCGCTTCCTTCCGTCGATGCTGTATGCTGATTTGTGATGTCTTGAGTGAAGAGGCGCATTCGAGGGACACGGACAACATCTGACCATTGAAGGCTGTACCATTGACCATTGTGCCATTCGATAGGAATGCGAACGATTGTGGGCTTGCGATAACCTTACCCGTTGGCGCAATAGGCACACCCGCCGCCTGTATAGGCGCTGCTTTCGAGATAGCATTCGCGCCAGTATTGTTGGCCGTTTTGGCTCGTTGAACACTTCGTACCGACTGAACATTGCTGTCTGTCAGGCAAGTGCTCTGTTCGCTAAATATCCTGCTTGTCTTGAGCGACCTCTGTAATCGAACGAGGGCATCGTTGGTTTCCGAGAGCCGTCTAGCTTCCCCTTCAAAGGCCTACAGCCAGATGATCTCTGTCAGCATCACCGCTGGCCAGGGAGACGATGACTTGCACGTAGTACGTTGAGCGCTTTCTGATCATGTGTGAGGCTCTTGACGTGCAAATATGAGGTGATCCAGCCGTTGCATGCTAGTATGTTGAGCAGTATGAGCGGAACGACAATGTGATAAGTCAGCGCCGCTCGGAGTCGAGCTGTCCAGCTGCGCTCATGCAGACGCTTTCGAGGCAATCGCATACAGGCCCACCAACGTCCAGCGCTGGTCTTACGACGTGCCTGCGGCTGACTGATAAGAAGTGAAAAATCAGAATTGGCATGTGAAAGCCCCCAGAAGGCGCGTGAGAGCAATGGCGCAAAGACCTTGTGGGCTCCAGTCGCGATCGGAGGTCAAAGCGTGATTTCGCGATTGCTGTTTGCCGGGAAGAGGCTTCAGGAACGAGTGCATTGTGGTCTACAGCTTGGAGAATTTCTTGCTGCGTTGGATTGTGTCTGCCGCGAGTAGGCCTACAGGCCCGAATGCGTTGGCATAGAGTGATGCTTTCTCCGAACTAGCTTGACCGCGTGCGGCACGTGCAGCGATACCTTGCATGATGACAGAAAGCTGCGTGGAATCCGATGAGCTGCTGGCATCGTGGACGATGTCTTGCTTACCCTGAAGAAGCTGAAGCTGACTGCTGCAGACCATCCTTTGATTGGGTATGAGCGGCCAACCGATTTGCAGTAGAGCTTCATCAGCGTTTCTGCGTCTGGGATTGGCAGATCCTTTGGCTCTAGATCTCTGCAAGCGAACCGCTCCAGAGTTTCAGCCAAGCTAAGCTGAACGAATTTCCCTGCTTGCCTGAAACCAACGACGATGTCCGAGCCGCTGTCGGATGGTATGTAGAACGGCTGTAGCAGATTTGAGAGATCCGAAAGCGGATGGCCCTGCATTCCTCTCAGTGAGGGACCGCAATATGCGTGACATGACTGACAAGTGTCGAAAGCTCCCAATCGAGAACGCCAATCACTTCTGGCTTGGTAGGGTGGAATATCTGGCCGTCTGGAAGATTCAATGATTGCACCCTGGCTGATGATTCTGCTGCGCACCATGTTATCAAGCTTAAAATCGCCGTGTACGATCGTCGTCTCGCCGAGTGGGCAGTTCTCAGAGTACCATTTGAGCAGCCTGACAGGCTTATCAGATCACGCGAACAAGGCGAGAAGCGAGCAGACCAGTCCAAGTTGGGAATGTCACCGACAGCATCTCCTGTATCTTTGTGCTCTATTGCGGCCTGTGCGTGTGACACGCGTGCCAGACTCTTGATCTGCCGAGGATAGAAATCTTTCTGACTGCCGTAGTCTGATAGACCGATATCATTCGGCTTCAGTGCGTGCAGTGCCGCCAGCGTTCGGATAACGCTCTCCCAGCTGCGAATCCCACCCCTTCAGAGTCAGCGGAAAGACCCATTTTACATGGCGATAGCTGACCATTTGGATCTTTCCTCTTTTGACTTAAGCTCAGGTATCCTAACGTCTGTGAAGATGCGACCCTCCAGGAATTGCATCACATAGAACGGCGTGCCAATGACATCGTTGTCCTCACATCTGCGAGAGGTGAAGCTGAGCCGTGTGCTAGCGGAGGCAAGCGGGGTACGTGCAGGCAGTAGACCTCTGGCACAGGTACGGTGGCCTTGTCTGCCTTTCTGCTCGCTTCACCGACGGCCTTGATGACCTTGTACTCTCGCTCGACAGCATGAGCAGTCTTGGACACAAGCTTGCCCGGCGGCTTCTTCCTCAATACGTACTTGACTTTCCTGTCGGCGTGGTGTGCTTAGCTACATAGGCAGATCAAGACCAGCGGACGAACTTTGCGTCGGTGATGAAGTAGGTGGGATTGCTCTGGCCGAACTTGAATTGCTTTATCTCGATAGGCAGGGTGATATGACTGATGTTTTTTGAGAGATACGCCTCAAGTTTAGCCTGATCAATTGCTTGTCGTATTTCACCATGGTCGGTCCTGTCAGGGTCCTATCGTCTTCAGGCTGGTATAATCAACAACGGCGAGCCACGGACCCTTTGGGAGCATCCTTGCCTGCAGGTGCCATGCCCGCAACAGGTCCGGAAGACGGGCGAACGCGCTGCCGGTCATGCTGCAGGTTCGAAGTTCCCCGCGCGGAGATCTGGTGGTCGTTCACCGACGAAGCGATTTTTGGCGGACGAACGCCAATCATGATGCGCCCAGCATGTCGCACGTCCCATCGCATGCTAAGCAGTGTCGCTCGTGGGAAGCAGTCAGCACAATTAGCGGACGAGAGCGCAGCTCATGCGCAGATCAAGCGCTATATCTTGACGAACGATCCTCAGAGCGCACTGAAGCACTATACAGCTTGGCTTACCCATCGCTCCGTCTTACCGCCTCCGCGTACGCAAGAAATTGTGATCCAGTCCTTTTTCAGCCATCGCGCGTACGAAGAAGGTCTGCAAGCCTATCGACTTTTCCTCGAAGCGAAAAATGAGCCGACAGTCAGATTACAGACGGCTGCACTGTCTGCTGCTGTCATAAGAGCCAGACAAGCTAGCGCAGATCCTGTGCACCACCGTCTGGTCGCCATCCTCGGGCGTTTCCTCGTGTCTGGGAAGGCGCTCGAGGACGAGATTAGCGTCAGCTCTGCGATTAATGCCATGGCTCAGCTTGGTCAATTCGACGGTATAGAGCGGATCGCGCAACAGTACAACGCTTTACTCGATTTGAAGGGCGAGACTTCCAGTTTGGGTTACTACCGTGCTCGTATGAAAGCTTATGCGCTTCAAGGCAATCTCAACAAAGCCTACGATATGCTTGTCGAATGGCGTAATACTTGCAAAGCCGACGATGCGCAAAGCGCCTTGATCATATTTGACCTGATCGAGCTGGTGTCAGAGCATGCACCGCGAAAGCCCGTCTATGGCGAATTGCTCAGTCTCGTCAAAGAAGCTAGCATCCCGTTAGATCGACGCGCGCTTGAGATACTCATGGTTGCTGAGCTCAAGCTAAGACATCTGTCTACCGTTCAGTCTCTCTTCGACAAGCACGTCGCGCTATGGGAAGCCCCTGTCGAGCCTGACGGAATTGAGAACCCGGACTATGCTCTCGCAGATCGCGCATTTGTCACCGTCTTTCGAGCCCATCATTTGTCCGCCCGAATGGCAAGGAACAGACGGTACAGAACAGCTCAAATGACATCGCACGAGCCGCTGTTAGCTGAGATGGAATCGCCATCAGAGCTCTCTTTGGACCCGAGAGCCATCTTCCGGGCGATGGCACGCAGAGAAAAAGACCGTCTAGCTAATCGCGCAACTTCGAAAGCGTACGCTCGATCACCGTTCAGCATAGATGCTCTCAAAGCTGCTATGTCCGCTCTTATCACTCAACGCGACTGGCTCGGTACGCTGGCAGCCTTCAGAGCTGTTTCCCGCTTTGGCCTGAGCCTGACGCCGCCGCTGCTGTGCCATATACGAGACGAGCTTCTCGGTCTATCAAGATGGTGCCATCTGACCGAGCTGGAGGAGAAAATTCTCAAGGGTGTAAATAGGCTCAAGCTCGTCCATCTTGCACCGGCCCAGCAGGTTCTATCTGCTTCTTTTGGGAGGCGATCGCTTTCACGACCCTCGCTGAGCACGAGACAGTATCACGTCTCTGCTGTCCTGCCAGTCGGCGGTATGTTACCAAAGCGGCACTACGTCGAAGACGTACTCGAACTTCTCGCTTGCTCGCACAGTGAAGCTTCGGATGCGCAGCTCCAGATGGAGTATCACCGTGTACAAGCCTTCATGTTCGACCAATAGGATGCAAAAGTGTTCATCCGGGTGCATCAATCGGAGGCCTGGTCTCGTCGAGTCGAGTGTGTCCACCGAAGACGATGCCAAGCTTGAGGCGCTTTCGGTCATTTGGGCTCCGTAGGTGTCATCCGAGCTAGCATCTCACACAAGAGCTAGCTTGCTACCCGATGGACACATCCGGCTTCGTGCGCTTTACTGCTAGCTCCTTCTTCGGAGATCGTTCGACTGCGCACCGACAGGTTCGCAATGGAGACACAGGCGATGTTGACGAATACCTGAGCATGTACTATGACCGCACGAGACATCCATCGACCAGGTCTCGGCCATTCTCACACGGATCAGCAGATACAGCTACTCGGAGCTTTGAGCACGACGGAGATCTGACGATGGCACAGTCGTCGGAATCGGACGATGACTCCTGGCCATATGGAGACAATGTCATGCTAGCAGTCGATGATCAAGCCATGCTTGGACTTATGCTAGCAAACGACTTTATGCGCACTTCTGACTCGAACGACGACGACGACAGGCCCGAATACATTCCATCGCCGACCGCGAGTCAAAATCGACACAGGCGCCAGGCTGTCAAGGAAGTAACCACACGCTTCCCAATTCCTACACAGCTCCTTGACGATCTCGATGATCCACAAAGAGAGCCCGTGACGAACGGGCTGGGCTCACTCGGCCGACTTCCGCCCGAATTGCTGATGACGATTGTGCGCAAGGTCGGCCTCGAATGGCGCTACGATCTCATCACTCTCGGTCGTGCAAGTCGCGGTCTTCGTTCTATCGCAATGAGCGATCGGGTATGGGAAGGCGCTGCTGGCAAAGCCGCTCCCGGCTTTCGTCGACCCATATGGCAGTACGTGCTCGAAGTCAATCGCCTTAGCTGTACTGTCTGCAGGGTAGCATTACACCGTCATCACCAAGCTCACGAGCACTGTATCGCTGCTCATTTCGGCCCAAAGCAAGCAGCTTCGCGTCATGGCAAGCCTACAGTACTGTGCGATCGGTGCCATGTAGCTATCACACGCGTTCGAGAGGGCAAGCTTGTTCCTCTCGACACCTCTGCCCAGGTCCGTCATTCTACGCGATATGTCGCTTCAGAGATGCTAAGGTGATCGCACAGCAGCGCGAGACCCACCGTCGCCAGATGATGCTCCTGGCTCGTTGTCGCTCCCTCTTCGGTGTCACTTGGTGCACGCAGGACCAGTTCGCGCTGCTCGCCCCCAAGGAGATTACGTGGGAGCTTCGGCAGCTCGTTATCGACTTCGTCTTCGATCATCGCATCCTCGATCTTGAAGGTGCCCTGGCGAGCGTTGTGGAGTATCGAACGAGTAAGTAGCGGGCTCGAACTGCTGCAGACTCCTGACGCGGTGTTGCAGTGCTGCTCGATCGCTACGCTGAACTCGAGCTATGGTGGCATCACCACGAAGAGCTTCGAGGAGGCATCATATATAGCTCTCTCACTCAGACTTGGCGCAGCCTTCCTCGCGATGCTTTTGAGGGCGGATTACCGCTCGCCCAGATCGGCGTCGTTCTCTCTCGGCGTGCACATCAAGTCATCGCAGAGCGTTTGACACAGAATGCAGGCGATGACGACCCGTCCATCAACTACAATGTCGCCTGGATTGTGGCCCAGAATGTCTCGGAGCAGAGCTGGGGGTTCATCCCGCACGCTATCGGCGAGCAGCTTCACAGTCTCCCCAGATGGATCAGGGACAGCATTTCCGACTCGCGACGTCCTCTCTCGTGTCTGCGCGCCGACTGCAGTCTGGAGGCTACCAGCGGCTGTCCTTGCGCGCTATGTCACACGCATTGTACACCGCGCGATCGGATGGCGCTTGGCTACTGTCGACGCGCCAGATGTCCTGTGCACTCTACAGCGACGCGCAAGACTAGCAGCATCAAGGCATAGCCATCACGAGGAGAGTATATTCCAGGCTTGTGGTGGAGACTGAGCAAACGCTCTGTGTGCTACCGTGCGCGACTCAAGAAAGGATGCATAGCTCCATTCCTGTTGTCATCGCCTGTCGGAGCAGCGAATCTGCCGAACACGCCAGTGACGCAGCAGTGTCTGAATGATACTGTTGACCGTTCGATGCAAGATGAGCTCGGTCATGCCAATGATCCGCGTGTCACTCTGGCGCGGCCTCGTGGCACCATCATTTGATTGATGATCCTAAATGCCGGATATCAAATAGCTGCACAGCGGACTGCCCGAGTGATCAAACGCAAAGCAAACACAGCCGTTAGCGGCGACGGCCCTACGCTGTTCCTTCATCGATGGCTAGTCAAGGCTTCAGATAGTCATTACATCGACGTTCAAGCGAGCACAGATTGGACTAGCAGGGCTGCAGGGAGTCGCAAGGCACAAGGATCTTCGGCTACATTCGTAGTCTGATCATCGCCCCCAGAGACCTCGCAGCTGGTCACTCTGCGGCACTTACAATAGGCAGACATGTCAAGCTACGATAGCGGCAGCCAATCGTACGCACCGCCAGGCTCGTCCGGCGGCAGGCACGGCTACTCAGCGCCGTCTTTCGGGACCAACGGCAGATCTGGAGCAGCCCAGGCTCACACACCATCGTACCATCAACAACAGCTCCCACCGTTGTCCTCCCTATCTGCAGCAGGCGCGCAGCATATCCATACCTACTCCCACGCACCCCTCTCGCCAAGGTCAGCGCACTATCAACAGCAGTACCAGTACCAGAACACGAGGCACTCGCCTTCTGTCTCATCCTCTGCTTCATCTTCAAGCAAGTCAGTCTCTGAGTTGTTGCAACAGCAGCAGCAGCAACAACAGAGATTGCCGCCTATAGGTCAATTGACCGGTCGATCTCCTTCTGGGTCATCACCTTCTGCGGCCGGATACTTTCATCCAGGCGATCGCTCTTTCGAGGGCCAGATGAATGCACCCTTACCACCCATGTCGCCTGCCGCTATGCTATCAAGACCAGCGACGAATCCACCTCGGTCGAGATCAGTGTCGTACAGAGCTGGCATACCTGACGATCGATCGCCTCAGCAAACCGGCTTCAGCAGCGGCCAATCACCGCTCGGTAGATCCGAGACGCGCGGTAGGGCGTTTGCGGGAAAAGCAGACGAGGAAGAGGCGAGAGACGATCTGGACGAGACGCCAGCGTCTGTTGCGCCTCCCAGCAGGGTTGCAGCAGGGCCCAGCGAATTCGTGAAGAAGCTGTTCAAGATGCTAGAAGAGGGCCAGTATCACGAAGTCGTCTCGTGGAGCTCGACCGGCGACAGCTTCCTTGTCAAGGCTCGTACCATAGTCGTCGGTCTTGAGGGCTAAGCTCATGCCTCAAAGCAGGACATGAACTCATTCACGACCAATATTTTGCCGCGCCATTTCAAGCACTCGAATTTTGCTTCATTTGTGCGGCAACTGAACAAGTATGACTTCCACAAAGTCAAGTCTGTCGAGGGCGAGGCTAGTCTATATGGCGATCACGTCCGTATCTTATTTGCGACTTCGGACCGCACTGACCCTCGAGAACAGACATGGGAATTTCGTCATCCAGACTTTCGAGCTAATGCCAAGCACGCGTTGGATCGGATCAAGCGAAAGGGTCCTCAAGGAAGCAAAGCGAGCGCAGCTGCCACGAATGCAAATGGACCGTCGGGCGCCCTCAACTCGGGCAAAGCATCGCCTGCGCCAACGCCCGTCACGCCTAATGTGAACACTGATCTGGAGAATCTCATCACGGGCGGGTCGACGGAAGCTGCCATGCTCGCTATGAAGGCACAGCTAGATCAGCTTATATTCGGCCAGGGGTTGGCCAACGAGAAGATCAACGATCTCACCAGGGAGCATCAGGTCAGTCCCAGCTATCATCAAGCTTGCTGTGCCTCATGTCTAGGACATCCAGGCGGTCATCTCTGAGCTCGTCACCTTTCAGAAAAACCTAGTGGCTCAAGACGCGCTTATGCAGAACCTGCTCCAGTACCTCGTGACCATGGAGTCGGGTATGTTATCCAGCACTGCTATTAATCGGTGTTGACTCGCAAACGCAGATAAAGCGCAAGCGAGCGCAGCCGCAGAAGGGGTAGCACCGAGGCCATACACGCCATCTGACCAGACTCAGAGGCTTATCTCATCGTATAACGAAGTCGCTCGGGCATCTTTCGATCAGATGCAAGAGATCACTCGGAGAGCTTCCCTCTTTTCCCAGAATCTGCCAGAAGCAGCTCGACACCCCCATCCTCCCATGAACGGCAGCTACGCATCCCAGCCCCCTGTTGATCCACATGTTGATCCGGAGGCGGGCAAGCCCGCCGTACGGGTCGTCACTCTCGGGCAACTCAGGCCTCGCGACGGCACCGATGAATATACCGCCCAAGACAGCCAACAGATACCCAATCTGACCAATCCCTTCTCCAGTGATCCTCAGAAGAGCATGGAAGAGCCTTCTGCATCCGGCGAACGCCGAGGGTCGACGCTACGGATTCGCAGAGGCACATATATTCCAGGCTGGTCTGTACCGCCCAAGGTCCTACTCGTCGAAGACGACGCAGTCAGTCGGCGACTATCGAGCAAGTTCTTGCAAGTCTTTGGCTGTACGATCGATGTGGCCGTCGATGGTGTTGCGGCTGTCAATAAGATGAACATGGACAAGTACGATCTGGTGCTGATGGTAAGTCGTATTCCGTAAACAGCGATCATGGTGCTGATCCTTGTGCAGGATATCGTCATGCCCAATCTGGATGGCGTATCAGCCGCTTCACTCATTCGCCAGTTCGATTCTCTCACACCCATCATCAGCATGACAAGCAATTCAAATCCCAACGAAATCTTGAACTATTTCTCACATGGTATGTCTGCGCTTCAGATCGTTGACTGCCGTACTGACTACGGACTACAGGCATGAACGATATTCTGCCGAAGCCATTCACCAAAGAGGGCCTGCTTGGCATGCTCGAGGTGCGCTGTATGCTTCAACGAGTTTGTACGATGCTGACATCTTTGCAGAAACATCTCATCCATCTCAAGCAGATGCAGCAGCTCGCAGATATACCTAGGGGCATCTCAGTCGGAGAGGCTCAGATACCCAACGGGCTGGTCTCGTTGACTGGCTCGGGCGATGACAAGAACAACCCTTTTGCGACGATGGGGATTGGCGAGTCCGAGTATCTTGCAATGTTACAAGGCCTCGTCAACGTAGACAGCCCGAATCCGTCGCCATCTCATAAACGACACGCATCCGATTTACCAACATCAGACGACGCCAAGCGGGGTCGTTTCCAGGAAATCGAGACGAATTAATCACTCATCATTTGCTCTCTACTCCATCACTGCTATCTTTAGCTTCACTCTGTTGCATGTTGTCTAAATGCGAACATGCGAATCTGCGGCTCAGTCGAATTTGATCGAGTGGCTCTCCATCGTGATCTCCCCGCCTCTGTAGCTTCCACGCTTCTTCTTGTTCTTTTCCTGTTTGGCAATGTTGTTCAGTAAAGCATCGCATGCTGAAGTGAGCGACTCGTCACGGACCTTGCGGAAGCCAGCGCCTCGTGTGACGATGAGATCCTGAGCAGCCTTGTGACCATAGTCTGTGTTTGCGGCTCCACCCTGATCCACACTGATCAGCTGTGGTACCTTCCTTTGACATTGAGAAGTCACCTTTGCTGCAAAACTATTATCTGCCAGACGAGGATCGACAGTGATCTCCTCCGCGCGAATGCGTCTAAAGGGCGTATTCACTTTCTTTGCGGCTTTGCCATTCTTTGTAGCTGGGGCACTGTCATCGAGCTCAATAGTCGTGACCGTTGCAAGAGGTGAGGCCGAGCGCGAGCTTTGTGCTGCAGCGATAGCAGCTGCCGCTTGAGGAGCGATCGTCTTGAGACGGTCTGGATGAACGTGCGAGAGTGCAGCAGCGGGTGCGACTGCAGACTCTACCTCCATCTCGTGTACAACCACTTGCTCCACAATGGGATGCTCGGCTGCCTTCTTGCTGCCTTGACGCATCTTTGCCGGCTTGTCTGTTGATCTTGGTGCTTTGACTTTTTTGCGTTTATCTGACGCAGCAGCGGTATCTGTGCCATTCGTCTGAACGGACTGCGCCGGCGCTAGAGCTTGCGTCGAGGTGGAAGCTTGAGGAGAGCCGAGTGTGCTCTTGCCTGCTAGTGCTTGTGCAGCTTGTGGCAGGACAGGAACGATCGATAACGGTCTGTAGCTCTTCAGGCTCTTCACTGCAGGCGCAACATCTCGCAGCAGCTGAACGAACAGCTCGCCGCCTTCTTGTTGTACGGTCGGGGTAAGTTTCTTGTCTAGCCGTTTGACAGACTTGCGAGTTTTGATGAGCTCACGTCGTAGTGCTCTTTCGGTTTTGCTAAAGCCTGCATGCAGCAGGAAGGCTTGCAAGAGATAGCATGCTGATCAGACGAACGACAGTGAGCCTAGCATCAGTCACGAAGCGCTTGCACCGACCGTTTGCGATGACTTGATCGTCCATCTCTGTGACGCTGTTCGTCTCCAAAATTTATTCGCGACTCGACTCGCGACAAGCTGTCAGTCGACGTGCTGGCCAGCTGGCTTTTCTGCGGTTGCATCATACAACATCGTACAAAACCTGGGTTCATATGATAGAGACGACTCTCGTCCTGCTGTCCCTGAGCAGAGCAGCATCTATAAGCTCGTCGAGCTCTTTGACTTTGACGAGCGCGAGACCCATCATGCGCATGATCTCGCGACCAGCAAGGGGTGTGCCGCCCGCTTTGGACAGTACGCAGATCTCCGACTGGGCATTGAGTGTGTACGTGATCTCTCCTGAACTGATCTGCGTCTCTAACCCAGTGGGATCGATAGCGACGATCGAGCTGCATTGCCTGTTCTTTGAGCCCATGGGAGATGGGTAGAGAAGACATGGACGCACTCTGAGGGACTGGCTTGGTTTTCGAAGAACGCAAAGGTGACGCATAATGGTGTGTGATGGATCGCTAGCGGTACGGGTACGCGCTCCTCGAGCGAATGCTGCAAAGCTGACGTCAGGATGCCGTGAAGTGAGTAAAAGCGTAAGCGACCTACGATCGTCACATCAGCACCATTCTCGACCGTCACATCGGGCCTTCTGAAGTGCAGCAACGCAGCCATTGCGGCCAGACAAGCGCAGTCGGCCAGATTGCCATCATCGTTCAGGAAGTGGACATCGACGCGTATCGACCAGACCTGAGCCTGTGTGAGTTTGCTGCTAGGCTTGGGAGGATGGAAGGGAGTAGACCTTGTCGCCTGCCACTATGCAGAGAGACTCGCGGTCGACTGCCTCTGTCCGCCGTATGGCTTTCTCAAGCGTTCGCGCAACCAGTATCTCCTCCTCTGTCTGTCTATGGACGCGTGCTGGCTGTCAGCTGCCCGCGAGGAACGGATGCCAGAGCAGACGGGCCTGTTCATCTCGTATGCGGCCGAAGCGAGTGGCGTGACCTCTGTCGAGATGACGAGAAAGCCTTCGTAAGGTCTTTCTGGCGGCGGTCTGACCACTTCCGCAGAGACTTGCGCCATCACTCTGCCCTTCTTCTCATCAACACGGGAGCTTCCCAGAGGAGTCTGAATGCCGAGGTAGAAGAAGAAGCTTGCCTTGTCTTGCCCATCGAACATGTCACCGAGCCGAGCTCTGCTCCAAAAGAGAGCGAGACGGTGCGTGTGTCGGTGAGCGTGCGTCCATCGAGTCGGCGGCCTTGTGCGAGTGCTGAGAGTGCGAAGCTCGACTCGACTGTCGATAGGGCAGTCTCTCGCATCCAGCTGATCCTCCCCGCGCTGCCTGACGCCCGGCTCTTTGCGCTGATCGATGGGTTCAGCTTGAGCTCTCACAAAGATCCTCCTCAGCTCGGCTTGATCACGCGTAACGCGCACGAGCCCGTCAGAGTAGTAAGTAGATCGATCAGCTGGCAGGATGAGCACAGGCAGGACACCGGAGATGGCCAGCCTGAGACCGTACGCAGTCGACCCGCCACTGGACGATTGGTCCTTCCCCAGCGCTTCCTCCTCTGCGCGCAACCCGCCAAAGTCATCGGGCAGCAGCATAAGGCCTCAAGCCTCATCAGCGAGCGCGGCAGCGGGAATCCAGTTCACTTCAGACATTCCACCGGGCAGGGGAAGGTATGCGCCTGTCGGTCCACCTCAGAGTATGGTAGCAGGACTAGAAGGGACGGATGACGGACGACCTTTTCGACCGAGTGATGCTATCAATATATTCGTCTACTCTGCTTCCATCTCTTACGCTTCCGTCGCTGCCGTCATGCCGTTCGAAGTGGCAAAGCTGTTGCTTCAGATCCAATGGGTTCCCAAGGACGATCAGGAGATCGTGACGCGTGAGATCCCTGGTCTGGACGAGGGAGCAGATTGGCAAGCTCGCGACGAACAAGAGGTCAGCCATCCATCGCACTCTCCCTCCACATGTCTTGTTCTCACACGTAGGTTCTGTGTAGCTTCATACAGAAGAAGAGACAGAAGCCTACTTTGCCGATCTCACAACGCGTCCCTTTGCCGCCAGCTTTCACGGGTCCATACCGCCCGACTATCCGCTCGGCCAACACGGCACGGGCGCTCTCTCACCTCGTCGATCAAAGCCCGATCGTGATCCTGCTGGCTACATCATCAGGCGATCTATCTACGATGAGAACTTGAGACCCGACTATGTTTTGCCCGCAAGGATCGATACGGGCGTTTGGGATATGTGCAAAGCCCTCGGAGGCTGGCAACCGGAAGGCTGGAGCAGTCTCTGGAAAGGTTCGTCGGGCTACTGTGTCGAGTTGCAGCATGACTCAAGACAGTCTTGCCGTGAACAGGCTTGTTCACAACTTGGGCGAGCGATGTTCTCGAGTCGTTCATGCATCCTGTCATATCCACCATCTGCTCTACCGCTTTCAACGTTTCCGGACCCTTGGCCAGTCTGCCACTAGTCCATACGCCCTACCCAGCCCGACCGCTCGCAGTAGCAGTGGGAGCCTACACGCTCACCACCGTCCTACTCTCGCCGCTCGATCTCGTCCGAACGCGACTGATCGCCCAATCTGCCCAAGTTCGCCACAAGAAATACAGCGGGCTCGTGGATGCTTTCCAGACCATTTCGAGAGAAGAAGGAGGATACTGGGGCATGTTCATGCATTCGCAGCTCCTTCTGCCTACTGTCATTAGCGGCGTCGTTCGATCACTTCTCCAGTATGGCGGTCCCCTCCTCATCGAGCGTTGGCTGGGCATCAGTCCGACAGAAAACCCAGTAGCATTCCTCTTTCTCGAAATGGCAGTGTCTACCGCAGGCCTACTCATCACTTTGCCCATCGAGACGATCCGGAGGCGCTTGCAGATCCAATCTCGTTCTCCCACGAAGCCCGCTCAGGCTACACTAGCGGGTCCTGTTCCGACTCTGATGCCTTATAGAGCTTGCGTCGAAATAAGACCCACGCCTTATGTGGGCATGATTGATGCCGCTTGGCGAATCGCAACGGAAGAAACTGGCAAATTCCCAAGCAATCAATCGAAATCGATCGCTTCCGTCGGACTCTCCAGCTCTGGCGTAGCGCAACTCTATCGCGGCTTCACGATTGGCTTGGGGTTCAATGCTACTGTTGTCCTACTCGGCCTCATTACGGGCAAGACGGGTACAGCAGAATGGTCAGAGATGTGATCTTTTGCTTGTTTGTTACTCATTTCTGTATGCCATTTTGGATGCACAACAAGAGAACGCTCCTCGAACTGGACCATCCTGGTTCATGAGCCTCCGAGTCGATAGTCTGGTTCGCCTCGTCGTCCGGCTACCCGTTGAGCTGGACTATTCGAGCGGGGTCGCGCGGGACCGCCTCCAAAACGCATGGGTAGATTGAGTGTCGCCAGTACGTCCAAAAGGGGGCGATGATCGAGCACAGGTCCATTGAACTGATGTGCAAATGGTAGGATACCAAGAAGGAATGCGACACCTTCTGGCAAGCCCCGCGCAAGGCCGTTCTGCGTCGGCGTGTCTGCTCTGCTAGGCACAACAGGCTGACGACGCTGTGTCGTACCGAGCGGGGAGGGCGATGGTCCCCGAGCGGGATCGTCCAGACGGGCACGCTTGAGCAGTCCGTTTGCTGCTTTCGCTTTCTCCTCTGATCTTGCTCGCTTCGTTGTGGTATCATATTCGCCAGATTCGGGTGAGAGCGGTCGGATCTCATCGACCAAGAGGTGCTTGCCTAGATCGCGAGTCTTAATCTCGTCCAGACCGCCGAAACTCAGCCGATCGGCAAATCGAGTCACAGCATCTTCGTCCGGATACGCTTCCGCAAAGCGCACTTCGAGCTTCTGCACCGCAGCAAGATCGCCATACAGACTCTCGTAGCGCATCATACGATCCCAAAGCGGTCGAACTTGTTCTGCCGCAATCTTGCTGATTGAGCGTTCGAATAATGCGCGAAGGTTTTGATCATCGTTGCGGGCTTTGAGGAAATCGAAGTAGCGGTTGACGTACTCAACGTCGTCGCCGAAGCGCTTGACACCGAATTCGAAGATATTCGTGGCGATCTGCGCTTCTTTATTCCAATGATACTCGGCCAGCGCGGAATGCTCTACGGTTTGCCAGATCAGATGTGGCGACTTACGCGATCGACCAAAGACATCTCTTGCAGCCATGAAGCCCTGCGCAAGAGATTCCGTAAGCGCTTTCTGGGCAGACATCGACAAACATACCTCTGCTCTACGGGCATATTGGCATTCCATGATGCAGGCGAGCGAGAGGCTCTTTTTCAAAGACAGCAAAGCTGGCTTGTTCTTCTCGATGATGGCATTTTTGATGGCTATACTGGCTTGTGCTCCTCCTGACGCTTGCGCATCGTCATGGTCTTCTGTAAGCTGAGCTTCGTTCTCCGCCTCGTTCGCTTTGACTTGCGTCAAAGCACTCGCTACTTCGTCTTCAGTCTGACTTTGGTGGCGTACGATCTGCTGAGTTATACTGTCTTGAAGACTGCGGTAGATCTGATGTATTGCCGGCGAAGCTTTGGTTTGCAATTCCTCTTGCTCGGCCCATGCGAAGTTCAGCAGCAGACTGAAGCGATGATGAGCTTTGCGGTCGAAGACAACCCTCGTGAACTCACCTGGAAGGACAACAGCCGGCTCCAGTCTTGAGCAGCGTGAGGGCATCGTCTGCTTTTTGTACAGCGAGCTGACGCGTTGCCGCCATAAACCTTTGCCATATGGTGAGCAAGACCCAAGAAGAGCCGACAGCGCGCTCACCAGATTTCAGGGTAAAACCTGACATGCATGAGAGCCTTCTTGTATGCAAACGCGATACGGCTTTGCAAATCTTCGGGATCATCTAGCTGAAGTGGGTTGCTCTCTTCCCATTTGAGATATTTGCGCCATCTCGCGAGCGTCGTGCAATCCTCTTCGTTGCTCCAGTCAGGCCGCAAAGGCAATACGTCGATTCGCAAGAGACCTTCGAGCATGGGCCGCAATTCTCGTACGGCTGTTCGGGCTGCCGTATATCCTGTCTGACGCTCCGCAAGGAATCGCTTGGCCTGCGCTCATGGATAAGTACTGACGCAGCCACGCAATGTCGACAACTGACTGTCATGCGGTTGAGTCCATGCTCGAAGTGATTGTAATCTGTCCAGATGGCCTCAATGTCGTACAAAGGGATAACGACGGCGGTCTGATAGGCTCTTCTGACAGTGTCATTGGTCTGTTGTTGCTGGTACACCGCACCCAACTGTCCGATCGGTCCGCGCGTTATGCAATCAAACACACATCCAGGGGGCAGCAAGGGAAAAGCAAAACAAGATCAGTCTTGAGCTTGGTCTGCCAATCAGCAAGTGAGGAATAGCGTACGTCGCCTTCTTTTAGGAATTTGATATAATCTGACCAGATTGAGCCCGAGGCAGGATCGACACCGACGTGGGTCAGCGCATACTCAAAAGCGGCCTTGATCGTCGTTCTGGCCTCAGTCGCTTTCGCTTCGTCGGCTGCCTGGATGGGGTTCCTCCGTCTTACGTATGTGATGTAGAAGCTCCATAGTTGCACACTCGGCGATGATTTTAAGCAAGTGGTGAAGATGGCTTCCACGCGGTCAAAGAGATCGTGGGACAGCTCCAGGTCGGCGTAGGCAATCCACTCTTGAGGAGCATGAGGAAAGACGGTGAAAAATTCATCATACACCTCTCTCGTCCTTTCTAGGTCACCCTTTTGGAGTGCGTCATCGATGAGCGCTCTCCAGGCTTCACTGTCTACCGGATCACGCTCGATACGCTGCTTGAGTTGACCCAACTTGGTCGTGGGAACGCTCGCGGTCGTCATGGCTTTCCGCTTTGCTGATGACTTGGCCTCTGTCTTCTCAGCTTTGACGGTCACACCAGGTTCGGACTTGATGATCGACTCCGGGATAGCGGCTGTGTCAGCAGTCGGCTCAACAACGGGCGCTTGTGTTGCAGCAGGCGAGGTCGCAGCATTGGAGATCACAGTCGATGCTTCGGGCGACAACGACGTTTTGTTGTCGAGGTTCGAGCCATTGTCGAGAGTGGTGTCTATCATGGCCTCACTCTGCTCATCTGCACCTTCTATCGGTGCCGCGAGCAGATCTGCGCCCTCCATGTTGTGATCACGGGCTGCGCGCAGGGTGATGAGCAAAGTGGTTTGGCGCGTATGATTCAAGTGAACAGCTACGAATTTCATCTGATGGATGCACGCTGCGCGGAGGCTCCTGAGATGATGTGATCCATGGAGTCGCTCTCTATTCTTACATCGCCTCGCCGTGGTGCAGGTACACCTGCAAGAGGCTACAGTGCCCGTTCCTCGGTGGAGCAACCAGCAGAAGAAGTACTCGTCGATGACGAAGCCGAAGATGTCAGCTCAGCTTTCATGCTCAGATTGGCCGTCGTAGCAGGCACAGGCGGCAAGTCGGTCCGCTGAAGCACTGATGGACACTCTCACGAGCGAGCGAACTGCAGGACTCCTGTTCGGCATAGATACCGGCATCATCGCGTCTGTACTCGTCACAATTGGGGATGATCTCGGCCAAGAGCTGTCAGAGGGCCAGCAAGAGATGATCGTGTCTGCGACCATCTTTGGAGCCATCCTGGGCTCACTGGCAGCAGGCTTGCTCAGCGATTGGATGGGAAGGAAGAAGACTGTACTGCTCGCAAGTGTATTCTTCACGATTGGATCACTCGAGCAAGCCGCGTCCCAAGTCGTCAAAGAGCTTGTTCTGGGCAGGGTCATCGTCGGCCTGGGCGTCGGTATAGCCTCAATGGTCATTCCAGTCTACTTTGCCGAGCTTGCACCCGCACGGTTCAGAGGCCGACTTGTCTCTGCGCTCGTCGTACTCATCACGGGCGGTCAAGTGCTCGCGTATGTCATTGGCGCTGCTTTTGCCAACGTACAACACGGATGGCGATGGATGCTCGGCTTATCTGCTGTGCCACCGATACTCCAGCTGATCATGTCGTTCTCCCTGCCAGAGACGCCGAGATATCTGCTCAAGATCGGTCAGCTTGCGCGTGTGCGACAGGTCCTAGCGAGCGTATACCCAGCCCTGACCGAAGATGACGTGCAAGCGAAAGTAGATGCCATGCGACTTGCCATGGACAGTGAGTCCAGAGAAAAGCCAGGAACGAGAGAAGCGTTCAAGAGGCTCTGGAGTGATTTGGCCAACCGCCGTGCTCTCATTGTCGCCATCGGTCTACAATTCTTCCAGCAAGCGACAGGCTTCAATACGCTACTATACTACTCAGCTGTACTGCTCAAGTCTGCGGGCTTCGACAAGCCAGCTGCAATGGCCATCTTTATCGCTCTATCAAATTGGTCAGTCAGGCTCTCGCTTCGGATGTCTTGCTTAAGGGGCCCGACAGGATATGTACAATGATTGCTCTCCGACTCATTGACAGAGTGGGCCGACGCACGATGCTCTTGCGCACGCTAGCGAGCATGACAGCGGGAGCTGCCCTGCTCGCATTCAGTTTCATCTTCATCAACACTCACCAGGCCGTCGATTTGCAAGCAAAGGGTGCATCTGCCTGGGCCTACCTCGCGCTGATAGGAATGATATGGTTCTGCGCTTCTTATGCGCTCGGTCTGGGCAACATCCCATGGCTCGTACAGAGCGAGATCTTCGCTTACGATGTCAGAGCGCTTGCTAATTCGCTAGCCACAGCCACAAATGTGGGCCTTTTCTCGCAAAATGCGCAGAAAGATCCTCATGAAATCCGCAGTGGATCGCCAATTTCGTCGTCGCTTCGACGTTCTTGCATCTGACGGCTGCCATCAGTCCAGCAGGCGCATTCTTCCTGTTCGGCCTGTTGACCATCTGTGCTCTCATCTTCGTGTACCTGCTGCTGCCAGAGACTAGAGGTCTCGATCTCGAAAGCTGTCGGAGACTCTTTGATTCGAGCAGCACAGCGGACTATACGGAAGTCGCAACGAGTTGATGCTCAGTCTGCAAATGTCATGTTGCTTGTGCAATTATGCAATCACATCATGTATCACTTGTTGGAACTCGCAATGGGCACACCCGTCGTCGTCAGATGGGTATTCTCGAGCGCATCCTGAACCTCGCTCGCAATATCACTGACGTCGGCTGTGATGCCACTGGCGGCGGACAAGACGGCCAACAGCGATGCCGCAGCTGCATCTTCATCGACGCCTACGCCCCAAGAGGTCTTGCCGGTCGAGTCAAGCAGTTCGACATATGAGGCAGCTTGCACATGAGTGCCCTCGCCAATGCCATGCTCTGCGTACTCTTTGATGGACACGCTGAGATTGAAGTGGATCTTGAGGGCATCCAATAAGGCGGACACGGCACCGTTGCCCACTCCTCGGACCTTGACCTCCCGTCCTCTATCGAGAATGATGCCCGACAGACCCCTTTGCTTCTTTGAGCTCGCTTTGATCAGATCGCTCAGACCAGATCTGGGTCCAACAGGCGATGCAGATTTTGGCGAAGTACTGAAGCTCGAGCTGACATTGTCCAGCGTGTAGTCGACCAAGATAAACCTGCCCTCGTAGCCCTCGCCGAGATGATACGTCGCTCTGAAACTCTTCTCGATGTCTTCTGTAGTCATTTCCTTGCCCGTTCGGTCTGCGACTTCCTGGATGACTTGGTAGAACGCAATCTGCATTCGCCTTGGCAGGTCAAGCTGCAGTGACTGTTGGACGAGGTAGGCGACGCCTCCCTTGCCAGACTGGGAGTTGACTCGGATGACAGCTTCATAATTCTGTCCAATATCCGCAGGATCAACGGGTAGATAGGGAATGTTCCAGAGGTGTGCGCCTGTTGCCTTTGATTTCGCAAAGCCCTTCTTGATAGCGTCTTGATGACTGCCAGAAAAGGCAGTGAAGACGAGATCTCCAGCGTAAGGATGCCTCGGATGAACTGGCAAATCGTTGCACTTTGTGACAGTCTCGATGACAGAGTAGATGTCCGAAAAGTCTAGTTCGGGTCTGACGCCTTGCGTATACAGATTGAGAGCGAGGTTGACGATATCGACATTGCCTGTCCGTTCGCCATTACCGAACAGACAGCCCTCGACGCGTTGACCGCCGGCCATGAGCCCGAGCTCTGTTGCAGCAATGCCCGTCCCTCGGTCATTGTGCGTATGTAAGGATATAACGACATGGTCGCGGTTATGGATATGCCTGCAAAAGTATTCGATCTGGAGTATCGAGGCTTGTCAGCCTGGCACGAGCCGGGAGCTGGACGCACGCACCTGATCTGCATAGTGATTGGGAGTGGCGACTTCGACTGTTGCAGGCAGATTGAAGATGATAGGATTCATCTTCGAGCGATCTCGTCCCTTATACCATTCTGCCTGGACGGCATTGCATATCTCGACTGCAAAGTCCTCTTCGGTCTGCGTAAACGTCTCTGGGCTATACTCGAACTGCCAATCAGTTCCTTGAACGCCTTTTTGCCGTGACTCGGCCTCGTCGGCGTCGACGAGACTGCGTAGGTAAGTGACATGTCGCGTCGCCAGATCAATTGTAGCTTGCTTGTCGTTGTTGAAGACGACCGAGCGGAACAAGGGGGAAGTGGCGTTATACATGTGGAAGATGGCTCGCTTGGCACCCTTGACGCTTTGGAAGGTGCGATGTATCAAGTCTTCTCGAGCAGGCGAGAGAACTTGCAACCATACGCCCTCTTTCTCGCCCAACTTTTTTTCGATGATCGATCTCACAAAGCCAAAGTCGGTCTCTGATGCAGCAGGATAGGCTACTTCCACCTCTTTGAAGCCCACTTTGACGAGCTAGACGATGACTACATGTCAGCTCTCTGGCGCGAGGGTATAAGACGTTACGAACGAGCTGGAAGAAGCGTGTCTTTTGTTCTACCGTCATAGGATTGACGAGTGCCTGATTGCCATCTCTGAGATCCGAAGATAGCCATCTGGGAGCTTCGGTGATCTGTCGGCTTGGCCATTGCCTGTCCGGCAGGTTTAATGGCTTGAAAGCTCTGTTGAGCGCAACACGGCAGGAGAGCGCAGACAAGCAGCCCAGTCAGCTCTGATAGGTATGTTTGATCACTTCCCGCACCTGTACTTGACAGAGGGATCGTCCAACATGTCGGCAGACAACGCACAAAAAGCGCTGGCCTCTATGACTCAAATCCACAGCGCGTGCTGTGCACGTCAAATGTATTGTAGCGATGCCCCAAAAACATCATGCATCACGACACAAGATGGCCTCTGACTGAACGCATGCTCTACACTGAGAACGACTTGGGAGATGATCAGTGCGCGCTATCTGAGTAAGCTGGGCAGACGCTATCGACTCTATAGCCCAGAGCCTGACGGTCGCGTCGAGTTCAATGCTCGCTGCATAGAGCTGCCCGGCATCCAGCGGTCGCTTCTTCCGTACAATCGTCGCGCAGACAAGAGACGGGTCCGGCAGCTCTCTCGACGGTGTCTGCGATCCACATTGCCAGTTTATGAAACTGGTTCTCGATGCTGCGCCCGAGAGGCTGGTAGCGTCGCTCTTCGAGTTTGAGCATCACGATCGGTTCGACCTTGTACGTTGCAGTATGATCTGTGCCCGCGTTACTCGCCATGAGGTCGCAGAAGACTTTGTAGGCGTACTCTGACGCTCCCTGCAAGCTATAGCCCAGCTTTGTCAACGGCGGACCCGAGGCAGTAGCCACAGATTGGAAACTGCTTACGACTGTAGTCATGTACAAGTCGCTGAAATTGGTCGGTAGCATCCTTGTCAAGCGCAGTAGAGACGTAAATGCGGGCCCTTTCTCGAACTTCGACGGTCTCACCATCAGGCACAGAGCGCTGATATGTGGCTTGCGGGCACCATATCGACCCAAAGGGCAAAGGCGCATGTCGAAACAGGTTGACATGGCGTCGCCAGACTTCTTGCTGCTCCGATGTTGTCAATCGGGCGAAGAGCTGACGAGTGTGGGACCATAATTCACCTGTCCCTCATTGTTGGGTGGACGCAGCGGATCGCGGATGGGTTCGTAGACGAGATTGTCAGCAGGGTGGCTTTCCGAGTTATGGGTGGCTACGAATCTGGTGATGATATTGTAACATTGCCTGCAGACGATCAGGTTGCCTTTCATGCTAGGTACTGCGGGATTTGCGGCCTCTACAATGTGTATCGGCTGATATTTGTGACCGAACGAGTTGTCATACGTGTCATACAATTGGTGATAGCAAGTCGAGCAACATATCTTTGCTGCCTTTAGTGCGCGTCGAGCGGTTTAATGACGGTGGTCATACTGAAGATTGGACCAGACTGCAGTCCAGACTCTATCGCTATTGGCGATCGCTGACCAGCGCATGTTAGTACGTGCCAAGTTGATCAGACTGAATGGCCACGCATGACCGGCTGCGATGGCGATATGCTCGAGTATCTCGTCGGGTAGCCTATCAAAGTATGTCGAGCTGGCTCGAACAGGCGGTCTGCGGCTATAACGCGCAAGGTACTTGTTCGAATGGGCGAGTGCAGGACCGACTTGATCGTCACCATCACCAACGCACTCTCGATCGACCGTAAGCCAGGAGATAGGCCCGTGTGCTACCCAACAACCGGAAAAGGGATGGTGGCACACGAAGGAATACGAGTTTTCCCTCTCCAGATCGCATGACTCTGACCGATCTGTCCTGCTGAACACCCCTAACTCTTCATGCATGCCATACTCGGCGTGACTGTCGTAGTTCTCTGCGCAGAGAATGCGCTTTCGTCGAGCTTGTGATGTCTGCTGCATGATGAGGTATGACTGTGCGATGGAGCAGAGGCCAGGTTGCGAGCAAGTCATGCTGAGTGAGCCAGGCTCGCCGAGGACACGCAGCCCTGGCCCTGGCGTCGGAGCGGCATTCTCTGCTACACAACAATGCAAATCGAATAGTGGCTGAGAAGCTGGGCGGGTTGAGGGTGTGAAGGTGAAAGGCACAGGCGCAGTCTGCCCCGAAGCTCGAAATGTCAATCGCCAGAAATTTGGAGACCGTGTGACGTACCGACGACGACGAGATGCGGCCTCGAAAGCGCAGGCAAGTCGAGCAAGAGGACAACGACAGCGAGTCAGGCGGCGATGATAGACAAGCAGCCTTCATCAAGCGGCTGAGGCATGCCCAAGACAACGACGAGGAATTTGCAATTGGCCAAGACGAGGATGAAGAGATCTCGAGCGACGAGGACGAGCTGCGTGTGCCGACGAAGGCGAGGAGAGAGCAGATTGAGGAGCCAGATATCGATCTCGATGAAGACAGTGATGACGGCTCGGACGAAGGCATGCTCAGCTGGGCAGGAACAACTAATCGTCTGACATATTTTCATTTGCATAGGTTCAATCGATTTGGCAGCTGTGCTCGACGCTGGCATGTTCATGCCAAAGCCCGCTCCAAAGCCTCGAGTCCGCAGTGAGGCAGCAGACAACAGCCAAGCAGAATCGCACGATAGCGATAATGATGACGACGACGACGAGCACGATGGGAGCCATGCGCGATTACTCCATCATCTCACAGCGCTCTCTTCCAAGCCTGAGCAAGATACCCAGCCAGTAGACGCCCGCGATAGGTCCCGGAAACGTGCTCGCAAGGAGCAGAACGAGCTCTTTGCAGAGAGCGAGTTTCGCGCGCCTGGTCTGCGCGAACAGGCAGGCGAACAGGCGCTCAGTCTCGATGATCTCCTTTCCGGCCTCTCACCCGCGCAAAGAGTATCGATGGCAAAGCAACTGAAGGATATAGCACCGTCTGGTCAAAAAGACAAAGCGTCCATCGAGTCGGGCGTTGGCAAGAAACACGCCGGTCCCCTTGCTGCGCCTTTGCCTGCTCTACATCAAGCGAAAATCGATCGCACCGTTGCAAAGGAATCTCTCGATTCTGCAATTCGCAAATGGGATGAGACGACCAGCAAAGGTGGATCCACGCAGCATTGACACGATCGTACCGCTGACTCTGCTTGAATAGTGCGAGGAATCCAGACGCGCAAAGGGGTCACTGGCGAGTCTTCACGACTAGTGCTTCCTCTCGAGGCCCCCAAATCCACTGATCCTCGTCTCACCAAATTGCAATCGGCAGGCAAGGTGAGTCAGTGCGAATGAAAGCTAATCCAAGGCTGATAGAACCGCACGCAGCCTTTTACAGCTCTGGAATCTTCAGTGCAGGCCTTCATGCAAGAGAAGGGTCTCTCGTCGAAGAGTCTCCAAGAGGATGAGAGCGCACGACTGGAGAACCTACCTGCAGACGAAGCGAGACAGCGCACGGCAGAGATCAGGCGCGCTCGTGAGTTGATGTTCCGAATGGAACGCAAAGCAACAAGGTAGGCTCCTCAGACCTACATCATCTTGTCAGAACTCAGTGTCTTGTACAACGCTCGCAGGATTGCGAAGATCAAGAGCAAGACATTTCGAAAGCTACAGAAAAAGTCGGCATTGCGTGAAGCTGCACGAGCAGGCGAGGAAGCGGAAATAGCAAGCGATGATGAGGAAGAACGGGAGCGATTGGAGGTACAGCGCGCGAGAGAACGGGCGACCTTGCGACATACTGCCGACAAACGATCTGGCGGTGCATGGGCCCGTGGGATCGGTCAATACGATGATGGCAATTCGAATGTCGTACAGGCTGCTCGGAGCGAGAGAGCGGATAGAGAAGCCGAACTACGTCAGAGGATCAGAAGTGCTGTTCAAGGCGAACAGTCTGGCGATTCGGACACGGACGGCGAGTCCGATCATGCGCTTATTCGGTCTAGAGCAGCAGCGAAAGCTCAAGCACTGGCACAAAGCGACGAGGCTCCTCCTCGAGAAGAGGGTCTGATGGGAATGGATTTCATGCGACGCGGTGCTGCCCGAAAGGAGAAGGAGGTGCAGGCGCAAGTGGCAGATCTGCAAAAGGAGCTAGCGGAGGCTGATAGCGATGGCGTGGAAGACTCTTTCGTTACTGCTCTTGAACCGAGCACTCGTGTCGATGGCAACGTCGGTCGACTCAGTTTCCGTCCTGCTCCTTCGTCGTCGAGCAAACGAACCTCGACTCTTTCCAAGCCTGTCGCTGGAAAGATCAGCTCGAACGAAGTGGCCGAGCCGGGAAATGCTGCTGCACCGCTTGTGCAACGAGGTGAAGAACAGCAGATCGAGGAGAATCCATGGCTCGCTCTCGGCAAAGACCGGCATTCTCGCGGTCAAGCAAAGAAGGAGAGGCCTTCTGGCCAGGCATCGCCAGAAGAACGCTCGAAAGCCAAGCTCAAAAAGACAACGAGCAAATCAAAGACAAGCGTGGCAGCCCAAGCCGAGGAGGATACAGTCATTATCGATCCGACGAAAGCGATGACGGCCGCCGAACACGAAGGCGAAGATAGTCTGCCTGTTCTGACGCAAAGAGATCTCGTGGCAGACGCTTTTGCAAACGATCATGTTATTGCCAACTTTGCAGCCGACAAAGCGAGAGAGATCGAAGCGGATGCTCCTTTCGAAGAAGACACCACGCTGCCCGGGTGGGGTTCGTGGGGTGGCAAAGCGGCAAAGAAGAAATCCGTCAAGAAGACATTCGTCAAGAAGCATGAAGGCGTGGCTGCAGAGGATCGCAAAGATGCCAAGTTGAAGCATGTCATCATCTCGGAACGAACAGACAAGAAAGCGAACAAGTATGCGCTCAAGGATCTGCCGTATCCTTACACTTCGGCGGCTCAGCTCGAGCACAAGCTTGCTCAGCCTCTCGGGCCAGAGTGGGTCACCCGAACGATTCAGAAGCAGGTCACGATGCCCAGTGTACTCGTCAGACCAGGTGTTGTCGTCCAACCAGTATCGAAGTACATGTAATGCATCTTCATGCGGCTCGAGTGACAGCTCATTCTACCGAGACGACGGCACCGACGGCTTCCATGGCCTTCTTCAGCTTCTCTGCGTCCTCCTTGCTGCAGTCCTCCTTGAGCGTCTGCGGCAAGCTCTCGACAAACTTCTTTGCCTGTTCGCTCTCGCATGTGAGCCATGCATAATATGACAAGAGCAAGCAAGAGAAGACTTGCCTCGACGAGATTCATAGAGGGCATGATCGACTTGACCTCTCTGATGGCTTTGGCTTTCTGGGCGGCGTCGATCTTTGTCAACTTGAGCGTGAAGCTCGTCTTCTCCTTTGGCTTTTCCTCCTCCACGGGCGCAGCGCCTTCGCTCGATGCAGCGGCAGGAGGAGCAGCAGGAGCAGCAGACGGCATGGCGATATCGGCAATATTGAGCTTACTCCTCAGCTGAGTGACGAGTTCAGAGGCTTCGAGCAGGTTCAGTTGAGATATGGCTTCCACGATGGGGTCTAGCTTCTTGTTCGCCGCTGCTGGTGAGGCACTGCCGGACGAGGGCGGAGGTGCAGAGCCCGAAGGAGTCGGTGTGGCTTGCTGCTGATCGAGCAGCAACCGCGAGCAGGAAGCAAAGCATCGTCGCTGTACTGGAGCTGCTGCCCGCCGTGATGCACGGACCAGGATGCTACAGCACTCTCTTGCTGCCATGGCCGACGACTCGCTGGTCCGCTGCGTCGATTTTCGAGCGATCGCACAATTCGATAGGCCGCGCCGTGTTCGCCCTCGACTTGCGGCTTGCCCTGTCTCGTAGATCTTGTGAGCAAGCGATGAGCGCAAATGGGCCGATACCCTCGCCCCGACTTGGCTCAGGTCTGTCCCACTGGTGGTCAGGCAAGAGCGAACCGGACGGCACGTTCAAAGTACCTCTCAAGCCAGCCAGCACTGTCCCATCGCGCCTCACTCAGCCTGTACAACCCACCTCAAACACCGCCAATGCATCGCTAGTCCGTTATTGATACCCTCTTCGCATGGAATGTGCTCAGAGCGGATCGATGGACAGGACAACATCCAGCTAGAACTGCCATCAGACGATGAAGACGAGTCACGCGATCGTGATGATGGTGATGATGACAAGCCCATGTTTCCCATGCCCAACAGCGTACAGAGGAGTAGGGCTCCACCTACCAGACTAGCCGCACCTTCATCCCGTATCACTTCAGCCAGCCCGACGACCCTGGGAACAACCACAATGGGATTGGCCAGCAAGAACGCGTCCTTGGCTTTGCCACCGTCGACGACTGTCCCACCCAAGCGGGTCAAAGTCGCTCTCGCGCCCGGATACAGTCCGCTCGATTGGGCCAAACTGAAAGCTTCAGGCGAAGATCTGAGGGTCAGCCCATCGTCGCGTTCAGCTGTCTTCGTTGCTTAGTCGGATTGGGATGGGACAGGACGGAGTGGAATCGATAATGAGGATAGGCCCGAGTGAGCTCAAGAGACACAACACGAAGAATGACGCTTGGGCTGCTTTCCAAGGCAAGATCTATAATATGACGCCTTACCTCCCTTTCCACCCCGGCGGCGCCAAGTTTCTCATGTCGGTCGCTGGCAAGGACGGCACAAGTCTATTCAGTTCGTGCACAGAGTGTGATCTTGGAGTGGGCATAGCTGAACGGGTATGACACGCAGTGGAGACTCATGCATGGGTCAATGTGGAAACCATGATGGACGCCTGTCTCGTCGGCATCCTCGTCAGCGATCCCTACCCCGACAGCGACAGCGACTAGAATTGTATATGCGTTCACTCCGCAGCTTGCAGAGACTATGTTGTTGTCACGATGCAGCATGAAATACAACAAACACAGATCCTTCTCTTGCTTTCTCGTGCTCATCAGGCTACCTTTCTCACTTTGGCCAGGTGACGATAGACCGATTGACTTCCCGTTCCTTTCCCTGCGCCCGTTCCTCGCTCTTTCTCAAGCGCAAAGAGGGCATCCTTCATGAGGATGACTTGGAGCGATTCTCTGCCATCTGAACCCGTCGCCTCGCTTCCCAGCGGCACGTCTGCCAACCTCGACGTCGTCTTGTGCAGCGTGTTCGCCAATGCAAGCTTGGGCGGTCCGCCCAGATCAGAGAGACCGGCCGCCGGTGGGAACTTTGGCTTTGGCAATTTGGAGCCCAGAGCGGATGCGGGGGTAGGTGATCCCATTGCGGGCGATGAGCCGCCGGAGAGCCAGGAGAATTTCTTGCTCGAGCCGCCCAGACTACGCATCGCAGTCCTGTTGGTCTGAAGCTTTTGCACGGCTTCAGGCAGAGCTTTGGAAGTGGCAGTGGGGTTGTTGTCCCTCTTCCTCTTCTTGCCATCGCCTGGACCGGGCGTACTCAGCGGTGAGTTACCCAGTGTTGGAGTAGGTCCAGAGGCGGCGGGACTGCCAGGTTCCGAAGGACGCTGTAAGTCGTCTAATTTGCCGAGCTGTTCGAGTTCACGCTGATCACGATCGATACGCTCCCTACGCGCCCTTCGCTCTTCCTCGAGCTCCAGTCTGTCTAGTGTCCTGAAGATCTTGTCGTGGTCAGAATAGATGACCTCGTCCCAGAGCGGTGAGGGTCCGTCGTCTCGTGATGGGTCGAGAGGAGGCGGTCGAAGGTGAGACGAATGGACACGGTGTCGTCTGATGACGATCATCTCCGTGACGAGATCGCGCAGACGATGTTGTGCCGCCAGAGCGATCAAGGGTAACGTGTCTGGCTCCAGGTTCCGGAGGTCAAACTTTTGAGCTGTGCCCCGACTTTGTACTGAGCATCGCGTGCGAGAGGTCAACGGCAAGCCAGACGAACCTATCCGTTTGACTGCTTCTGTGAGAGCGGGCATTTCCACCCAAGTCTGTCGACGGGATCTGTCCCAGCCGATGTAGGAAGCCTGTCCCGTCGGTCTTGCAGCCGCCCTAGCCTGATTGACGGCTCTCATCCTGTCCTCCTCGGCCTGTAGGCAAGGAGCCAGCCGCTGTCAGCCTTGACGGTGGACAGAAAGAGCTCTCGAGGCGTACATTGAGATCGACGCCTGCCACGGCAGAAGCATCGTTGAGCGTGTCCAAGTCGGCCTGAGCATTTGCTTCTGGAGGAGCAACGGGTGGTTGTTGACCTGCAACCACGGCAGGCTGAGCCGATGGTGTGCCTGGAGCGGGGGAAGCGATGGCAGGCTTGATGGGTCGGCCGGGCAGGGAGTAGCCAGGTCCTGGACCGGACATGCTCGTCTGCTGGAGACCCACAAAGAAACCGAAGGAGACTGGCGCCAAAGCGAACGGTGAGGAGGAGGAGAGAGGCGTCGCGCGCCTTTGCGAGATAGCTCGTCGTCATCCGGCCTTGAAACGAGTTTGGCGCCGACCAGCTCGACGAGAGAGAGAGTGAGCCAGAGAGGAGGAGTGTGCAGCCATGGCAAAGTCATCTACTTCTGCCCCCCACACCGTCTGGGCAGCAGGACACGCTCTCGTTCTCGTGTCGACGTTGACGATCCTGCTCGGACTGATCACCTTCAACGGTCGATCCAGTCGGGCCTACTACCTCGCTTATTCGGGCGCACTCGTCTCGTGGGGCATCGTCGTCGTAAGCTGTCCCTCCTGCGACTCGGATGATCCCCCTCTCGGATCTCTATAGCTCGACGAGCACCGCCTAGGCTGACCGTGTGACTCTTTCTACGGAGCGCTCACCTATCCTCACGAGAGCGGTCGTTGATGATAGCGTGCATGGACAGTATAAATCGCTAGGCATACCCTCTCTCAATAGGGCGTACATCCAGAGGGCCCTGCTCGACGAGAACGTCCAGTATCTCCTGCTCGCGCTCTACTTTTTCTTCAACAAGCCAATCCAGGGTACGCTCAGATCAAGCCTGAGCAGCTCACCCGCTCGACTGCTAAAGGATGCCTGCAGCGAGCCTGATCCCCTTTGCGACCTTTTCACTCTTCCACACTCGTCAGTCCGGCCTACTGACCACAGCAAGGGAGCAATGCTGACGCGTTGGACAGTGACGTTTGCACGAACGATCTTATTGCCAAAGCCTCCTGCGGCATCGAGCAGTAAGAAGGATGCATCGCCTGCTTCGGCCGGTGCCAATCTCTCAAAGTCCATTCAGGTCAGCTTGCATGCTCGTGGGAGTCGCAATAGCTGATGCAGGCATCGCTAGACATGGGTCAAGAAGAATTACGAGCACGCCATGTTGTTCGTCAGCTTTGTCGAGCTGGGCGTCATGGCACAAGTCACGCTGGGCGCTCTCACTTTCCAGAACTCTTTCCTTATTCCCATCGTCTATGCCCACTTTCTGTTCGTGATCACGCTCTTTCCATGGCGGCCAGATCGACTGACGAGCGAGTGAGACAGACGATTCAGATATTATCTGTCGCCGCAGACGCGCGATGCTTTCGCCTGGTTCTCACAACAGCTCGATCATCTGACGGCGAACCCCAACTGTCCGCCTGCTGTCAAGCGGGGCGTCAATGCCGCTCGCGATATCGTATGCTCCTCTCACATTGCTCAATCAAGCGTTGACCGTGCGCATGCAGATCATACGATACGCCGAGAGCGTGATCGCAGTACAGCAGCAGAGCGGCTCTGCGCCTACCACAGGCTCTGCTTCTACTTCAGGTAGCTCGACCGCCCGGCCATCGTCAGCTTCGGGAACGACATCCTCAAGAACTGCTTCTGCCTCAAAGTGAGCTACCGAGCGAGCAAACTGAAAGTATACCGACGAGTTTCGAGCGTCCGTGAGAAGAAGCCAAAGTTGTAGTTCTTTACGCGTGCATCCCTCTCTTTTGCGCGCTTACGACAATACAACAACATCGACAATACATGATCTAGGGAGCTTCATCGAGCGATGGCTCGTGGACCTTTGTTTCGCATTTGCCTGCCTGATGATTCTGAAGGCAGCGGCGTGTGAAAGGCGGACCACATTCCCCTCACGCTCTCGTTGGTCGATTGGACAGGATGCTCTGCCTTTATCCTACGCAGCTTCTGGCCCGACGCATCGACGAGCAGCTTGACCTTTTGCTGTACTCCCGTTCCTTCCAATCCTCTCAAGCAGATGACTTTATCTCGTCCATTGACTGTGCCGATCGCTTAGCTCGACCATCGGCCCGCAGCAGGGGAGGCGGCTAGAGCGTACCATAGTGTCCCCGAACGATGGGATGACCGGCTTTGCGTTGCTTGACGATGACCTCGACAGAAGGTACGCTCCGGGCAAACTCGACGACGTCGTTGGCGAGGAAATCTCTCAAGCCACGATTGCTCGCCCAGCTCTCCGAGTACTCAAACACGAGCTTGTGACAGGGTAGGGCGAAGCTTGACAAGCCCGGTTGAGGTAGGCTTGCGAGCCTTGCCCGATGGATGATTGCTCTTGCTGCCATTGCCAGCCAGAGGATGCCCGACTTTGGCTTCGATGGTGCAAACCGTCTGGCGCGCGACTTTGGCTGGCGAAACTTGAAATTGTCCAAGGAACGCCCAGCTTGGCAGCGAAGGCGCGAGAGAAGTCGGTGAGCGCAGCGCAAGGCCGGCTCTGGATCAGTTGACCGGTGAGCTCGATCACGTCTCGCGAGGACGCAATCAGTCTCGCTGCGTCCCGATCAGCCGTCGCCGCAAAATCGAGCGAAAACAGTTTGTCTGGTCGAATTTCTGCCGGCCGCCGAGGAGGAGCGATCAAACGGAAAAAGAGATTGACATTGGAATATCAGTCCATTGACAACCCGCCCCTTCCCTACTTATCAGATGGCGGCCGATTCATCAACGGTAGCCGACTCGACCTCCGCTCAGGGCTCGCCTGCCACGCTAGGCAAGCGGAGGAGAACAACACCCAAGGGGCGTTCACCCTCGCCCGGTACACCTGCCAAACGGAACGCGACAAATGGTACTGCTGCAGACGCAAGGTCCAAGTCACCCGTGATACGCAGAACGCGTGGCAAAGCGGCGGCGGGGACAAAGATAGAACCCAAGCTGAAGGAGGAAGAAATAGAGACCCTGTTTGAAGCGATACCTGATGATGGTAGCGCTGCTCTGCCATCGCGAACGCGCAAGAGCTTGATCACTGTCATGCGGAAGTACGTATGACCACGATCAGTCGAGGGTGCTCAGTTAATGGGAGCGCAGCATCGATCCGATAGGGATACTCGACGAACGACTACGACACGCGGACAAGCTCCCTTACGCCACTCTGGCGGAAGCACTCGACCATGAGCTCACTGCTGACTCTTTCATGGTCAGCTTGGTAGTCTCAGGGATAGCACGAGCTGACGGAGTAGAGCAGACCGTCGTCGGACGAGCTTGTCAGGCTATATTGACGCGTCAAGCGACTCTGACGATCAATGAGAAACGCGGGGATGGCCGATCAGAGGAGGCAGAGGAAGCTCCACTCACGCTTGCTCAGCACAATGCTGGATCCAGTCACGATCCCAAGCTAGCACAGAAGCGACTGGAACAATACCGCCGAGAGGGCGAAGTCCTCCATCTCACGACGACGTTCAGCGAGACCGTTCGCAGTATCCTCAACGATGCTCTACAACGGGATCTATCTGCTCGACCAATTTCACCAGATCGTGCGTACTGACGGCTGAGCGCTCAATCTTGCTTATGGGCAAAGCAGAGGGATTGCCCTATTACATGCTCCATCGTACCGTAGCAGGCCGTTCAGACGTCTACACTGGCCCTGCTCAGCTCACGCCGGAAGACGTGCTCCGGCTGGCAGAACGTAAGCTTCTTGTTCTTATGTGACGACGACGAAGCTCAGTCGGCTGCAGTGAAAGATACAGATGTCGTCCAGATCGCCAATGGCCCTACGCGGCATGACGAGCTGAAACCATCTCAGCCTCACAAAACGCTCGGGAGCATTCTCTCGGCTGGTCTTGCGCCTGCGCGACAACTCATAAGGCCGAAGCTGTCAGAGCCCAACATGCTCTACTACGATCCATTTGCCTCTTTCGCGCCCTCTTACGATTCTGCCGGTGCCTCATTGTCTTACGGACAGCAATTAGAACGCTTGATGAGCAGGCAAAGAGCATCCGAGGCAAGGCATCGACCTGCCAGCGGACCTTCGTCAAGAGCGATCGAACCTATTGCGATAGAAGACCCTGGCGAGATCGATCCTCAATTGCTGGAGGGCTACAGCCTGAACACGAGAGACATCATCGAAGCTGTGGAAGATATGGCAGAAGAAGAAGAGATCACTCGACGCTTGGTCGAGAATGCTGGTCGATTGAGGTCTTTGCAAGCCGCTCAGCTCAACCGACTCCACGCACAAGCTCGCAATCATGATATACACATTCCGGTCAAACTAGCTGCGACCGAACAGGAGGCCAGAGAAGGTGCGCCGGACTCTTCTGACCCTTTTGCGAGCGCTGACCCAGTTGTGGGCGTAGCGAAATATCTGCTAGCTTCACTAGGCAGCCTCGTCTCGATCTGCAGCTCGCAAGACTCGCTCATACCGTCAGCAGAAAGCCTGCGCAGGGCGCAAGCAATCTACATACCCAAATCTATAGACGCGAGCGAGGAGCAACACGGCCTGCTCGGAGGCGAGCATCTCCAGCGTGCCTTCCCAGACTCGGTGCTCACTGCACCACCTCAAGCAAGAGGCCAGCCGATCATAGGCAATACTGGCACATTTGCAGCTACGAGTGGCGCGTACATTCCGCCTGCCAATCCTACTCATGCCCCTCGTACCTTCTCGCTCGACAATGCGGCCGAGAAAGAAGGCGCGCGAATCCGTCAACTTCCGCCGACGAGCTACGTGCAGCCGAGGCGTTACAACATCAGCTATGCTGCATCCAGTCCGACTGTCGGGCCTCATGCTCGCAAATGAGCACTCGACTGAGTTCGGAGCTCAGCTTCTACAACGCTCTTGCCGAGCTTGCGACGTTGCCGCTCTTCCAGAGCAACTCGTTGCGATTCTATTCGTCTTTGCACGATTCCGCTCGGCTTGATGGCCTGTGGCTCGACACCGAGCCAAGAGGGCGGCGAGAGATGGTCAAGAGAGATGACGACGGCATCTACGTACTGATGCTCTCGCCCTATCAGATGAGCTCAAGAGCAAAGATGTAATGACTCACTTTGCATTGCAAAGCTCCGAGAGCTCGTTCTTGCAGTGACAGGACGGGATATGAGCCAGTCTCGCGTTTTGTGACCTGATACCCATTGAGCCTCAGCAGCACGGAAGCTACTTCACTCACCTCAGCACTCCAGATGCCCAGAATAGTGTATGATGGTCGCAAGCTGGCAAGTTGCTCTACGTCCTGTGCACAAAAGAGGTCCCAGCTCGAGCAGAGACATGTGATGGTCTCGTCTGGTGTCGGCAGCCGGGTAGCGCCGATCTGTAGTGCGTCTATTTCCTCGCGCGACTGTTGCAAGGCCTCTCCTAGCGTCGTCTGTGCACATTGATGCGGCAGATAGGCTGCTATACCCTGCTCGGCCGGAGAGGTCGTTGCGAAAGCTTGCAGGAGTTTCGCGTCGACGCGTGTCAATGCATTGACATCTGGCGTCTCGTTGCTATTGCCTTGTAGGATGCGAGAGATTGCATCTGTAGTAGAGACGCCTTGCGTTCGCTTGCACTCTTTGTACATGCCTGCTTGCTTGACAAACCTGTAGGTGTCCAGACCATCCGCATCGGTAGACACGTCGTCGCCTATACTTCCTTTCCTTCAACGGCGTGCCGCAGCACGAGGCTGGGAACATACCGTGTACGACAAAGTCGATGCCATGTTGCTTGACGAAAGGAATCTCTGCCTGAGTCGGATGAGTTCCAGAGGAAAGCGATGAGGTCATCGCGCGCCTGTGACATAAGGTGCATCTTGCACAACGCAGTCCACCCAGCGACACGCTGACAATAAGCAGGCTCTATGGATGCACAGTCGTCAGTTGGGCACACAGTCGATCTTGAGAGCAGAGCACCTCTCGGCCAGCGTCATGACAGGTGGACCTTTATTGAGTGTGATCGCCTCGTCAGAGTGCACGCCGGCGTAGAGCTCCTGCCCGAACTCCTTGGCCTGTCGCACTGCATTGCCGTGACCGTAGTGGAAGAGGTCGAAGCAGCCATCGACCCAAATTCTTGTCATGCGGCTTGCCTACAGCGCTTTCTGCTCGCTTAGCGCGACGCTGTCGACGCATGCCCGATGTCTGGACGGCTCTCGTCGAATATCTGGAGCGCGAGCACGGCCTACAAGCGCGAGATGCCAGAGTCGATCTGTCTGCCAACGGAGCCGGCCTGCGGGGGCTTGTAGCCACTCAGGATCTCGCTGCCGGCGAATGTGCTCTGAAGATCCCTCGAACGAGTCTCGTACACGCTCGACAATGCGGGCTGCTGCTCGACCGGCCCGACCTCAATACGATTCAGCTCGTGAGCTTGTACGTTGCTCGGCAGCGTGACAGCGACGATCCGTTCATTCAGTCGTTGCCTCGCGACTTGTCAAGCTTTCCTCTGCTTTCACAGCCCTCGCTCGAGTCACTGCCAGCATTTGTATGCGGCCCGGTAGCAGATGTGCAGAAGAGATTCACGCAGGACTGGCATGCTGTCGACAGCCACAATGATGATGAGATCATCGACTTTGACGCGTTCAGATGGGCCTGGCTCTGTGTCAATTCTCGTTGTGTATGGCTAGACTTGGACTACGAAGCGCACGAAGAGAACTTCACGCTCGTGCCTCTGCTCGACATGGCCAACCATTCTTCGACGTGCGCCAATGCGACTGTCAAATACGATCATGCTCACTTTGAGCTCAAGTTGACGCGGCCGGTCAAGCGAGGAGAAGAAATCGTGTTTGAATATGGCGGCCACGATCAGGCGACGCTCTGGGCAGAATATGGCTTCATCGAGAGCAGTAATCCCCACGAGCGCATCGACCTCACTGCCCGTGTCATGTCGCTCCTCGACAAAAAGCAAGCAAGTGTGAAAGTGCTAAGGCAGCACCACTATCTTGGGTTTGTCCACACGTATGTGCTATCGCTCGCAGCTCATAAGCAATGCAGTGACTACACCCTTGACTGGGTGGACGGCACCATAGCACCCTCTTGGCGATTGCTCGTCGCACTCAGATTGCTTTGCGCCACCGAGCAGCATGATGCATGGCTCAGCATGATCGCTGGAGAGCGCGATGACATCTCTACAGACAATGACCAGCGGGTCGGCGACTTGCTGGCCAACCTCGCGCAGGCAGAACAAGCACAGATGCAGGAAGACCACGCCAAGGCGTCGTTGCCCGTCGTGCGTGAGATGATACGCGGCAGGCTCGCCATGCTCGATGCTTTTCTGGGAGCAGTGTAGTTCTAGATTGCTGCAATCACAATCTGCTAGCGCGAGTTGCAAAAGGAATGGCCCTTTACAGTCTATATTGCAATGCTAGCCAACACTGTGTGACGCGCCTGCGCAGCCTTAGACCGCTCTCAGTCTGAGCTTCTGTATCTGAGCTGACAATGTGCTAAACTCTGCCGGACTGATCATACCCATCTCATCCTCATCGCGCAAATCTGCTTCGATGTCCTGCCCTGCAAGTCAGCTCGACGACGTCAGAAGCAGGTATTGACTTACGTCTATAATTTTGGTCATCAGGGCGCTCGTAGTGCCAAAGTACCTTGCCAACTTCGCCGCACGCTTGCAAAGGACGTCGTGACGCCGCTCATGCGTCTCCTCCGATGACACGAGCGGGCTAGCACAAGCCTTACAAGGTTCGTCCGCCGTCGACGGCGAAAGAGTCGAATCCGCTGTACCGTAAATGCTTGCCGCATCGTCAAGCAAGCTCGTATCGTGCTGCGTAGCCCAATCTAACGATGCTGTGATGTAGCCAAAAGCCGATAGTCTAGACGCTTGACGTGACATCGGCTTCACTTGTCTCTCTTCATCATCTTCGGTCACGTCGCTCTCGTCCAAGCTGCTGCCGCGCGTGCGACGAGGCGTACCAGAACCTGCCGAGCGAGGACCGTAGCAATAGCCGGCCGGTGGCATCTTGCCCAAGATCTTCTCAAGCTTCTGAGCGCGCAGCAGGTCACCCACACTAGGAGCCCCGCCATCACTCATGCTCCCGATCTGGCCATCGTCTTCCGATAGGTCACTACGATTGCCTGTGCGGAGACTGTCGCGCGAGCCGGTACGTTTGAGTACACCGAGACGCGAGCTCGTCCGTCGGAGCATTGCGCCGACTTGACGGGTCGACATCCGCATGACCGAACTTCTTCGCTTCTCTTCCCGCGGCGTGAGCGGTGCAGAATAGCCTAGGGCGAGCGAGACCGGCACGCGTTCGCCAAGCAGCCGCTGAAGCTTATTGAGCTTACGCCGGCGCTCTTCACGAGCACGCAGCTGCTCTGCACGGGTGAAGTCGCCGGGTGCGCAGGACCACGGGTCGAGGTCTTTGGTGTCCCTCATGCGTCCGATCTCGGGCGAAGTGTAGTCAGTCGTCGAGCCGACTGCAGACGAATTGCGCGACATGGCATCGCTACTGGCAAAGTCCTCGCTTTCCGAACTCGTGAAGAAATAGGAACTATGTTTGCTGACGGCAGCGGGCCGGACGGGGTTGTCCAGCGATTGTCGCTGTGGGAAGGCCGGCGAAGCAGACGATGGTCCCATCGGCGTATTTCCGCCTTCGGGGTGCTCGAGAGCATCAACATCTAGAAGCTGACGGCTTGCCGGCATCGCCGAACTGACAAGGTCATTATGCGCTTTTTCATTGAGTGTCGCTCCGAGCATATCTTGCAACTTACGACTGCGCTTCACGAGGACCTGGCGACTTGCTAGATCGAGATTGTTTACAGTAGGAGGCATGAGGGTGGAGCCAAGTGGTGTCGCATCAACAGCTTGACGGATCGCCAAGTCAGCAAAGGGCTGCGCATTATTGATATTGCCGAGCGAAGGCATCTTCGAAGCGACGGATGAGCGGCGATTCTTGGGCGTGCTAATAAGTTCGCTGTCGCTGAACGCACTTCGCTCATGCTGAGCATGAAGCAGTGCAACCTCTTCGCCATCAAGAGCACTCGAAAGACTGTGCTCTGTCGTCGACGTCGAGACGGCAAGCTCGCTTATGGGAGATTCTGACGGCATTTGGATCATGCTGTGGCGGAAGTGTGATTTGGATGAAGGCGTGAGGTCAGAGATGTCCTCTGTCACAAAAGTCTGACGCGTCACAGTGACGGCGCCTGTCTCGGCAGTTTCAGTGCGAATGTTGCTGATTGACGGTTTGACTTTGAGCGTCAAGAGTGAGTATGACGAGTGCCGCCGGCGATGCTCTCGCGGATCGGTGATTTGTGCAGCGGGTCCGAGTCCCGTTGGCGTCTCGCCAAAGAACCAGCGCATCTTGTCTCCGCTGACAGTCTGCCGTCGAGCTTCTGTCGCGACAGAATGCTCCATGATGGTTGCCTCTTCTGTCGATATGTCCGATAGCGCTGGAGTGGGCGCGCGTGGCTGACATGGCTCTACCGTCTCTTCGCGCTCATCGTCGCCTTCGTCTGCATCTGGAGGCGCAAGGGCTGCACGACTCGGTCTGCGACCGACTCCGCGATTGAGCGAATCAGCGAGCAGCGTGCTCAGGTAGCGCTCTGATGCATTGCTATCCGTCGCAAGGTTGAGGAACGCACAGATGGCAGACTCATCCTCTTTCGGCAAGCTCGGAATACTCTCGGAATTCGTCAGCCGGGGTGTGGTATCGCCGGTGACCATGCCAGCGGTCTGGAGCGTCTTCAGATCAAACGCCGATCGCTTTCGAGACGATTGCAGGCCAAAGCCGTACTCTCGCATGGAGACGAGAGAAGCGAGGAGATTGATCATGATGGCTCGCTTAGCTTGTGGCGTCGGCAGCTCGGCGAGCCTGTGAAGCTCGTGATGGGTAGCAGATGACAGTGTTGGCAGCGAAAGCGTGCCAAATGAGTCCCATAGGCTGCCAGGCTGCTGATCAACCTCAAGGGTAGCCTTGTCCGCTAGCGCGACGTAGCGAAGGCAGGCGAAACACGCCTCCTGTAGCATCTCGACTCTGGTTGCTTTTGTATGAGCTTGCGAGACCGCCATAACGGCAGGATCCTGCGCGACCTGTGCTGGCAAAGTTAAAAGCGCTGTCGGGGAGAGATACTGGGTAGCAGGTCAGCCGAGGACATCAAGCAGGTAAGCGAGCGCACCAATTGGGTAATGACTTGACGCCAAAGCGCGTATCGAAGGTGCTTGACCGGTCGCAAGGAGTTCCGCCGGGCAGACGTATCGCCCTGATCATTCTCTGAAGATGTCGAGCTGGACTCTGACGGGCCGTGTCCATTCACCACGCGTCCAGCAGCAGGCATCATGGGCGTTAAGCGTACTGACGAGCGCCGGCGACTTTCCAAGCCGGACAGCTTTGCGATCGCCTGATTCGGCATACTGTCCGATGGCTTTGCGCCCAATCCGAGGCCGACGAGTGAGGTTGCAGCAGACATGCTACCACGCATAGCAGCTTGACTTGCGCGACGCCTGACGACGGCGTTGGGCGCAGACGGATCGATAGAGCTCCGTCGATGTCGAGGTGGTGCCGCCGCCGGCTGTGCAGCATTTTCAGCCGCATATTGCAGTGTCTGTATCTCTGCTAGCAAGTGGATTGTGAACAGCACAAGGGCAAGCTGGGCGCCTTTGTCTGCCGTCTCGCTGGAGCATCGCAGCAATTCGCGAACGTATGTCAAGCGCTCATGCGGGTCACCGAGACGTGCTAGCAGCAGAAGCAGAGGTGATGAGGCTGTGGGCGAGGATGCGTTGCTCCCTGTCATAGCGTCGTTGCCAACTGGCAGGAGGGAATCCTCTCGCGCGTCGTCAAAGTGATCAGAATCGCTGGCCGCTGACGTAGGGAGTCTGGATGTGCTCGCCACGGGTTCTGTACCGAACCGGTAGGCCGCCAGGGACGCTGCGAGGTCCATGGGCAATCTGACAAAAGGCGAACCAGCACACTGTCCACGGTCGCCGCGCGTGTTTTCGACTCGCGCTGCCGCAATGGGCCACCTCCGATCATGTCGATCAAAGTGATCGGTCTGATCGCGGGATGGCAGATCTCTGCCTCCATTGCGCACTTGGTCTCGACTTCCGTCTGCTCGCCATTGATCGTACGGCATCGGACGAGATCGCACTGTATAACATCTCACTGTCATCACACCCACATATACACCAGCTTGACCACCATGGACACACAGTTCATGGCCTCCATGATGCACGCTCTGCCGGCGTAAGTCGCGAGAATGTGGATACAAGTCACATCAAAGGCTCATCTACCTTCGAAGCAGGCTTTCGAGCCAAGGCTCTCCTTACGTCGCTTCTGACTCGAGCGCCTCAACCAAAGTAGCCTCGAGGGATTCTGCTGTCGGTCTCGGCTTGCCCAGAGAGCATGCAGAATCAACGGCCTCCAGCACAACCACTCGGGAACGCTTTCACGACTCGTACGAGTCTGCCCAAGATCCATACGTCGCCCCAGACATTCGCGACGATACAGACGCCTCTTCGGTCGAAGATGTTGGAGCTGAGCTCACACCAGACCGCAGAGAGAGCGTGCCCTACGAGACAACGAGCAAACTCTTCCCCGCGCCTCGAACTATCGTACAGCACGATCAGACAAAGTCAAATCTGGCCAGTTGGGCGCCCACGGCTGCACCTGTTCCGACGCAGACTGATAATCTGCCCGAGGTCGGCGAATCCAACATGACAGCGCTACCTATCTCGAAAGTACAGCAAGAGCTCAACTCTGGCCTGCTTGCCATGATGTCACTACAGATCTTCGAAGATTTGCTGAAGGATCCCTTGGGACGGCATCGCTTTCGAGAGTGGTACATCACCAACAGGGGACATCCTGGCAAAATTGACATGTATTGGGACGCGGCCGTCTTTGCGCGCCTGCTCACGCAACTCTCCTTGGGCGCCACGGGCATCCGGCATCTCTACGTTCAAGACGGCGCGCCCTTGCCCGTCCATCTGACATCGGAAGCCGAGAAGGAAGTCACGAGCACGCTGCTACAGCTCGAAGCCGTGCAATCCTCCTTCCAGATTGCGCAGTCTGAGATTCTGCAAGAGATGTATGCCTCAGAGTTTCCGGCGTTCGTGAAAGCCAAGCTCGTGCAAGAAGCGCATGTGCAACTTGGCAAGCTACGGCTCGACGCAGAAGGCAATAGCTCCGGGCTAGGCGACTGCTGGTGTTTGACGAATCCGAGACTCAAAGATCATCCTATCGTCTTGGCTAGTCCTGGCTTCGAGGATCTGACTGGGTACACGCGCGAAGAGATCTGCGGACGGAACTGTCGCTTCTTGCAAGGTCCATCGTCCTCGCAAGAATCGGTGGGACGGATCCGCGATGCGCTCAACCGTGGCGAAGGTTGCAGCGAATTGATCCTGAACTACAGGCGATCAGGCCAACCTTTCTACTGCTTGCTGACCATCATGCCACTGAAGTCAAAGTCAGGCGACATCGTTTACTTCCTTGGCGGCCAAGTCGACGTTGGTTCCAGCTTTGCCAACAAGGGAAATCTCAACGCTTTCCTGCTCGGCGGAGCAGAGGCCACGAATACTGCCACCGGTAACAACAGCTTTTCGCCGACGATGGTCGCCTATAATTCTGCTTTGGCTTCGGGTATGTCGGCAAAGCAGAGCTATCGTTCGGCAAGTCAGCGAGCTGCAGCTGGCACGCTCTATCAGGACGGCAATGACGACAAGTCGCTCTATGATGCTGTCCAGCCGAGGAAGACCTTAGCTTCTCGTATCTTCAGCACTGGTCGCAGCAAGCGCAACGTGTCTTCGGCCACTATGACGCCCAAGCAGGGCATCGTCGGCGCGGAAGCTTCGCTTGGCGCTACCACTTTGCCAATCGATCAACAGATCGAACGCTTCGAGTCTGCCTACACTCGCGTGCTCGTCTTCAGACCTATCAAGACGAAACTCGAAGTTCTCTTCCTGACGCCTATGCTCTTACAATATCTCGGGCAGACAGATTATAATGCCCATCTTTCCCGATATGTCCATAAAGATCTCTTGTCGCTCTTGACAGCTGGCACCAAAGAGGCCACGCGAGCCATGCGACGAACTGTGCTTGGTCGAGTCATGCTCGGCAAGCCTTACTCGATCGAATCCGTTGGCGTCAAATGCCTCCATCAGGCAAAGTTGCTCAGAGAGGCAGACTACACGACCAAGTGGACTCGACTACATATCACGCCACTTCAGGAACGACAAGGCAATGTCGTCGCCTTCACTGCTGTATTTGCTTGATTCGTGCACAATATCTATGCATCATGAGTGTTGGGACGAGGTTCGGCTTTGACCACGATCAGCTCTGCCATCGTCGCGTCATCGTCTATAAGATTGTCCAAGTGCGCTACGCTCAGGCTCAGTCGCATACACTCGGGAGCTATGGCCTCTGAGCTACAAGATGTGTCATCGACACTTGGCCACTACATGCTGCAAGGTCAGTCTCTCGTCAGAGCAGAGGCATGTCGCATCGGATCATACGAGTCATGTCCTACTTTGCAGACGGTCCCCTGCTTCATGGCAACGCTCGAGCATGCAGGCTGATGCTGTGTCTGTGCAGGATGGACACTCAGCGATCGTATTTGCAGCAAGCGTAGGTCGCTCGACGCTCTACCGGGCCTAGCTGATCTCTTGGACACAGCCGGATGCCCAGGCGTACCCCTCATGACGAAAGCCAGTCAGCAGTTCTGTGCGAGATGTGATGAGCCACCCGTGGACGGACACTCCTCTCGTCCCCAGCCGATAGCTTCGGGATCCGTCGTGCCAACACTCGCCCACAAAAGAGCCTCCACCTCAGCCTCTGTCTCTCCCGCCCCGAGTCTGCCTGCACTGGGCGATTTTGAGGATCTCCGCTCAGGCGCATCGACCCCTCCCACACCTCACTCAACTGCGCCAGGTCAGACGCACGATGAGGAGGAGCCCGAGCTCGTGCAATTCTCGGCGACAGAGATAGCACTCCGGCGAGCTCAGTCTGACCGCGCAAGTGAGGCTATTGGCCAATTGCTCCTCAAAGGATGGATCATGCTCGGCGATGCGTGTCCTGATACGTCATGCTATGGCGTTCCTCTCATGGCTCGACCAAAGAGAGCCGCTCAGAAAGAGGGGGAGACGCCAGCGAGAGATCCGAGAAGTTTCTGCGTCGTCTGTGAAAAGAATTACCTTCAGGCGAGCGATATGGCAGCATACGAAGCCTTCCAAGCCGGATCGTCCGAGGCGACGAAGTCTGCGGCGACGGCAACGAGCAAAGACGATCAGACAAGCAAGAAGAAGCGAGGGTTTGCTAAGCCTGCAGAAACGAGACCCCTTGCGATCAGGCCCATCGAAGACAGAGCGCGCAAGACTCAGCGGGTCGACGTGCAGCCGCAGATGGCGCGAGATACTCTCTCACAAGCGAGCGGTGAGCCAAGTCTGCTTGCAGCCTGCGAGGCAATACGCGCCAAGATCGTCCAGCAAGCAGCCTTGCTGGCCACTTACGACGACGCAGACCGGCTGAAGAGTTCAGCAGAGACGATCTTCACTCTAGCTCGAGCGCTCGAGCAGGTTCACAAATGTGTATAGTCCGCGTGTGATGTATGTTGTGAGTAGGCTCGATCGGGAGAAGAACAGTCATTGAGCAAGCCTGCAATGTTACAATGCTCGGAGAGATTTGCGGCGAGTGGTCCTCCTAAGCCTGGCCAGAGTTTAGACTTCTGCCAGCGGTGCAGGCTCCTGCGCGGATCAAGACATCAGCATGTGCCCGTACGCAAACACGGACTCGACCCACCTTGAACTCTGCGCCGACCTTGGCGCCAGTCTCGCCAGATCCAGTTGACTCGCCATGCAGACCAAAGAGGACAGATTGATCGTACTTGGGCGCCTTGAGGATCTTGACCTTGCGGACGTAGACGTTCTGGAGCGGGTAGATGCCCTGGCAAGACTTCTCGATCTCTCTGCCGATGACCTCTGGCACAAACTTGGCGACGAGTTCCTTGAGATCGCACGAGTTTGACTCCCGGATCATGATCTCGAACATCTTTGCACGGATCGCGCGGACTTGGGACGACTTGGCATAAGTCGTCTTTCGGACTTGGCTCTGGCGCTTCTTCGTGAAGCCGATGGTGAACAGGCGGAGGAGGTAGCCATCCGTCGTCTTCACGTCGACGTGAGCCTCGATCAGAGTCTGCCACTTTCGCACGAGCGAGCGGAGCTTGTCAGAGGTAAAGTCCATTCCGTGGAAGTTGGTCAGACAGTTCTTGCCGTTGACTTCGTCTATTCTCAGCTTGATCTTCCTGAAGGACTGTTCGTCGTCCTTGTTCAAGTCGGCGAGAGAGAGCTCGATGACCCGTCCCTTGAGACCGTCGGCTGCGTTCTTCATGCCCTGGCTTCGGTTGACGAGCGTCTTGCCGGCATTGCGAGTCTCGAACATCGAAGGCGCCTTGATGTCGAACCAATCCTTTCGTGAGAAAGGATCGACCTTGCTCTTCTTCGAGCCCTTCTTTGACTTTGACAGTCTGCCAACATGCCCCATCAGTCACCTGCTCGTAGTCAGATTGCCCGCGAGGCACTCACCGCTTGTTCTTTCCTACCGCCATGCTGTCGAGACTTGTGGCTCACTCGTAAGTTCGCGAGTGGATGCGGCTGAACAGAATTTCTCACGATCTCGCTTGGGCCACGTCACTTCGAAGGACGCGCAAAGTCGCGCGACACCGACACATCTGACGTGTTCCTCCAAGGAGCCTCTCTATCGCTAGAAGCGGATGCTATTGGCACAAGCCACCCGACGAATTGCACATATGGTCAGTCGAACGACAGCCAGCACAGCAGCTGTCGGACTTTGTTGATGTTATATACAATGCTGACACGTTGCAACACAGACTCCCGCTCTCACCAACGGCGCCCACACCAGCGCAACTCCCCTTGTTGGCCGTCAAGTCGTCCTCGTCTCTGCCGTATGCCTGCTCCCGTATCAGTGAGATACGCGAAGAGGACTGAGCGCGAGTGACAGGCACGCACACCTGTTGGATCGTTCAATGGCGGCCTCAAGAAGCTTACAGCGCCTCAGCTCGGCGTCGTAGCCGTCAAGGCTGCTATCGAGCGGGCCGGCATCAAGCCAGACCAGGTTTGCCGAACCTGGTCCATATCTGAGCTGCCGTTCTGATCATCTCCTGCGAACAGGTCGAGGATATTTACATGGGCAATGTATTGCAAGCTGGCGTTGGTCAGTCGCCTGCACGACAAGTCGCTATCGGAGTAGGATGCCCGGAATCGACCGAAGCTACCACGATCAACAAAGTACGCTCAGGCGCGCAACATATAATTGGCGCTCAGTGTTGTGCAGGTCTGCGCGTCTGGCATGAAGGCGATCATGCTTGCCAGTCAAAACATTCAAACCGGCCAGCGAGACATCATGGTGGCAGGTGGTATGGAATCAATGAGCAATTCTCCGTGCGTACGACTGTTCTGGAATGGTCGTTTACTGAAGTAGGTTGTGGCACAGGTTCTACTTTCCTCGTAATGCTGCCTTTGGTCATCAGTCTGCGCAAGATGCCATCGTCAAAGACGGCCTGTGGGATGTATACGGCAGTATTCACATGGGTTCATGGTACGTATCCTGTTCTGCGGACCAATTCGAACGTTGAGATGGAGTGACCCGCAGCACTGAAGAGCTCGCGAGCAAAAAGTCGATTACGCGCGAAGACCAAGACAATTACGCGATCGAGTCCTATAGACGAGCCGCGGAAGCGTGGAAGTCGGGCGCATTCGATGCAGAGATCGCGCCCGTCGAGATCCCAGATAAGAAAGCTCCTATCACAGTTCGGGAAGACGAAGACTACAAAAAGGTGCAACCCGATAAGATGAAGTCACTTCGCGGAGCTTTCAAGCCCAACGGTGGTACCGTCACTGCAGCCAACGCGAGCAACCTAAACGATGGCGCCAGCGCTGTTGTGCTCATGTCCGAAGAGAAGGCGCAAGAGCTCGGCCTCAAGCCTCTTGCAAAGATCATCTGTATGCCCGCTGTATCCTTTTGTTCGTATACACAGAGCTGATGACAACCCAATAGCTATGGCAGACGCTGCTTGCGCTCCCGTCGACTTCGGCATCGCTCCTTCGCTTTCGACACCGATCGCTCTCAAGAGAGCTGGCCTCTCTGTTTCTGATATCGCTCGATTCGAATTCAACGAAGCCTTTTCAGCTGTTGCTATTGCCAACAGAGAGATCCTCGGTCTCGACGCATCCAAGCTCAATGTTTTGGGCGGAGCGGTTGCGCTAGGACATCCCATCGGCTCTAGCGGTTCTCGCATCGTCGTCACGCTGGCTCACCAGCTCAAAGCAGGCGAATACGGGCTAGCGGCTATCTGTAACGGCGGCGGTGGCTCGTCGGCTATCATCATCCAACGTCTGTAGAGCAGGATGCATGCCTGATGCGTTCGTGAGTTTGCATAATATTAGTGCGTACACATGATTGCGCGCGAGTCTATAGCTCTGTGCGGGTTTCTGTTTGCACTTCTGCTTGCGTCTCCTGCTCCACGTTGCCTGGCTTGCCGTCTCTGAGCTTCGACTCGAGATTGGCCGCCCATAAGGCGGCACCGATCTGAGTTGTAAAGAGCAGAGGGATCGATACGATGGGTACCAAGCTGAGCGAGAGCGCTGCCACACCGAATCTACCAAGCGCCTGTCAGTCTAAACCACACGAGCTAGTAAAATAGACGAACCCGGTGTAACCGCCGTTCTGCTTTGCGACGAAGTCTTGCCGATCCTTGCCCTTCAAGCCCTTGAGCTGGAAGTACCGTTCATGGTATGACGGTCCACTTCTGCTGCCGTTCCAGAGCAGGAAGAGTGCTGTACCAATGCCAGGAATGGCGTTAAGTGGCAAGGTGATGACATAGCGGAAGATTGAGGTAAGCGAGAAGCGATTGAGTGGCTTCATGATGCTCTTGCCCAGTTGCTGCACCTTGTTCTTACCTATTCTGCCACCAGAGATCTGTCGCCCGTTCGACACAAGCTCAGAGTGGCCTTTTTGTATCATGACTTCGTCGAAGATCAGATCCAGTGCATCTGCAAGCTGCAAAAAAAAACCGTCAAGTCCTGTGCACTATATGCTGCGTGCACTTACGAGAAATGCGCGACAGATGAATGTGATGATCGCCGCACTTTCGCTGAGTACGAGTGGAACGGCCGCAATGAATGCCAATGGGCCAGAAACAAAGGCCAGCATGCCGACTTGAGGCAGATAGGTCAGAATGAACATCAAGACGACAGTGATCGTGCTCGCCGTCAGGCACTTGACGAGGACGCCCTTGACAGACATGAGCAGTCCTGGATGCTGTACAGCGTAGAGGATGCCTTGCAAGGGGTACAGATAAGTGCCACTGCTCGCGAAGTCTTTGCCAAGAGAGGCATATTGCGAGAGCTCTTTGTTGACATCTTGCGCTGCTGCTTGAGCGCTTTTCGATAGCTTCGACTTGGCGGTCCGAGTGATGCGCGATGTCGAGTCGTCCGAGTTCGACATGTTCAGCCGAGCGACAGAAGACCAGAGCTTTGACTGTGAGGTCGCTTCTTGCAATGATGCGACGTGATGACGTAGCAGCTTTCGAATTTGAGCTTTGGGCCAGTCGCGCTGAGCTCCCGCGCAGAACGCGGTTCGCAGACGATCTACTTCGGCTGCTTTGGAACGCGCATAGGCGCCAATCATCAACGCCGCATACGAGTATGGCCTCATATGACTATCTCGGTGCATACTTCAATGATAGTCCAGCACTGGACGGAGGGGCGTCCACCTTTTCACGGTCCATTGGACCGTCAACAAACCGATATCTCGCCGAGTCAACAAACCTGACGCATTCCAGGCGAGAGGAGCCAGTGATCCACAAAGTGCAACAGTCTGAGCCAAGACGATCCGCATACTATGGCTCGCATGTCCGTCCGCCATCTAGCATCATTGCCGACGTGCACGAAAGCGGAGTCTTGGGTCAGACTATCGGGCCAGCCGTTCCTTTTAAGGATGTCAGCAATAAGCAGTCTCGCGATCAGCTCACCGTGCAGATTTCCAAGCCCGAACGATGTTCCAGACGGATTGTGACGCCTACACAGCAAGAGCAACGCGAACGCCGGGAGAGGCTGCGACCGCAGCTTGAGCAGAATCACTTTGTTGCACCTCTTAGCACATCTCGCGAGCCTGGCAGGGATTCAGCCCCGGGACGTGTGCAGGCCATGCAGCCCTTACAATCTGAACGCTTCTCGCAGGCAGCAAAGGAGGCAGAAAGCGATCACAGGCATGCAGCGCAACGGGAACGGATACACGAAAGGCCTCCTCCCCAGCAAGTCGAGCGCAAACAACGACCGTACTCTGAGCATCTTCCACTACCATCCGACCGTCTAGCAGAACGTCGACAGTCGGCTCCCGACTGGCCGCAGGCGACGTTGCAAGCTCCGCCACTCGAAGAGGATACACGCAGGCGCTCGCACGATGGTCGATCTCGCGAACGTCGACGTGACCCGGAAGCAGTTCGACCCAAGGAGCAAGTCCGTCCTCAGCCTGCATCTCAGCCAATCGTACAGTCCCGTCAAGAGCTCGTGCGACCGCCTTTGAGTAGCATCGTCATGTCTCGCAAAGTCGTCGTCGTGGGTGATGGAGCGTGCGGAAAGACCTGTCTGCTCATCGTTTATACAGAGAACCGTTTCCCAGAGGTACGCTCCCGGATCGATCTGGTGTTACGTGGCTCATCTGAAGAGCAGGCATATGTGCCGACGATCTTTGAAAATTATGCCACGTTTGTACCAGACCCTTCCTCCTCTGCCGACTCTGAGAGACTTATCGAGCTCATGCTGTGGGATACTGCCGGTCAAGAAGAGTATGATCGATTGCGACCCCTATCGTATCCTGAAGCCTCAATTATCCTCGTCTGTTTCGCCGTCGATTATCCTGCTTCGCTGGCCAATATAGAGGACAAGGCGAGTATCGACTCAGTGTCTAGAGGCGGTGCTAACAGTCAGCACAGTGGTCGCCGGAAGTTTCGCACTTCTGTCCAGATGTGCCGCTCATCATCGTGGCGAACAAGATCGATCTGCGTAAAGATTCACAGACGATCGCGATGCTGAAAGCGCAAGGCACGGCACCCATCACGACAGAGCAAGGCATTGCAGTTGCCAAGCGACTCGGAGCACGCTATGCAGAATGTTCAGCACGCACAGGTCAAGGCGTTAGGGAAGTCTTCGATCTCGCGCTCAGAGAAGCTATCAAGACGCGCTCTTGGGCAGGCAAGCGCAGACGCAAATGTGGGATCCTATGATGGCCCGACGCGAAACTGATGACCATGTTGTTTATTGCACACTATTGTCACAACGTCAACGTAAAGGTTCGTAAAGCAGCGTCGCTACCTGCAGAGACGATTGTCGTTGTATCTCGCCAGACCACACCGTTGACACCGCCGGGGTGGGCACTCTGTCAGGAGATCAGGACTCTCAGCTGGCCGTTACGCTCAAAGTCAATGCCTACTGACCTTGATCTGGGTGTTACGCATAGGTTTCTCGACAGACCAGACGATGACATTGGTGTCCAATGATCCGCTGACCGCATGCTTGCCATTTGCACTGAATGCGATGCTCTGCACTCGAGCAGTGTGGAAGACCCATTGCGAGATTGCAAGAGCAAAGTCGGGCGCTTTGTACACGAGAATCTTGCCACTTGCATCGCCTGCTGCTATCAGTGATCCTGCAGGGTCAAAAGCTAGCGCAGAGATGGCTGATCTATTGTTGATGAGGGTATGTTTGAGCTGCGGTTGAATGTGTCCGCCAGCGTCGTAGATGTAGACTTTGCCATCATCTGCGCCCACAGCTAGCAGCCCGCTCTCCGGATGCGCTGCGAGAGCAGTGGCAGTGTAGTCCAGTGAGAGATCTGCCTTGCTATTTGATGTGATATGTGTGACGGTCGAGGCCGTGAGCACAAAAATCGAACCGTCTTTGCCAGCTGCGATGCCTTTGGGTTGTCCGCTGGTCGCAGAGGTGTTCGAGCTGAAGCCTGTGCCTGTGTTGTCGAGCTCCCGCAGAGTATCGTCCATTCCTATGGAACGGGTCGTGCCTTTGCTATCGCTGACGATCCCTACGATTTGATTTGTGTGATGCGACCCACCCAGTGGCGCGCAGATGCCCGCAGGGTCGAACGTGTACATCTGGCCATCGTACGAGCCGGAGAAGAGCCGACCCTTTGCATCGCATGCAAGTGCAGTGATGCCCCTCTGGTGTCCGTACAGCGCGTTGACCTCTGTTGCATTTGGGCTGCGCGAGATGAGATTGATTTCGCCTGACAGTGATAGCGAAACGATCTGATCCGGCCTGACCCACGCAAGCGCTACTTGCTGGTTCCCAACAGCACTGCCGAGCTTTGTCTTGATCTCGCGAGTGTCTATAACGCGTCGCTCAGGCACGCTATAGAACTTGACTGTGCCATCTGCACTGCATGTAGCGAGCTCCTGTCCAGAAGGGCTGAAAGCGATGCCAAAGATACCGCCAGTATGTCGATCCGGACCATCGAAGGGACCGATGAGCTCGCCTGATTTGCCATCGAATAGCAGAACCGTTCGGTCAGATGAAGCCGTGGCAAAGTACTTGCCGCCTTCTTCGCTGGAATATGCAACGCAATTGACAAAGCCAGTATGCTTCTGGAGCGAGAGGGTGTACTTGTACGGGACATTGCTCAAGAGTACGGCAGTCGAATCGTCAGACACCGTCACTGCCCTGAAAGGTCTTTCGCTTTTGATGGCAATACCGTTGATAGGCTTGGAATGGCCGATGATCTCGCCGACTGAGCTGCCCGTGTCCACGGAGAAAGCGTGACCAGATCTCTCCTTGCCCTCGCCGACGGCTATGATCCTCTTTGACTCCCCATCCCAGGCGATAGCATTGATTCGACCAGCGAAAGGTTTGAGCTCGAGCTTTAGCACTTGATCCTCTCCTACCGCATCCCAAACGCGCACAGTGCCCGTTACATCGCCCGAAGCGATATAGAAGCCTGATGGCGACCACGCTACTGCGCTCGTCTCCTTGACATGACCAAAGTACGCGAGCGTCGGGGACGAATCGTCGAGTGAGCGAATGAAGATACCGCGGCCGTTGCAGTACGCTATCCGCTCGCCTTTGGGATCTAGAGCGATAGAGGCCGATTTACCCCGGATTGTACTGGGCGAGGGAGGGTGGACAGCGCCTTTGCTGACCATGCCGAGCTCGAAGTCGGTGACGCGGTGACGTGGAGCTCTCTGGAGTCGATCGAGGTTCGGCAGACCGCGACGGGCACATAGCCGAAGAAAGCATTCGTGCCCTATCACCTCGTCCTTCCTCCGCACAGATTGACGAGTGGCAAGATGGCAGCACATCCAGTCACACGAATGATCTCGCCATCGTGCGCTCTTACCTTTGCGTCTGCTTGCCACCACATTGACAGAAAGTACACAGGACATGGGCGATGATCGAGGACAAGTTCTCAGACTTTGGCAAGGAGACGCTAGCCAAGGTTGTCGATTTCGTCGAGGCAAGCTCTAGGTTACTATCTCATACTTGTGCAGAGACTTACATCGTCTCTGGTTTGCAGTATGAAGTCACGCCAGCAGAGGGCATCTACCATGCGCAGATCTCCAAGGACCCGTCACAGAGATGGAAGTCTATCCCGCCCATCCTTGCCGATCTCCAGAGCAAGGCAAAGTCGCTCGGTCTCTGGAACCTGTTCCTGAGCAAGGCACACTACCCAGAGTACGCCTACCCCGCGTTTTTGCGCTCTTTACATGGCTGACCACTCCTCGACTAGCCATGGCGTACCGCTGACAAATCTCGAATATGCGGTCATGGCCGAGATTCTTGGTCGTACAGGGCACCTAGGCCCTCAGGCCACAAACACTTCTGCACCGTCAGTCGCCACTCGATACGTGACGGGCTAGGCTCACAAATGCTCACAGTGATACCGGTAACATGGAAGTGTTCGCACGCTATGGCACAGACGAACAGAAGAAGCAATGGCTAGAACCACTCCTGCGTGGCGAGATTCGATCTGCCTTTGCTATGACAGAAAAGGGCGTCGCATCATCTGACGCGACCAACATCCAAACGAGCCTGCGCAAAGACGGCAACGAAATCGTCATCTCTGGTCGCAAGTGGTGGATCTCGGGCGCAGGTGATCCACGCTGCAAGGTTCATCTCGTCATGGGCAAGAGCGATCCCGACAACAGCAACAAGCATCGTCAGCAGTCCATCGTCTGGATCCCCGCCGATGCGCCTGGCGTGACGATCGTTCGACCTATGCAAGTCTTTGGCTACGACGATGCACCAGAGGGGCATATGGAGGTCCTCTATGACAATGTCAGAGTGCCAGAATCAAATCTTATCGCCGGATGGGGGCGCGGCTTCGAGGTCATTCAGGGCCGTCTTGGTCCAGGCCGTATCCATCACTGGTGCGTCTCTCGCTGCCTATTTGATGCTTCGGCTAATATCAGGACAGTATGCGAGCGATCGGAATCGGCCAGCGCGCTTTGGACTTGATGATCACACGCGTGACTGATCTCGAGCGAAAGACGTTCGGCAAGCATCTATACGAGCATGGTCAGTTCATAGCAACCTTGCCACCGAGCTTGCCTGATCTCTTGATCCCAGGTACGATCGTGTCCGGTATTGCAAAGTCACGCATGCAAATCGACCAAGGCCGACTGCTCGTATTGACTGCAGCTCATCAGATTGACAAAGGCCAGCAAGGCTCTATCACAGCACCGACTGATGGCTCACAGTATCTGATGACAGTCCGCGCGAAAGGTGCCATGAAGGATATCGGCATGGCCAAGGTCGTCGTACCTGCTATGGTCGGCGAGGTGCTCGATCGAACCATGCAAGCCTATGGCGCAGAGGGCATATGTCAAGACACATACCTCGCACAAGCATGGGCAGGTGTCCGCACCCTCCGCTACGCAGATGTATGTACTTGCTCTCCTCTAGCATAGGCAGAAGCTGACCCGTCGATCGATCGACAGGGACCCGACGAGGTCCATACGCTTCAGATTGGCATTATGGAACTCAAGCGAGCCAAGGACCTGCACGAGAGGCTTGCAAAGGTGATCGAGGCCGAGGAAAGCCTCGCCAAAAAGCATGGGATCAAGCATCATTTGTAGTCTTTCACTTATGCATCTGTGACACGTGCACGCGAGGTTTTGTTCGAGCTTTGACATTCCTCGCCATCGATGTCAACTTTGATATCACGATGAACGTCCCGAGGAGCAAACGAGAGGCGATGCCTGCCAAGAAGGTCATCATCATTGGTATGCAGTCTTCTAGTCTGCCCTCATCGAAGCTGATATCGCGAGCAGGTGGAGGAGTCGGCGGAATCTGTACGGCCGCTCGACTCGGCAAAGCTGGCGTCGATGTGACCGTCATCGAGAAGAACGATACCGTCGGAGGACGATGCTCTCTTCTACATGCAGACGGGCACCGGTTCGATGTAGGACCAAGTTTCTACCTCATGCCAGAAGTCTTCGAGGAGCTCTTCGACGATCTAGGCGAGTCGGTCTCGGAGCATTACACGCTCAAGAAATGCGAGCCTAATTACAAGGTGTACTATCACGACGACGAGACGGTCACGCTCAGTACCGACATGGCTCAAATGAAGCAGGAGGTCGAGAAATGGGAGGGCAAAGACGGCTGGCATAGATTCCTGGCGTTCATGAGAGAGGCAAGTGTCGGTACTTCTGAGTCTCGGCAGCGAGGCTGAGAGCCTACGCACGCAGAGTCATGTGCACTACGAAGACTCGCTGAGGCAGGTCTTGCATGCGAACTACGTCAGCTATCAGTCGATGATCAGGCCGCACTATTTGGTGTAAGGTCTTTGGTCACAGACGTAGCCAAGCTGACAGCAAGAACAGTATGGCGATCAAACTCCACGTCTTTGACAATCTGTACCGACGAGCTTCCAACTACTTCTGGACAGACCGGCTGAGGCGCGCCTTCACATTCTCCTCGATGTACCGTCAGTCGGATTGGGTCTTCGTTGTGCGTAGCTGATCGTGGCGCAGTCGGGATGTCACCTTTCAACGCGCCCGCAACTTACAACCTGCTACAATACACTGAACTTGCTCAAGGGATCTGGTATCCCGTCGGCGGATTCTTCAGCTTCGTCAGAGCCGTCGAGCAATTAGCAAAGACCAAATTCGGCGTCAAGATTTTGTACAACACACCGGTCGGGTCGATCAAGCTGAGTGACGACGGCAAGACTGCGAAAGGCGTCGTGCTGGCAACAGACGAGACGCTCACAGCCGATCTCGTCATCTGTAATGCCGATCTCGTGTATGCTTACAACAATTTGCTGCCACCTACGCAATACGCAAAGAACCTCACCAAGCAGGCACACACCTGCTCATCCATTTCCTTCTACTGGGGACTGAATCGTAAAGTCGATCAACTGGTAACCCATCAGATCTTCCTTGCCGAAAATTTCAAAGGCTCGTTCGATCGGATCTTCCAAGATCACAGCTTGCCGGACGAGCCCAGCTTCTACGTCAACGTACCGAGCCGCGTAGATCCCACTGCAGCTCCCGAAGGCAGAGATACGATGGTCGTCCTTGTGCCAGTGGGTCACTTGACTGGTGATTCTGGCGCACTCAAGGTAGAGACAGAAGGCGGCGGCGCAACGCATCGCAAGAGTCAAGACTGGGACGCCATCGTTGCTCGAGCACGAGCGCATGTCATTGCTGGCTTGACGGACAAGCTCAATAAGCTGGCTGCAGCGTCTGGACAGAAGAGCGTGATACCGGAAGGCAAAGACTTTTCAGCGCTCATTGGGACAGAGCTCTCCCATACACCACTCACATGGCAAGCGAATCTCAATCTGCATCAAGGTTCAATCTTGGGACTGTCGCATTCGATTTTCCAAGTTCTTGCTTTCAGGCCCCGTACTAAGCACGACACGATCGATAGACTTCATTTCGTCGGCGCTAGTACTCAGTAGGTTGCTTCCTGATATGATCGCATCAGCTGACGCTGTTGCTCTCTGTAGTCCTGGAACTGGCGTGCCTGTTGTTGTCTGCGGCTCCAAGATTACGAGCCAGCAAGTCCTGGAGGAGCTTCAGATCGATCTCGCCGACAAGCCCAGCCAAGGTCGATCACTGAAGAGTTTGGACAAGGTTGTACCACCCATGACACTCGTCATCGAATCATTCCTGCTCAATTACGCTTTGCCGGGAGCAATCGTACTCTTTCTCATTTGGCTTGCAGACTTTGCAGAGTCACGCTATGCACAGAGTGGCACGTTCGACAGGAAGCAAATACAACATTTACCCTTTGCAGGACCCTTTTCACACCTGCTCAATTACTAGACATGATTGCAGAATTAGATTGCTTGTACTTCTTCGCCTGACCGCTCCTGCTCCTCTTCTGTCCTACTGTCTGTTGAGTCTTCAGGCAGAGGCGTCTCGAAACGATCTATACTATATTGACTGCTCGAGAAACGACGCTGTTCGGGTGAAGAGGGCCGTGATTCTCGTTCATCTATTGCGCTCAGCATGCTTGCAGCTTCTGTTGTCGATGCGACCATTTTCGTCGGTGTCTCTGCATCTTGACTGATTCCCGTCGTCGACTGTGATTTTGCAGTGACCCGCATTGAGGGTCGGCGCGGCGTAGATCCGTTCGGCGATGTAGGCACTGACCATTCGCCCGATGTGTTACTCGCTTGTCGCTGCGGAGTAGAGATCGTGCTCGAATTAAGCCTCGGCAATGCCATCTGCGAATTCAATGGGTGTAGTATTGAAAAGATGGCAGGCTCATTCTGCGCATATGACTCAAAGGGATCGGGATGGGTGTCGCACATCGAAGCGAGGACAGTGTCTGATGTACCCTTGCTCGCAAATTTGTCAAATGTGTCGACTTCTGTCTTGACGACTAGAGCGACGCGATTGGCTACGAAGCTCCAGACCGTCTGCTCCGCTTCGAGTACTTCAGTGTAATGCTCGGCTTTGAGTCTATCGAGATCGTCCACTTGAGACTGTAGCTCTTGCAGAGCACGACGAAACTGCGCCAGATCGCGTTGACGCTTGCGACCGGCTTTCATGTTCTCCGCCTCTGTCTCGCGAATGCGTTTGCTCTTATCTGCCAGCGCTTTCTCGTATGATGCCTGTCGATCGACGACTTCGACACGGTAGGCATCAAAGCTTTCCAGCAAGGGTATCTCGAAATTCTTGTAAAAGTTGTCCGACTGCTGCGTCATCAGCCTTTTCCACCGACACGCTCGCGTAGACTGACCAAAACCTGATCGTGGTTGCTCATGAGGTGATGCAGGCCGCTGGCGGCGTAGAGTCTATCGCTGGCTGCGCGCTCATCTTCAAGCTCGTCTGGCTGCAAAGTCAGATCTGGAGGGGTCCGGCCGCCTGTCCTTGAGCTCGCATTCGAGCTCTGTGGAGCGACGTGTAGCCCGAGCGCTTGAGCAACACTTGCGCTGGGGTGCCGGCTCGGTTCTTTTGCCTCCCTCTGACACCTCGCGCCTTTCTGTCTCGCGCACGTTTCTAAAGCCGAAGCGAAAGCTGCAGACGCAGTGGCTAGCTGTCGCATCGCATTTCTAAAGGCTTTGGCCGACTTGAGTAGATCTTCATAGGCTTCGAGCGAGTTGCGTAGGTCCTGGCGCGTCACCACGACGCGAGGCGCACTGTACAGACCCCCCCAATTGAGGTCAGAGGCGCGTGTGCCGACAGATGCAGAGGGCGAGGATGGTCCTGCCATGATGCTACCCGGTCTCACAGCCGGTCTGGGTGGAGCGGGCGTCGAGCTTTCTTTCGAAGTGGTCGACCGTGCGCTTGGAGTCCTTTTCAAAAGCTTGCGCGGCTTCGGCAAGGGCACAGACGTGGGCGTCGGCTCGGAGACGGGCTCAGATGCTTGTGTCGCCAGCGTTGAGCTTGATGCGCTGCCGAGAAAGCCCATGTTTTGCAGGACGAGAGGTGACGTCGTAAAGGACGCGTCGCTGCTGCTGAGACTCTCCTTGATGGGGCACGATGACGCAGCTGCGCCGCATCAAGACCGTCAAGCTTCGGCGACTCGTCTCAACGGTAGCATGCAGACGGTACGACGACGTTGGATGGCAGCGTCAGGGTGCGCTAGTCAGCTACTTAGCGCAGTCGGACGCCCAGCCGATCCATTTTACGCGTGAAGGGGCCAAGTCATCGCGAGAGCTCTTCGACCTGCTGCGGAAAAGCAACACGCTAGCCGAAGTCGAGATAGGCCGATACGACCAACCAGAATCCTTCGACAAGGTTGAGATCCCACTGGGCACGTACATGGAGTTGCTAGACGCGGGCAAAGGACAGTTCGGCGACAAAGCGGTTTATCTTGCACAGTGGCCGGGTCTGGAAGCCATGCCCGCCCTCAAAGAGAAAGTCACAACACCACCATGGCTGCAAGAAGCTCTCGACGTTCAACAGGCTGACCTATATCGCGCCTCGTTCTTCGTCGGTCCAACGAGCGCCATCACGCCGCTTCACCATGACCCTTATGACAATCTATTTGAGCTCAAAGAAGCCTGCCGGGCGCTCAAGCATTTCACCATCTTGCCAAAGCGACTTTCGCATCTACTCAGATCGTCCGAACAGCAAAAGAATACATCCAGCGTCGATTTCGACATCAGCAGCGGCAAGCTCGCGCTATCGGCTGCCAGTCCTTCACAAAAGTACGCACAAGAGATCCTGAACGCAGCGCAGACATGCGTACTCGCTCCCGGCGACACTCTCCTTCTACCTAGAGGGTTTTGGCATCGTGTCGAGACCATCTCCACAGATTCAGCCCAACCGGGCTGGGCAGCGTCTATCGGTTTCTGGTTTCGCATGCGTGCAAATTGAGAGCAACAACAACAACAATGGAGGGCAGCAGACAGGCTAGCAGGGCGATTCTGCCCAAGTGCAGCGCGGACAGAGATCGAGAAAGTCTTGCGCGACCAGGGCGACGGCATTCCATGATGCTACCGTTGCCGTCTCTGCTCGCTCGCAGTCAGCTCGATAGCATGCAAAAGCGGCCGACTGACCCATCGTGCTGATGAGAGGCTCGAAAGCATTGAGGTAGTACAGACCGCGATCGAGCTCGATGGGTGCCAGGTCGGGGTTCGGTCGCAAGTAGGGATAGGCAAGCCAGCGTTTGTCATACGACCAGAGCACATCCCGAGCTGCAAAAGCTTCATCTAGTGCAAAGGGCGCCTCCGAAAAGACTGCAGCGCGCCAGTCAGCCCGCTTCTCTTTCCTATTGGCGCAACGCACTCTTAATGACCCACTGATCGTCGAGAAGCTGGCGCAGATAAGACAGCGAACTGAACTTGGGCCTCTTCACTTGATCCCTGTTGGCGTATGCAAAAGTCGACAAAGTCGTCTTTGGCGTTTCTTGAGGATCGGTCAGGCCGAAGAAGGAAGGTAGAGGCGTGGATGCGTTCGTCACGAGCAGCTTGACGTGAAGCGGTACATAGTCTTGCTGAGGTATCCTCGACATTGCATGCGAATTGACAATCTCGATGGTAGTTTGAGCAGCGGGCGCAGCCAGTAAGATGACATCAAAGACAGACGAGCTAGTCTCGCCGCTGTCGCCAGACGCCATCAGGAGCCATTTGCCATCATCGAGCCGTGTCAAACGTTCGACTGTCGTACTGAGATGGACCCTTGCGCCGCTTCGGTTCACAAAGCCTTCAAAGATCTGCCAGTTCCCGCCGACGACGCTGTGCGTGCCGGATGCAGCCATCGATACCATTCCGCCGAGCGCATGCATCTCTAGTGGATTCTGACCATAGTTGACCCGCGAGGCAGCGCCGGCCAAGTCATCAATGAAGCCCTGTCCCACGCCATTGTCGAGCTGAAATCGTTCGGATGAGATCTTGGTGAGATCCACACTGTCACTCAATGCTGCCACAAAGTCCGAGACATTGCGTCGGGGTTGGTGGTCCTGATAGAGTCCGAGAAAGCGCTGGATTGTCCGTTGAATGATCGAATGCGCACGAAAAGGCGAACGGCCATATTGCCATACGAGCTTGACATTGTCGAGCCAGCCATAGCTGCCTTGTTTCTGTCGGTAGCGAAAGGTCGCACCGTCCCATATTGCCATGCCTGTGTCTGCCTCTGAGCCATGGCCATCTTGCAGCAGCAAGCCAAATTCAGATGCAGCCTTGACGAGATTCCGGTTCGCATCCACAAAGACGGATGCGCCAAGCTCGATAGAGACACTGCCGAATTGCGATGGGAGTTTTACAGTCGTGGAACGACCGCCGATGTAGCCGGAGCGTTCGTACAGGTGGATGTCGATGTCAACATCCTTGTCGCGTTTTGCTAATTCACGCAGGAAGAACGCAGCGGATGAGCCTCCTGCGCCTGCGCCAATGATGCCAACTCGGAGTGATGGATCAGACTGGGCGCTGAAGACCGTCTGGGTTGCCGAAACTAAGCCGAATGAGCCAAAGAAGAGCACTGCCCGCATCGAATTAAGGAGGTCAATCAGTGCATTACGCGCATTAAACGACGCGATGATGATCGCCTCAGCATCGAAGGTCGATGGTGATGCATAGCGCGACAACACAACCTGACTACGATGCAACGACGCGGTAGCAATGACCATTTGGCCGAATCGGTAAAGTGGCACAACAGATCACACGTCAAGTGTGACGATGATCAATCCCAGACAATGCTGCCGTCTCTCATATCTCTGACTTTTGGGCGAGTTAGTGTGCAACGTTACAGTCACGACGATTCGCTGCAGTACTCGCTGCGCACGACTATCTCGCCCGCCGAGCAACGGAATTGCACCGGGTAAACATGTCGCAAAGTCATCTCCGCAGTTTGCTAAAGAGTCGCGAGTCTCCTCGCCGTAACCCTACTGCATCGCCCGCCACCTACTTACCCTCGCCAGCTAGACCACAGTCAAAGAAGATGGCCATCATCAAAATCGCACTGAGCCTAGCTGCACTTGTAGCAGTAGCTTTTGCATTGCCCGGCGCTATCGACTCGGATGCAGAGCTCGTCAAGCGTGATACATGTCCTTCCGACGATCTCACTACGATCTCGATCGCGCCTGCCAAAGGTAGCGCACCCGTGCTTACGATGCAGTTTTGCATCGCTGTCGTACCTCAGGGATCTCAAGTCAGTCAGGTTCATCCTCACCTGCTTTGGCGCTCAGACTAAGCCAATGCATAGGCCTGGCACTTGTTCGCAGCCAGCACACCGAATACCCACTTCAATTGGGGCGGAGCAGGAACGGCTGACGGTTTCTCGACAAACACCTTTCAGATCCAGGGACTTGACCACGATGGCACTTGGTTCCTATTTCGGCTAGATCTGCTCTACCGCGGCCGCTCAATTTTGAAAGTCCAAATTGTATGTGATGTTTCTTTGCCACATCTGTATAACCCTGACGAATCGTGCAGCACGATTTCTACTTGCGCTTGGTACCTTACGTCAGCTTGAGCTATTGGGTCCGAATCGGAACAGTCGTGCGAGATCACTACAGCGGACCTATTAAAACGCTCGGCTAGCCTGATCCTTCGACCAATTGCATGCAAAATTGCAGCTCGCAGATCATGAAGTTTCGATGCTGTCACCAATCTTCACAGCTGCGGGCCATAGTGCGACGATAAGACACAGTCTAGTATTGCGGTCACACCTTTCTTACACAGTCAAAGCGGAGCTGGACAACTTTAGCTCGATCTACCTGGCATGAATCTTCAGCGGAGCGCATGTACGATCAGTCATGCTCGCATGGCCGTTTGAAAGCGAGACGATGTATGACTTAAAGATGTGCGATACGCTTCACGATCGGTTATGTGGAATGATCGCACTGGAGTCCGGCCTCACGAGCTGCTGCCATCACTCTGGTCTACAATGCACCTCGAGGTCATCGAAAACACAGTCGCACTAGCACTGATCCCACGACATCGCTTGCGTATGTAACGCATGGCAGCTACGAATCCTCGCCAGACGTACATGAATTCAAAAAATCATCTGAGCAGACACGTCGCAAGGTCGTGCGGGCGACTTTGCAATCTCCGCTGTTCCACAGGCACGCCGCCCTCTCTGTAACCGTGCTGCATCGCCAATCACCTTCTAATACTCGTCAGCTCGACCACAGTCAAAGGAGATGGCCATCATCAAGATCGCACTGAGCCTAGCTGCACTTGTAGCAGTAACCTTTGCATTGCCCAGCGCTATCGACTCGGATGCAGAGCTCGTCAAGCGTGATACATGTCCTTCCGACGATCTCACTACGATCTCGATCGCGCCTGCCAAAGGTAGCGCACCCGTGCTTACGATGCAGTTTTGCATCGCTGTCGTACCTCAGGGATCTCAAGTCAGTCAGGTTCATCCTCACCTGCTTTGGCGCTCAGACTAAGCCAATGCATAGGCCTGGCACTTGTTCGCAGCCAGCACACCGGACACGCACTTCAATTGGGGCGGAGCAGGCACAGCTGACGGTTTCTCGACAAACACCTTTCAAATCCAGGGAACTGATCACGATGGCACTCGATTCTCGTATCAGCTAGATCTGCTCTACCGCGACCGCTCAATTTGGAAAGTCCAAATTGTATCTGATGTTGCTTTGCCACAGCTGTATAACGCTGACGAATCGTGCAGTACAAGTTCTACTTGGGCGTGGTACCTTACGTCAGCTTGAGCTATTGGGTCCGAATCGGAACAGTCGTGCGAGATCACTACAGCGGACCTATTGCAACGCTCGGCTAGCCTGATCCTTCGACCAATTGCATGCAAATTTGCAGCTCGCAGATCATGAAGTTGCGATGCTGTCGCCAATCCTCACAACTGTGGGCGATTCGGTTGTCATCGCAATGTGTTCTCATACTTCCTCGCCGGTCGCGCCCCGCGGAACAAGGCCGAGAAATTCGTCGGCAGTACTCTTCAGAGCGCTCTCGATAAGCCTGTACGGGCTTGCTGGCCCCACAATTCTCGAACGATATGCGCTCGGCAACTTCTCGTGTCCTTACAGCGATATTGCACACCTCTGAATGGCATTCAGCAATAAAGCACTGATCCTTGACTTGACAGAGTGCGACGACAAGACACAGTCTAGTATTGCGATCACACACTTCTCACACAGTCAAGTCGGAGCTGGACAATCATTTCTCCTTCTGTCTGGCATATATCTTCAGCGGACGTACGTAACGCATGGCAGCTACGAATCCTCGCCAGACGTACATAGATTTCGTCTGAGCAGACACGTCGCAAGGTCGTGCGGGCGACTTTACAAAATCCGCTGTCCCACAGGCACGTCGCAGGTTCCCTCTCTGTAACCGTGCTGCATCGCCCATCACCCTCTCGCGCTTGCTGAGTAGACCATGGCCAATAAAGATGATCAGGTTTGAGGCAGTCCTCGGTTCAGCTGCGCTCGCAGCAATAGCTTTTGCGTTGCCCGGTGCTACCAACTCGAACGCACGGCTTGCTGAACGTGATACATGTCCTCCCACCGATCTCACCACGATCTCGGTAGCGCCCGCCCAAGGCAGTAGACCAGTCGTGACCATGCAGTTTTGCACCGCCGTCGTATCCCAGGGAGCTCAGGTCATTCCGACTTCTTTCCACTGATCCGGCGCTCAGACTGTGCCAACGCACAGGCCTGGCACTTGTTCGCAGCCAGCACACCGAACACTCACTTCTACTGGGTCGGACCAGGCACGGCTGACGGCTTCTCGACAAATACTTTCCAGATCGTGGGAGCCGATCATTATGGCACTCAATTTTGGTACAAGCTAGACCTGCTCTATCGCGAAACGTCTATCTTCAAGGTCCAAGTGGTAAATGATGCTCGTGTGCCGCCTTTGCATAACCCTGACGGGCTGTGCAGTACGACTTTTATTTTGGCATAGGACCTTACAGGACCTTGGCCTATTGGGTCCAAATCGGAACAGTCGTACGTGACCACTACAGCGGACCCATCACAAAGCTCGGCTAGCCGAATTGTTCGGACAAATGCATGCAAGTGTGCAACTCATCACGTCTCGCTGTTGTCACAAATATTCAGGGCTTCATTCCCATCAATCGTCATCGCAACGTATCTCGACAATCCCTCACCGGCACCTCTCCTCGACATACGAGCGCACAGTTGACCAATGGTCAGGAAAGTAACAGCAGCCATCCTCATAGCGCTCTCGACAAGCCTGTTGACGCTTGCTGCGCCGGCAAGCCTCGGACGACATGCGCTCGAGAAATCCTCATGTCCTTACAACGATGTTGCGCAGCTGCGAGTGACGGACAGCAGCAAAGCGCTCATTCTTGATTTGACATGGTGCAACGCTTGGGCGCCATCAAAACAAGGGGATGTGCGTCATCCAAGCTGCTACAGACTTTTTGCATCGCTCGCATACACAGCGCTCTCCGTGATCAATCGCAGTACCGAAAGGTCACAGCCCACTTGCATCAAGGGGCGACAGGCAGACATTTCACGACTTAGGAAGCTTGAAGTGCGGACGCACTGCTCCACCGAGCGTGAACGTGTAGTCGACTAGCGTAGGAGTTTTGTCCTGCTGGAACACGACCAGGAAAACTTCCTCGACCGTTTGGCCTTGGTAGATATACGAGAGCAGGTACGAGAAAGGCTTATTCGGCGCAGTCTCTCCTTTGATAGAGTATTCATCGAAAGGTTTGCCGTGGGGTATAGTCTTTCCAGCCTTCATAAACTTGAAGACAGTCTTGGGCGTTGAGGCAGCAAAGTTGACAAACTGCGAGTGAACGGTTATTCATTGGCACATGGGAAGATTCTGACGTACGTTGCCCTGCGGAGACGGAGCCCAAGCACTGCACCATGTCAGGTCCACATCGAGCGACGTTCTGCTATCCGTGATTTGAAGGTGGGCAACGTCGCTTTCAGGACACGATCGTCTCTCGAGAGCATTGTCGGCCGACGACGTCGGTGATGCGAGCGTCAGGACGCTTGCGCATGATACGATGGCGATGACTGTGGTAGCAAATAGCATCTTCGAAGTCGCTTCACTGTTTCTTTGGCCAGAACGAGAAGGTTACGGTCAGGGTTTCATCGCCCATCGCAATGGAGATGATCGTGCGATGGCAGGCGGAGAGTTACGGACGAAGTAGACTTCCATGGCGCAACGTCGAATAGCCGGTCGCCCCTCAGTGATTATGACAATAACATCGCATCTGAACGAGCAGCAATCGATCGTCGACGAGACACGATCGCGCGAGACCTGCAACTGCCAAATGTAACGAGCATGCTAGGGTTGCTTATAGTGCGATTGTACGACTCCGCCGAGCGTGAACGTATAACTGACCCCCGTGAGAGTTCCGTCAGGCTGGAAGACACGTAGATTGACAGCCTTGACCGCCCGACCCTTGAGGATGTAGGAGATCAGGAACCAGAACGGATGATTCGGCGCGCTTTCTCCCTGGACAGCATACGTCTCGAAAGTTTCCCCGCCGGGTAAAGGCGCTCCGCCGTCGTCGAACTTGAACGTCGTCTTGGGCGTCGATGCACCAAAGTTGTGGATCTGAAAGTCACCGGTTGGTCAATAGCATGTCCGAAGCGTTTGACATACATTGCCCAGCGGAGAAGGAGCCCAAGCACTGCACCATGTGATGTCCACATCCAGCGGTTTTCTACTGTCTGTGATACGAAGGTGGGCAACGTCGTTATAGGCACAGGGCGGGTTCTTGACGGCACGGATGTCCGACGACGTAGGTGCAGCGAGCGTCAATGCACACGATACGATCGCGATGGCTGTCGTAGCGAGAAGCATCTTTATCGATGGGTTGCGCAGAAGCAGGAGAGATACAGTCAGGAAGTGAGTGACCCGCTTCGCGACGGTGACGGTAACGCGTGGCAATCCAGTTTGCGACAGTGAAATTAGAGTAGTCAGAAGGCGTTACTAGTGCACATGATACAAGACTGTAGCAATCACTGACACTGTTCAGTGATTTTTCTATTGATTGCACAGCCAATGCTTGCGGACTACGCTGCCGCTCGAGAGCGTATAGTCAAAGTAAGGCGGCTTGCCATCGCGCGCAAAGGCGTGCATCTCAGCGAAGAAGATGCTCTGGGGCTCGAAGGTGTATTTGAGGAAGAAGTCAGAAGAAAGCAGAGTCGAGCAGCCGGGTAGGGTTGTTGCCCGGCGCCACATGGCAATCTCTTGGCGAGCGCGTTTGCTCGCTCGCGCTCAGCTATAGAATGGTGATCTGATCCACTCCAAGGTATCAATGCCGCTCAGCTATACAATGGTGATCTGATCCACCCTAAGACGCTCGTGGTCTTTTTTATTGCTGTTTGTACTACTAGAACCCGCAAGAAAAGTTTACTCAATGGCTACCGCTTCTGCCACGCGGGCGAAAACGGCAGAAGACCAAGAGACAAGACTGTCACGACAAGAGGCTGCGATGGCGACGGTCAGCGAGCAGCTGACTAGGCTCACAGATTTGGTGACGCAGCTTACAACGTCACCACCGGTGCCAAGCACTCAGGGGCCATCAGAGCAGCAGCAACGGACACCTTTGCCAGCGCCATCCGTCAAGCCCAATGTTGTGGTGGAGTCTAAGAGTAAGTCAGCTCCGTACAATCGCCGTCCCGCTGGGGTGCCAGGGTCGGTGCCCATGCCATTGTTGGCAAAAGTTGTCTCCTTTCAACTCGAATTTGGCGAACTTGTTCTACTCGCCGGCGCCAGCGCCAACAGAGGTTGTGCAAAGAAGAAGTCTGGCGGCGCTTTGGTGCCTCTTCAAGCTCTGATGGGAGCTATGTCGACTTACTTTGTGGCTATGGCGGATTTCTACCCTAAACACGCCCTGTCGATAATGAAAGGTCAAGCCGTGCTCGCCAATTGGCTCTGGGCGCTGCACGGAATGGGAGTGACCGATACGGCTCTGTCAGAATTCATTGAGCTCCAATTCGCAGGAAAACAGGCGAAAATGGCCACGGGAGCGATGGACACATGGCAAATCGAAGATCCCCTGTCGGCGCAAATTATTACAGCTAGGCTTGTGGCGGAACGATCAACGGCTCGTGGAGAGACAGCGAAGTCAATTGAGAGCGCGGAACTTCGGGACGACAGTCGAGCAGCTCCGCAGTTCGTCCGCCAATGTTTCGAAGAGCGCGACCGGGGACGATGCGGAAAGAGCAATTGCGCGTACCGCCATCAGCATAAAGACTGAAGGCAGGCAGGATCGCACGCTTGGCAACCCTGCCTCTTCAAGAAGCGTAGACCGCCTGACCGGATTCCGTCGGCACGGCATAATGCAGATCCCCGTTCAAACTACTTGCGACCCTACAGTCGCGCTGAATGAGTGGGTTCGAGCCTGAACTCGGACGCATTCGTTTACGTACCCGCGAGATTACCCGGAAGGTGGCACTTTGGTAGCAGTGATTCAGCAGATCGTCTAATATGGCGCAGCGATCGGGCATTGCGGTCCTCTGCCGTCAAAGTCAGAGAAGAATCATGCGAGCGCGATGAGGCAGAGCAAGTCTTTGGACAAGCAATTGAAGGCGCAAGCAAAGAAAGGACACCTCTCAAGGGTGCAGCAAGCGCACATGCTTGAAGGGTACAGATCCTCACCGTTGGGCGCGGTGACGAAAGAGGGATTAGATAAAGTCAGAATCGTTCACGATCTGTCCTTTCCGCATGATGGCACGAGCGTGACTGACGGCATTCCAGACGGAGAGGCGATTATGCAGTGTGCGGACTTTGGTTCTGCTGTTCAGGCCATCCGCGAGACTGGCAAGGGATGCTGGCTCATCAAGCTCGATCTGGAAGATGCGTATCATCAAGTGCCGGTCCGACTGGCGGACCGTCATCTGCTCGGGTTCGAGTGGCGGGGCGAGCAGTACATGTCAACGCGTTTGCCCTTCGAGCTGCGATCAGCGCCGTACGCGTTCAACTTGCTTGCTGAAGGACTCCATTGGATCCTAGAGCGCTGTGCGCTGCCAGCGGGAAGAAAGATTCGGCATTATCTGGACGACTTCCTGATTGTCTTGCCGCGTACGGTCAGCGAAGAGGAGGCGCGAGGCGTAGCGCACCGAGCGCTCCAAATTGGAGAGCAGCTCGGCTTGATGCTCAAGGCAGCCAAGCTGGAAGGGCCTACGCACGACTTGACCTTCCTCGGCCTGCGTATCAACACGATCACAGGTGTCGCGTTGGTCCCAGACGACAAATTGGCGAAGCTGCGGCGACTGACGTCTACATGGCAGAGACGGCAAGCAGCCACGCTCAAAGAAATTCAGGAATTGAGCGGTCACCTGCATTTCATCTGTCAGGTCGTGCCCCGCAGCCGAGCGTTCATTCGTCGTCTGGACGATTATGCGACGTCGTTCAAATCAAGTCATGCTAGAAGGCGAATACCGCGCGCGGTACGGCGAGATATTATCGTTCTGGTGGCATCTGGCGCCCACCTGGAATGGCCATACAATGATCGCGGATGATAGGGCACCGATCGCAGTAGCGACCGACGATAGTGGCGTCGGAGACATCGGAGCCGTATGTGACGAGCTCACTTTGTCGGAGCTGGCGCCCAAATCGATCATCAAGGAGGGCATCATGGCCCTCGAGATCTACGCAGTCGTGAGAGCGTTCAGGCTCTGGGGTGTGCGCTGGCGCGGTCAGCGTGTCATGGTTTACTGCGACAATCAAGCCGTAATAGCGGCGATCAAGTCCGGTTCGATCAAGGATGCAGCAGTCATGAGGCTGTTGCGCGAATGATCTATGCTCTAAAGGAGCCTGGGCATCTCAGCGGAGATCACTTGCATAGCGAGCGAAGATAATGCAGTGGCGGACGCGCTAAGTCGCCGCGTGCCGCAGAACGACTCAAGATCGAATTCGATCAGCCCCCGTGTGGCTACTTCGAGGAAAGACCGGGCTATTCGGAGCGAGCTGTCTAGCTCGAGTTGTCTTGGGTCCGACTCAAGAAAGACATACGCGACCGTCAAAAGGGGCTACGATCGGTCCATCCATTCTACCGATACATCAAACCGGACGAAGCCATTCTGCGCGCATGGTCCGGCAGACTGCTGTCGGGTTTGGGGCCTTCGGGTGCTCAACCCGCTGGCGCGGCTCAGAGCGACAGCATCGTGGCGGCTCAGGCCCCAAGCTCGGCGATTGCAAGCCCAAGCCATACGCTCCAAGACGGATCGGAAGTCACGGAATTACTTGCGGAAGACCGATTCATTCGTCGTTCAGCCTTAGGCGCCAACGGGGCAACAAACGTCATCCAAACTGCTACAAACTGTTTCGCTTACGCCTTGTCAGTTCTACGGCTTCGCCGCCTCGACTGCGAAGACTTCGTTTGCTTTCAACAACGCCGGCAGGACTCAGCCTGACAATCGCGACTACAATTCCTTCACAGTCAGAGGGTTCTGTCATCTGGCCGCTCATTCACCTTCTACCTGGCATACGTCTTCAACGGCCGCGCAATCGATCACGCTCTCCTCGCTTAACTCCAGAGAGATGATGTGTTACCTGAAGATGTGCGATATGTTCTCACGATCGGAGGTGCGGAACGACCTCACTGGAAACCGGCATAGTCAACTGCTTGCATGGCTTGTTTGGGCCTCGATGCATCTCGGATCCATTGCGCANCACACTCGTGCTATTGTTGTCTCCTTTGCATCGCTCGCATGCACAGCGCTCTCCGTTTTCAATAGCAGTACCGAAAGGTCACAGCCCACTTGCATTAAGGGGCGACAGATAGACACTTCACGACTTAGGGCGCTTCCAGTGCGGACGCACTGCTCCACCGAGCGTGAACGTGTAGTCGACTAGCGTAGGCGTTTTGTCCTGCTGGAACACGAGCAGG